CAGGGCTGACGGAAAACCCCCTCTTCCCCACTTGTATTTGTTTTCTTGCTTACCAGACGTCAGAAAAGATACGCGTATCAAAAGATATGACCGTATCGGGTCTCCATAGGACCGATCAGCTATGATCTAGCGGTATGTATGTAATGGTTAGTGAGTGAGTGAGTGGGTGTTGGTTGGTTGGCAGGCAAAGGGCAGGCAGACCACACCACTTGTGGCCTCTAATTTGGCCCTCATGCAGCTTGTCTTTGAGGCGAGAAGTGTTTGGGGGGGGGGGGGGAGGTGTGCCTGTCTGTTCTTAGATGCATAGGCTCCGGCGCAGATGAACGCCCTAAGCTGTGGTTCCCTCCAAAGTATTCCTAAAAAAGAGAGAAGGACGGTGTGCAGCGCATGCTATTCGCCAATTCTCGAGCTTGGCCCCCAATCTCCTCTCTCTCTCTCTCTCTCTGTGTGTGTGTGTCTCTGTGTCTCGTGAGTTTTGAAAGTATTCCTCGACTTGCTGTGACACACACGTGCATGCTCTTGCCGCCCCGCCGCCGTACGAGGAGGAGAAACACTCCACAATGATGAGCGCTGCGTGGCGGCTCTCTGTACGTGCTGGCTTACTACCTCGCTCTTCCTTCCTCGTTCTCTCTCTCTCTCTCTATCTCTGTCTCTCTTTTCGTGTTGTGTATCAAAGGTATGCCATTGTTTTGTTTGTTACCCCCCTCCCAACTCTTCTCTCTCTTTTTCCTCGTCCCCTCCTCCTTCTCGGACCCGAACACTAGGGACCAGACCCAGATAATTATCCGAACCGTGTCCGAGTATGACCTGCCACTCCCGCCGCCGCCACCACAATCACCACCGGAGACTTATTTGATTCTTCATTTTTGTTTAATTATTGCTTCGTGATATCCATTCACCCGTCTTGGGCTTGTCGCAGTACTTGCTTTCCTGTTCTTGGGACAATTTACACATTCACATAGTACTCAGAAGCCTAGATACTTGAACTTGCCTCCTCCTTCCCCCGGCCCCCGGCCCCCACCCTTACGGGTCTTGGCTGGGCACGATGCAGACCAAGTGGGCGGCGACCTAAGCCTTGTGGTGTGCAGAGTGCCGTTTTGAGTGGTGAAGTGAGTAGATGAAAAGAGGAGTGGGTGAGAGTTTCGGGTGTCCTTTTGGGGATATTGAATGTACTTGGTAGGGTGTAGACTTGGGGGAAATAGAACATATCTTGGTTTCAATGGCTTGCATGTATCCACGTGTACTTGTGTGTGTGTGTGCGTGTGTCAAACCGAAGATTGCAGCAGCCATCAGCAGTAGCAGCAGCAGCAGCAGCGGCAGGCCCAGCTTACGGTAATACACGTGCAAGCACGCGAAATCTTGGAGAGGGAGGGGGGCAGAGAGTGGTGGGTGCTTGTGTCGTCGCACCAAAGGCAAAGATGACGGTGGTACAGCGCTCTTCCTTCAGCCTTACGATGCTCCAGATGACTGCAGGACAGAAGAAAGATAGATGGAGAAAGGAATAAGAAAAAAAAGGGGGGTCAGAACCGTCAGTGGTGGTGCTACTTACGCACACCACCCTCTTTCTTTTTTCTTCTTTCTTGGTTTACTGCTGACGACCTCCACTCAACGATTCCCTTTCATATGTCGGGTTTTATCGATGATGGTGGTGGTGGTGATGGGGTCATTATTTGCTTCGGCATCTTGGCACTCCGGTTCAGCATGTCAAAAGTAGATATGGGTGAGAATGAGAAAATATAAATTGCATAAGAGAGAAGAAGAAGCATGTGTGCTGAGGCTGAGGGGTAGAGTGTACAGGCAAACGCCGGTCCCAAAAAGAACCTTATTTGTGTCACACACACCCTCTCTCACTCACTCTCACTTTCTCCTCAAATCTCATCTTCACCTGGTAGAGATGACCAAAGAAATATCATAGCTCACATATTACTTACTGTATGAGAACCTCAAAAACAAGTACCTGCTCACAATGGCCCCAGCTATCATGTATGTACTATAGTATGTGCTACTCCGCGCACCCCGAAAGTGGCTCCCAGCTCTTAGCACCGCGACAATTTGCGCCCGTGGCCCCCTCTTTGCCCAGACGAAAAAGGGTACCATCGGTCTTGTAGTGTCTGTCTTGCTCTCAGAGACACACACAGAGAGAGAGAGAGAGTAAAAATAAATCATCTAGAGCTTGTCTGATTCAGAAAATGAGGATATGAATTTTGCCCTTTCTGACCCACGAGGTTGGTTGACAGACGAGGGAGACAAAGGTGAAAAAAAGGGGTGTTTAGGTAAGTCGTAATCTCAGCGATCTGACTTACCCCTCTTCTACTTCTCAGCCTTGCTCAGCCTCGTCCAAGCGTCAACAACAACATTGGATTGGGGGTTCGGGCGTGGAAAATGGGCCGAAGCCCGGGCCTCACCACGTGCCCTGCTGAGGTTCGTCTCTGCCTGTCGAGAAAAAGAAAGAGAGATAACCGAAAAGGGGGGCTCTCGTTGTTTTGTTATCAAGCAGTCAGGCGGTTTTTGTCTGCCTGACGCCCGTTGACCGCTCCGGGTGCATTATCCCCCGGTCGGACGTTGACGTGTCGTGGGGACTCGTGACGGGCCACTTGTCGCCGGTCCAAGTATGCGAAGTGCGCTGTTTGCTCGCGGCACAGCCGACGCTCCTCGTGACGCACTTGACATCGCGACGTTCGTACCTGCCCGCGAGCCTAGCAGGATATTGATAGGTCCCCAGAAGCTCATGAACCTGCTGGGCAAATTGTTATGCACACCGACTCGTCCTGTATCATGAGAGCCAACAGGCGTGGGCTAGAGAAAGCTGAATCTCGCTTTCCCCCCCCCCCCCCCCTTTGACAGATTTATCACAGGCATGAAACGTCCCGTCCAGATAGCTAGAACAGTCTCGAGTGGACTCGACGACTCTAGAACGGGGTTGCCAACAGGACCATCTCCTCCGCAACCTGCAAGTCGGGGTAATTCTTTGCGATCTCTGTTAGTAATTTTGCGCACCTCGTCGGTCCCGACTCTCCTGATCTTGAGACGTGTGCTGAAGGTGGGACGGAAGCTCATCCAGTCGCCGTCCTGATCACCGCACTCCTTGAACCCCCCCCCCCTCCCAACATCGGCCAAGGTACCTCCACCGTGACTGGCCTCTCTGGTGGCTCTGCGTGCCCCCTCGTCAAATGGTCATTTGTCATCTTTACGTGCGTAGGCAGCTTTCCCTACGCGATGCCAGACGAGGTGGCCAAATCCCCACCCGAGTCCACCTCCTTGCCACGAGGAAGTCCTCGCGACATCCTGGCCCCTGTGCCATGTACTCGCCATGTTTGAAGGGACGAGGCTTCACGCCTTGTCAGACGCCTCGATGGGCAAAACAACCCCTGCAGACAACCCAGTGAGGCTCCAAAGATGCCCACGGTGTACATTCGTGAGGGTACAAACCAGATGGGCCATGGGACATCTGGAGACAGGGGAACATGCCACCCCCGCCTCTCTCAATGCTCTGCCTGATGGTCTGTCAAGCGAAATCTCCTCCACGCCATGACCATGCACACATGATTTCCCCCTGCAGCAGACCGGTCGCCGTTGCAATTTGCGATACATGGGAGAGCCCAAACTGCATGATAGGATCGGTTCCGAAACACCCGCAGCCATCCGCCGCGGACTATCGCCAGCCCAGTCCTCCGAGACGTTGCGGAGGACTTGTGTGCCCTGCATAGCGAAAAAGGCTTGGCAGGTACGGAGAGAGAGGAAGGCCTCGATCACAAATTGCGCCTGTAGAAGACGTCGCCTTCCGGGTTCGCGTCTATGATCCTTACAACCTTAGATCCTTCGCTCGAGCTCGAGTGTCCAGATGCGTGTAAGCCCGGCCGCAGTCCGGCGGCGACATGTGGGAACATCAAACAACAGGAGCGAGATGCCTGCTCAACTGTCCACGGCACCACGTTTTCTGCTCCAATCCTTCGCGTGATTTGCGCGTGCGTGTGTGTGCGCCATTGATCGTTCATCTCGTCGTCGACACCAACAGCATCTGATCCATGATCGCCACACCCGCCCGTGCCGGTTGTGCTAAGAATAGCTGCCGAATCCTTCGAGCACTCTAACCCTCGACAGAACGGGTCCTCCCATCACAGGATCTCGTGCCCGTCGGAGAATCATACCCCGTCGGCAATCAGTTGTCACGTTCTGCGTGCTTTGAGCTGTGTCATCACATTATTTCCATCACCGCTGCTGACATCCGCAATCTCTCTGGAGTGGAGAGCATCTGGCGCAACTAGCAGCCAGAATAGAGGACCCACCAAGGCCGATGTCAACATACGGAAGTATGGAGTGACATGAATGTTGGTGGATTTTGACACTTTGGTCCGTTGGCCGTCTGAGCGGCCTAATGGGTCCCTTGAGCTGTTGGATATCTCGCCACTGGGCATCAAAGCCGTTTGCAGGTCCTGTTCTTCAGGTTGATTGACCGCGCCTTGCTCAAGATGACTTCAGACGAGGCTGATAGGATTTGCCGCCGCACGATATCTCTAGGCAGCCGAATGAAAGCGCCTATCCGCGCTTGAGTGTCGCAGGTGGTTGTGGGTAATGCAGGGGGGGGGGGGCGGGGCGGGATGGTAACACTCAACACAGCCATGCACGGCTTGCTGAATACGGCAGCCACTGTAATATCAGAATAGACATCGAAAAGAGACACAGGACGTGGTGGCGGCGGAGATACATCTCGAAACAATCGACTTGGGTGATTCTGGACCATCGGGTCACACGAATTGCGGCTTCACAAACGTGAGACCGATCCAGGGGAGGGGGGCACCAACTGCTCACCCAGTTGCTGGCGAGCATCAGCGCCCACACATTGTGGTACACTGTCGACAAAAGGCCCCAGCACTTGCCGCGTTCCGATTTTGATCCTATTCATGGTGTGGATGGAGATGGAGTACGGTAATAGAGACGTCGGCTCTGTTTCGGCGGTCTCACCTTTCTTTTTTAGGTCTGATAGAAGAACATCCAGTATGCTATTTTAGAAGGCACCGGGTATACTTGAAATGACTGCTCTTTTGCCGATCTTCCGCGAGGATTCGTTGGAGATAGAAAGACAGGACGTGATTGCTCAGACTGCCAGCCGAGCTCCGAAAATGGCCCCACGGATTGATGGTAGTGATTCGTAGATTGAGCCCGTCGCTGGAACGAAATCCAAAGGTGACGAATGATTGCTGGTTTGGGGTGCTGTATCGATTACATTAGACACGATTTTGTTGCCCTCTAGCATACAGAGCCCATTTGCGTGTAGACGTTGCTGTGTATGCCGTGTGTGAGTCCTGTTGGTCATTCTGGTGTTCCAGCCACAGAGGATCAAGCGGAGATGATCGAGTTTGAGGAGAATACGTAGAGTTAGTATCGAAGTTGACGCAACGAAGCCAAAGCCGTAGTGGTAGACGTGCCTTGAAAGCTATGCTGTCACGATCACTAGACGACTGTCGTCAGAAAAATTTGCAAAATGTTCCAATGCATTCCCTATACCATTTACACACTCTTGGCAGGCTCCTGTAGCCTGTGATCCAGTCTGGAAGTCAAAGCTCAGTCTCTGTTTGATGGTCCCGGTCTTCGAATTCAAACTTACCATACATGCTGCTTGAGTATGCGATATCGTGAGCCATGGTATCTAGCAGGCAAGACATGTGCCCCTTCTTCGAGGCGTTCAGAATGGCCAGGTATATAAACCTGTCACCAAGTCATTAGTTTTGCGCGAGTCTCTATACAATTTGGACATCCCATCGTTGGTGCAGATATGTTTGAGGACCCTCCTGATCATCCAACGACACAAGCCACCAATGGTGCCAATTTGATGCATCGAGGTCATACTTCTGAGCATGTGAAGCTCGTCCATGACTCACATAGAACCACTAGAGTACGCCATTGTGCAAACTACCAATCTCTGAGGAAATCACGAACTCCTGTTTTCCCTGGGAAAGCGCCAGATAGCAGTCTCGAACCAGCATTGTCAAGCGTCTTCTCTCGATCACGAGGATGCCCAAAACCTCATGCTGGCGGTCCTCGGCACTGAATGAACTCAACGCCAGGTTTTCAGACACAGTGTCTTGAATTGGACCATTCTGCGTCCAATCTTGCGTGTTCAGTTTGTCTGCTCTTGTCCTGTAAGGGGCGGGCCGGCGATCGAATTTCTGAATCGTAACGTCGAGCGAAATGTATCTTGGTCCAATAGATCGCCGCGAACCGAACCAATCATTTAGATTTGAACGCTCTTGACGCTTGGGCCAGACAATTCTGCGGGATTCGTGAGGACTGAAGAAAACAAAAGGAAAAAAAAAATCAAACTATCGTGGTCACAGGCCCTGAGCAGTGGTCTGTGGAGATTTGGGGGGGGGGGGGTTCAATGAGTCGACAAGAGAAAAGCAATTGGCAGAGTAGCTGGTCCCAGACTCATGACAAACTTGAGCTCGGTCGGTTGCAGAAATTTTCGAACGAGATGTAGACGGCCGCCGAGACCCTCCTCTTTCTCTCTCTCTCTCTCTCTCTCACCCTCACACACACACAAGGCGAGAGCCTGGATCTATATCCATCTAGAACCAAGTGCCATGAGATGGTTGACACAACTCCGATGAGCTCTCAACCAATTGGACAGTGCATAAAGAGAAGAGCAAGACAGGGATACCAACGAGAACAGAAATGGTGGCAAGCCTGCGCCCCAACCTGGCGCAAAAGTAACTCCGGCACGACTCGGACAGAGCCACTGAGATAAACCCGTTGAGGAAAAGCAGCATAAACATCATGGCTGCCTCACATCACATGTGGAATAGGGCTGGAAATGAAATTTCCTCCCGTTGAAGCTGCCTCGATCGGGGAGACGCAGCTCGCTCTGACTATCGCCCAGGCGGCCCGCGATGATTCCGCTAGAAGGACCTTCGTTGAGAGATTTCGCCCTGTTACAAGCTCTCTCCTCTCTCTTCTGTAGTTGTCTCTATGGTCCTTGTGCTCACACTTGCGAGAAGAAGAAGAAGAAGCACCTCTGTCAAGCGTGCCTTCACCTGTGCTGTTGTGATGACGCCTGCTCTTTGGAAACCTGACCGAGGAGAGGGAGGCACACCAAGGGATTTCCGAGAAGACAAGGTGGCTCTGAAATTCATGAAAGCCCGTATGCACCGCTCTTGGTCTTATGGACGGACTTCCGAACACTTGACTTTCTGGCTCAACATTCTTCGTACTCAGTACTCGGTGAGAGGACGCCCTTCCAAGATTGTTAGCAGTGACATCATAACCGCTGCCCTCTGCGATACGGTGATACGGTGCTAGCACACTTGAGAGCTGGTCGATATAAGCATCTCTTGTCATTGAAAAAACAGGGCAAGAAGGAACCACCTCTTGCAAGTGGATGAACGTGGTCCACATTCATTGTCGTCGTCGTGTTCATGGTCGGGAGGAGAGAAGGTAAGCCGGACAACACGTCGGGTCAGTCCTTCCCCGTCCGCCAGTCTGCTGGAGTCGAAATAAGCTTATCTTATCTGGAGGCCGAGCACCGCTCAGTTCAGTGCCGCCCGACCTTCTTGGTAGTAAACAGTGGTAGGTGGAACTGGACGCCTTGACTCGGGCTCAGGTCCACCGTTATCGGTCAAAGTCGCCGAGTATACCAACCCGGGTACGCAATATCCCTGACTAACAGAGAAGACTCCGGCCTGCGATTGCCGTGATAGAAAAAGGCACAGAGTCGTCGTTGTCGTTGTCGTCGTCGGTGATGTGCGTGTAGTTTCTTGTCAATGCTCATTTGAGGGAAATCTACAACGCAATCACCCTCCCCAACACAACAACCTACACACTCATTGCTCGAGAAGATGAGGCTCATACGGTCTGCTTCACGCCTGCAGTCCTCCTGCGTGAGGGCCGCTTCTGGCACCCGTGCCTTGAGCAGCAGCAGCAGCAGCAGCAGCAGCAGCATCATCTCGCCAGCTCGGTCACTTCTCTCCTCCTCACGAGTCCCCTCACAGGTCGAGGCTAAGTCGGCTGCGGTCTCAAGCATCTCATGGCGGGCGGCAGCAGCAGCAGCAGCCCGTGTCCCTCCCTCCGGCGCGAGGAGATACGCCTCCTCCAGCAGCGATGAACCTCTCCAAAAGACAGCCCTCTATGACCTTCACGTCTCACACGGCGGCAAGATGGTCCCCTTTGGCGGTTTCCACATGCCAGTGCAGTACGCTTCTCTCTCCGTCTCGGCCTCGCACGTATTCACCCGGACCCACGCCTCCCTCTTCGACGTCAGCCACATGGTCCAGCGCATTTTCTCTGGCCCAGGCGCCGCCGCCTTCCTGCAGCGCGTGACCCCCGCCGGCCTGGCTGCCCTGCCCGTCAACAGCAGCACTCTCTCTGCTCTCCTGCACCCGGGCACCGGCGGCATCGTGGACGACACCGTCATCACCAAGCTGGCCGATGACGAGTTCTACGTCGTCACCAACGCCGCCTGCCGCGCCAAGGACGACGCCTACTTTGCCGAGCAGCTGTCTGCCTGGGACGGCCCCGCCGTGCGCCACGAGAAGCAGGACCACAAGGGCCTCATCGCCCTGCAGGGACCCCTGAGCGCCGACATCCTGGCCTCTGTGCTCGCCGCCGGGCCTGACAGCCCTGCCGACCTGACCAAGGTGTTTTTCGGCACATGCACCACCGCCAGGATCGCCCTCGCCGGCGGGGCCGTCTCCGCGCCCGTGCTGATTAGCCGTGGCGGGTACACGGGCGAGGACGGCTTTGAGATCTCGATCCCGAGTGCCGAGGAGACGGTCGCCGTCACCGAGACGCTGCTGGCCTCCGCAGGGCCCGAGAGGCTGCAGCTGGCAGGCCTCGGCGCCCGAGACAGCCTGCGCCTCGAGGCCGGCATGTGTCTGTACGGCCACGATCTGGACGACGCCACGACCCCCGTCGAGGGCGGGCTGAGCTGGATCATCCCCAAGGACAGGAGGGGCGCGGACGCAGGGTTCCACGGCGCCGAGGTCCTCGCCAAGCAGCTCGTGCCCAAGGCCAAGGGCGGCGCCGGTGTCGAGAGGAGGAGGGTTGGCTTCGTGGTCCAAGGCGCCCCCGCGAGAGAGGGCGCCGAGGTGGTCAGCAAGGACGGAGAAAAGATTGGCAACATCACCAGTGGCTGTCCCAGCCCGACCCTGGGCAAGAACATTGCCATGGGCTATATCAAGGATGGTTTCCACAAGTCCGGGACCGAGGTGGACGTTGTGGTGAGGGGGAGAAACCGCAAGGCCGTTGTGTCCAAGATGCCATTCGTTCCCACCAAGTATTGGAAGGGAACGGCTCCTGCATGATTGTAAAGTTGGGGGAAGGGGATTCTTGGAGCGGAAATAAGCTGGAAAGAATACCAGGGTTCGAAAATTCAATCAAGAGAGGAGGAGGAAGGGGGGGGGGGGGTTGCACATCTCGCTCTCTCTCAACAGACACGTTGTGAGAACAGCAATCCAGGACAGGCATGGCCAAAAAAAGGCTCAATGGCCCCTTGTGTTCAACAACAGTACACAAAAGGCTCATGGGAATAGCCAAGGTAGTTCAAACCACTAACGGAGACTTGCCAGCGGAACCACACCTCCAGACTCTTGCGTTGCAGACTTGAGGCCTATATAATCTCCAAGAACCATGTTGACACAATTTTTACATATATCTCCTGTCAGCGGTAATGCGCGAATCAAATGCTCAAGAAAGGCCGAATGGTGCCATGGATATATATGCATGCAATACTCCTACATCCCGAGGCGCTCTTGATAAAACAGAATGCCCCCTTCGGTGCCCGCCTCACCGTCGCCCCGGCTTACTTGTCATTATTCTCAAAACTGTACTTCAGCCACCCGCCCAGCGCCCTCAAGCTCTCCCACCTCACGTTCTCATCCGCCTCGGCCATCAACTGCATCACCCTCGTCTTGAGGCCCAGCTTCTCAAGCGTGCCCCTCTTCTCTGGCACTTCCTTGACCAGGGCGCCGACGTCATTGCACGCGATGGCCAGCACGGCCTTGTCATTGTCCCAGGGCTTCGACATGATCTCGGCCAGCTTCTTGAGAACCTCGCCGTTCTCGTAGTCGATGATCTTCCGGGCATTCTCGGCCCAGAATACCGTGCTTCTGTGGGGTGGTGACCATCGTAGGTGGCCTGACTGCACCTCGGCCACATACTCGTCAAAGGTCGTCTTTGTTTTTGTGTACTCCTCGAGCATGTCCTTGAGGGCGGCCAGCTCCTCCTGGAGGTCGGGGTCGGTGAACTGGCGCGTGCTGAGGTTCTGAAGGAGGGCGGGTAGGCGGACGAGCACGGCCTGGGGTAGGAGTGTCTTCTGGTTGGTGCGCAGGAGGTTGTAGAGCGTCGATACCAGGAGCCGGGTCGTCTTCTCCTTGGGAGAGAGGCGGAGGAGCTGGGTGTACAGAGGAATGATGTCGTACTCGCTAAGAAGGAAACCAAGTCAGCACCCAACCACAAGAGCTTCAGACACACACACACACGCACACACACCGCAGTGTGTGATTTCGACGCCTACTCACTCGTTCAGCTCATCGCCCACCTCCTCGGCCTCGAAACTCAGCTGCCACATGACAAGAAGGACGTGATAAAGCAGCTGCAGACCCACGCCACCACCCAGGGAGCCGTCCAAGCCCTTGCTCACGCCCGTCGTCCCGCTCCACAGGCTCGCGCTCGAGTCCCCATTGGCAACACCACATGCTGTCTTCAAGATGTGTATCAGCGGCTCGACGGTCTCACTGCGCTGTGCCCAGAACTGCTGCCGGGAAACACTGCCATAGAGCAGGGACGAGTACTCGAGCACGCCAATATCCTGCAGGCCGGCATCGGAGTTCTTGGTCAGGGAGGAGAGGTAGCTGTAGAGGTGGGGGAGGGCCTTCTTGACAGTCGCTGCGGATTCGTCCCGCGAGCTTGCCATAAGGCTGGCAAGCACGGTGGATGTGAGGAGGGGTATCGGATCTTCAGGGCTAGAGGAGTGTGCCAGAAGCGGGAGGAAGTGTTTGTACGGGTCTCCATTTTTGAAGAGGGCTTTTGGGAGGGAGGGCACGCCTATTTTTTTTGGCCACACAAAAGACACGCCGGTCAGCTAAGCTTGTCCTCCACTGCCAATACCGAGAAGAAGAGACGGGAATAGAGCTTACCATCGAGCAAGTCCTTCAGGAGGACCAAGATGTACTGGACGACCTCGGTCCTCTTGCTGGCCAGCTCCAGGACGCTGGGCTTTCCCTCCTCGCTGACGAAGAGTATCCGGTATCCGTCGAGGTCTCCTTCGACGATTTCCCTGCGGGCATCCTTCTTGGCCCGCTCAACAGCCTTGATCCTGGCCAGCTGGTCCTCGGTCAGGGTGCCCGCGCGCACTTGACCGTCCCAAGGAATCGGTCTCTGCCGGATGTTATTCTGCAGCGATGCGAGATAAGTTGGCGGATCCAGAGACATAGCTGTTTCTTAGCTCTTGTTGTATCTGCTGATGTTCTCTGGTTATCTCATCTGACGGTACGGGAGTTGTTAAGCACAGTCAGTCGTCTGTGGCCAGAGTAGGGATTCTGGTTATCCTGGGCGTGGAACAAGTAACTGTCGGTAGTATGTTTTCGTTGGACTCGTCACTGGGTTGGAATGGCAAGCTTGAGGTTAGCCTGGGGATAAGCCGCCGGAGAGCACGATTACGAAATGGTTCCAAGAATAGCGGCGCCTGTTTTGGGGGGGGGGGGGGAGCTCCCCCAAGCCGCTAACAATTTTGGGCTTGTAGCAGGCCACCAGCCACTAAGTACTTCCCCTAAGCATTGTAACGCCTTCGTTTTCTCGCCCATTCTACCTACCCTATTTCGTTACTACCAGATGGGTACTGTAGACAGACAGTTCCGGATATCTGAGCACCGTCCAATTCGATTCTGCTCCAAGTCTTGCTACAAGCCATCTGAGCGACCCCCTGGTCGTGGACTTTCATAGACTCCCTCACCATGATTTTTCTCGAGAGAAACATGTTTGCGAGTGCGCATGGGAGATATGGCCTCTTGCCGACCGTGGCTTGTGAAGCTCCTCTTTTCGAGCTCATTGCTTTATTATGCTCTTCATTTTCATCATGGCACGAATACCTAACGTGGCCTGAGGCCTGGAACTCATCCCTTAAACGCCCAGACGAGAAGCCCTTTCCTATGTAACAGTACAGAGAGTTTGATGAGAACCACCCCACCCCCTTTGCCTCCCGCCAGATGGTCAATTTTTTCATTGACACCACTGTCTTGCGTCTGACTCGTCAAGGTCTCGGCTGTATGCTCATGATGTCTCCATCTTCCTTCCTCGCCTTGCGCCTCAAATGAGAGTCTCTCGCAAGCAGGTCTTCTAGTCATGCGCACCCCAAATGAAATCCATTCTTGGACGCCAGAATCATCTTTAGGTACCAAGAAGGCGACCCCAAAAGAGAACAAAAGTTGTGGATAGAATTCGCAAGTACTGAGGTGTAACGCGCAACTGGGTTTGGTACCTGACAGACAGAAATGACTGCAAGTCCCAAGCCCCATATCCCATGAGGCCTGAGCACAGTCTGATCACACGACTGACATTATCAACTCTTGCTGAATGTTGAAGGTTGAGGTTTTCTCGTGGCGGTGTCCAGATAAGAGCTCTTGATCTTCTTTTCCCCTCAGCGGAAGAGGTTCGGGTCGCCCTCGGGAGGAGGAGACGGACGGAAGGTCGGAGAAGCAAAGCTTCTTGGGATGGCTCTTGAAGAAAGACATGGGGGGGAAGGTGATGCAGGTAGTGTTTGTTTGGTATTGTGATTCTTCGTGTTGTGTTGTTATTGGTGGTGGGAAGAATGAACAAAAAGGGGACGGCCTTTAAGAAGGCCAGCCACTTATGTTATGCTCATCGCCGCGACGCCGCGCGTGATATGCGCGTCGTCTCTGTTCTGTGGCTGCGACGCGTATCTCTTGTCCTACCACCAGAGCTCGCGGAGCCTGCATAATCGGGTGGGAGGTTAGACTTGGGGTGATCATAATCATCCCTGTACCGACCCCCAGCGGCCGACGCGGAGCGGACGCTGTGCGAGCGCACAACGGACGCGGTGCGAGGATCGCGGGGGTGGTGCGACTGCGCCGGCGTATAAACAGAGGAGTACGTGTAATCGGAGGAGAACTCACTTGGGCTGCTGGCTGTGTACGAGTCCGAGAAGTAGCTCGAGCTGACCTCGCTCCTCGCCGCGCGGGAGGAGCGTTTTGCCGTCGACTGTCGCCGCTTCTTGTCCCGCCGCAGACCCAGCAACACTAGCAGTGTGCCCAGGGCACCTGCCGTCCACCAGCTGGTCTGGTTCGACTCCTTCTTCTCGGAAATGCGCCTGCTCTCCCCAGCAGCCGAGCGGGCCGGACGGTTTGCGAACCAAGAGCTGTGGCGATCCCGGTCCACATGACTCGAGGTCCTGACGGGCGCCGCTCCGTGGCGGCTATAGCGCTCCTCCTCGACAATGACCGTCTCGCGAGAGCGATCACGCTTGTCCTTCCTAGGGCCCAGGCCCAATAGGGCGAGGAGGCCATGCCACAGCCCGCGCATTATGCAACAGGCGCAGATGCCCAGCAGGATGACCACACCAGCCAGCACGCCAATGACGATGCCAGCGATGGCACCGCCGCTGAGGCTGGAGCCGCCCGTGGTAGCCAGAGCCGTGCCGTTTCCGGAGCCTGTTGTGGAAGCGCTGAGGGCCGTCGCCGTGCTGGTGCTGGCGGATCCGGTGCCCGTGACCCGATAAGGCGCGCTGTATTGAGTGGTGATGGTGCTTCCACTGGTGGTCACGGTCGTGGAGTAGACTGAGTATGAGGTGGTCGCAGCAGTAGCACCCGGGTTAGAGCTGCACTGACCGTCATAAGCACAGTACTGCCAGTTGGCGCAGCAGATGGAACCACAGGCTATCTCGCCCGAGCCGGCTGGGGGCGTGCAGGTGCCACCGGCGGCCGCAGTTGACGCAGCCCAGGCGCTGGAGATGGTGCTCGTAAAGGTCTCGGTCTCGGTCCATGTCGTGGTGTAGACAGCCCAGCTAGAGCCATCCCTGACCAACAGAGGAGCCGCCGCGGTGCAGCCAGCAACATTGTCTGACGTGGTGCAGACCTCGCCGTCGGAGCAGCAGTGCTCGTTCTCGACGCCGCAGTACGATGCGCAGCTTCGATCTTGTATGAATCCGTAGCTGAGAGTATCGTGTAGATCGTCTTTGGGAAATGGACCAGCGAGTACAGGCTGTATCAGGAGGGTGGAAAGAGAGAGGAAAACTGTGGATATCATGGCTGTTGTCGCTGCAGGGCGCAGGCAGTGCTGCGATTGACTGGATGGGCGCATGGTAATGATGAATGTGTTCAACAATCCACAACAAGGTTTGCGACGGAGGAGAAAGTTGGGATGAGAAGGGAGTGAGTTGTCGTCAGGGCTGGCCCTCTTCACTCTCTTGCCGTGATTTTTGTCCAGCGATGAGCTGTCTGTCCAGGTGGGAAACAGCCAGAAAGAGAAGTTGGAGCTGCAGCAGGTGTGTGCCCCTCCTCACTGGCACCACCACCAACACCCTCTCTGGTCTAGTCTTGCAACAACGAACCTGCAGGCTGGAGCGGTTGCGCGCGGGGTAATCTTGAGAGCCTGTGGTGAGAAGAAGGACAGGAATGACCAGGACCCAACCGGGGCGCTTCGAGCCGTTCCGTGTCTCAACTCTAAAGTAAAATAAAAAAGGAGGACAAAAAAAGTCCAGGCAAGTCGGGTCTGGAATAGACTGGAATGTAGAAATAGCGAAAAGATGGTAGTAGGCTGGCAGAGTTGCACACAGAACGCGTGAGCTGTGTAACCTGCCCTAGTTGCTGCTGGCTGGCGTGCTGTACTTGTGTGAATGGTACCCGAACCCTTGCAAATATGGACTGATGAGGTCTCAATCGCAACAGGCGGACAGATGAGAATTGAGGTTTGAAGAGGTATGAAGAAGGGAGTTGACAGAGACACGACAGGATTCAGATGAAGTAGAGAAACGCGATTGGGGAGGAGGGAGAGAGAGGAAAAGACGAAAAGAAACTAAAGGCTGGGTAGGATGGGGTGATGAGCTGTAGGTTGTTTGTTCAGTGTCCCTGTTGGGATGTGACGCCAGATTGGTCGCCTGGCTTAATCCGATGGCTGGATGGTGATAATCATCGAAACTACTCTTGTCACTTTTTCCCCCAGATCCTAGAGCGCAAGCATGCCCTACTGCCATAGGATAGTCCCTTTAAATCCACCTTGTACGGGCCAAGCTTGTCTTGGTGGGATGCAGGGTGCGATACTCAGCCCACAGGCAAAAAGTGCTGGGTGGGCTTTGGTGGCTGGGAGACGAGCTTCCCCAACCACCCTCTATTCCACCCAGATGCCTATTTCGTCAGACCTGTACCTGAGGAACTTGTGACCCTGGTCCCTTTTTTATTTAGATTTTTTTTTTTTCCTGTCTTGCTCTCTTGTAAAAAAAGAATTCGCTCACTAGCCAACTCCTCAGAAGTCAATTCAGGATAAGCTTGCCCATGCTGAATACATCACCGCCCCGTTGACGTATTTGTGTGTGCTGTCATCTGGGGTTAGGTATCATTGTATCCATCCACGAGCCACAATCGACGTCAACAGCTCAACAACACATTGACATTTTTACCAGGTTCTTCTACTGTGTTGAGAAAAGAAAGAAATGAAGAAGACACATCTCAGATTTGTAGGATGCTGATGTAGTTGGGATGGGTAGGCAAGGCTGTGAATCTACGATGTAGCAATTGGACATCAGGCAGAGCACGCAGCCTGCCTGCACTCTGTACAGTAGTGTGCCCTGTCACCAAACGCCCCATCTCAAGTCGACAGGGATGGTAAAGCAGGGGTTGGGTGGGAGCATGCCCGGCCCGAACCCCGGAGCCCAGGGCCAATCTGTCAGCGGCGTTCTGCCCGGCCGTTCAGCAGCTGGCCTCAACATTCCGTCCTCGACAATTCTCCTTCCGCGACAACATCCATCTCTCTCGTCCCCCTTTCTCTGTGTCATGATGCCCGATGCCCCAAGGAAACAAATGAGCCTTACTGCGTGTCGGTTGTGAGTCGCGCATCCTGTTGGGAACGACAAGACATATTTCACCAAGGCAAGCCAAGCATGATGGACCTTTTCCAGCTAGATTTTACACCAGATTGCTGTCATGTCTGTTATCAAACGGCTTGTGTGGTATTGTGATTGGTTTAGCAGACTTCCCAAGAACACGCCGCAGCATGCCCTGGGATCTCCATGCATGTAGCAGTAACTGCTCCGCCTTGTGTCAACCGCTCACGTTCGTGCAGAGGTACATTCGGGCGCCAGTTCTGTGACTCCGAGGAGCGATTGATTGATTCGTCAAAGTTCCGATTTTTTTTTAAAGAATCCCGTAGCGTCTTGCTACTTGACATGCAAGTCCCAATTGATGAACCCCCTGCCACTCCAGTGAACCCAGAAAAGCACAAAGAAATCGAAGGCCTGGTGGCTGCCTTTCTTTACGCCTCCTCGACGATGTTGCCCTTCTCCGACACGTACATACCGTCCAGGAACTAAATTTACTTGTCAGCAAGCTGCCACACAAAATTCGGGCTCATCTGTTGCGACGAAGGACTCGATGATGAGTTGTTTCGTACCTTTCGGATATCCTTGTTCCGCACTCTGCAGATCTGCTGGATGTCTGCTGCGCTCTGAGACACAGCCTCGAGGGAGTTGCCGGTCAGGACCAGCTCGTCCTTCTGGGCCTTGGAGACCTCGACATCAACACCCTGCTGCATGACGACCCGACGCACAAGCTTCTCGCCGATGAAGTTTCTACACGTAGGAGACGCGTCAGCCTTCCTGTTCTAGCCAGTCTAGCAAGCCTCCTTCCAGAGATGAAACCCCCTTCCCCAGCGGGTTTCGTGAGAATATCTGCTTCGCCTAAAACCTACCGGATCTCGACCTCGTAGACGCCCTCAGAGTTCTTGTCCAGGTTGACGTTGATGGGAAAATGGGCGTAGACGTAGCGCATCTTGTACTTGAAGCCCTTGGTGACACCGATGATCAGGTTGTTAAGGATGGTGCGGACGGTACGGAGAGCAGCGACGTTCTTGCGAACACCGTGGTGGATGTGGATGGCGATAACGTTGGCCTTGGGCTTGGTGAAGCTGACGGCGATGTGGGATAGATCCTTGACCAGCTTGCCGCGGGGGCCCTCGACGGTGATCTGGCGAGCCTTGATGTGCATCTTGACTGTTCGTAGAAGACACTGTCAGCATCTGACACAAAGAAACGTGCTCAACCGGCCTTTCTCCAGCCACCCAGTGCTATATCCGCCAGCCAAGCCATGTTTCGCAGTATTCCCGCCTCGGGAGATGCATTGTGGTGTTGAGTTCTCGTGCGCCCGAGTCCCACTGTGAACGGACATCGTGCCGTCCGCAACATGGACAGGTTTCGCGATGATCGATCGATCGTTTTGCTCTGCAATTCTCCCTGTACATAATCTTCCTCCCCCGCAGTCCTTCGATCGTATACAATCCCTCCTCTTTCCTGGCTTGGTGGCGGCTGGCGGTTTGCTCGGGGCGCATCGAGGGCTAGTGGAGTCGGACAATAGTCAATCATTCAAGCAATCAATTAATCATACCTCCAGCTGGAATCTCCAGCGTCTCCTCCGAGTGGATGTACTTCATCTTGCCTGGCGATTCTGGGTTGTCGTGGGGCGAGATGGAGTTTGGCGTTGTCGGTGGGTTGGCTGGTTGTCTTCAACAAGACCTCTCAAAAGACCAAGGCTTGACTGGACTGGTGGGCAGCAAGCCCTGCGAAAATTCTGGTCCCCAATTCTGGGTGGACCACGTGACTTATGATTAGCGCCATTCTGGATAAGCCAGCCGGACCGATAGCCTTCACTCCTGGACCCTAACCCTGTATTTCCAATTTCTTGGCAAGTTGTTCTTGGCACAGCATCCAGTCTTGAAATATAATAGCACAAATTCGAAGAGGTGTGCACTTTCAAGAGTTCTGCACTATACCGTGAATATATTGTGCAGGTACTTGCAACAAAATCCAACATTTGCATGCCCTGAGCTACTGGTATCTTGCAAATATGGGGGTCCAAGATGATCATGCACTTGGGGACAGACATGTTCTCTGAGGGATGATGCATGTGGTTGTTGCAGGTCTCTTGTCCCTCTAGGTTAAGGGAATCGTTCAAGATAAGCCTCCTAGATATGTGTCCAGGTATTGTTTTCTGGGCCCTGAGTGTGGCTCTTTCTCGAGTTCAGAACAGTCCACCCAGTTGGGCTGTAGAGCATTGTCGATTCAAGAAGCTCTAATGCATGTATGATTCCTTACCCAGAAATTCGAATGTCATCTCCAAATGAGGGCTTTTGAGGCATGCCTCCTTTTAGTGGGTCTCAGTACGTTGTCGTGAATTACTATGTACACTAATTGCTTACCCCTGTCAATGCTCCAATACTAAGGGGGGGGGGCAGGAGCTTGGGCTGCTGCTGGGCCAGCAGTGACATCGCCCGCCAGCCCTGCCCGGGCCCGCGATGCGATTCCTCTTCTACAATATTACCACAGCTCACGCGTTTCCACCCCACGCTTCCACGACGAACGACATTTCCAACCGCGATCACTGGCGATTGGCCGACACAATAACACCCGATAGCAAGTCAACCAACTGACTCTTTGCTTCGTGGACCAGGCGCAGCCTAACGACCAACGTGACCAGCAAGCTCGCAGAGCGCCGGCAATATGTCGTACTTCTTTGCGCACCCCCTCGACATCGACATCGTCCTCGAGGATGCCGACGAGCGCTCCATGGTCGACGTCAAGCTCGACAAGAACAGACGCGAGAAGGCTTCCCTGTACATGGATGGCGAGTCCGTCAAGGGCGCCGTCACCGTCCGCCCAAAGGATGGCAAGCGTCTCGAGCACACCGGCATCAAGGTCCAGTTCATCGGCACGATAGGTACTTACTCGTCCACCACCCACCGCCTGCTAGGCGCCACATGAAGGGGAGGGAGGAGGGAGGAGGGAGCGGGTGGGGATACTTGGGCAGGGAGGGTTCCTGCCGATGCCAATACTGGTGCTGATGCTGTTTCTCCGCAGAAATGTTCTTTGACCGCGGCAACCATTACGAGTTCCTCTCCCTCGTCCAGGAGCTTGCGGCCCCTGGTGAGCTGCAGCACCCCCAGACCTTCGACTTCAACTTCAAGAATGTCGAGAAGCAGTACGAATCATACAACGGCATCAACGTCAAGCTGCGCTACTTTGTGCGTGTCACCGTCTCCCGCCGCATGGCCGACGTCGTACGCGAGAAGGACATCTGGGTCTACAGCTACCGCATTCCGCCCGAGATGAACTCTTCAATCAAGATGGACGTCGGCATCGAGGACTGTCTGCATATCGAATTTGAGTACTCCAAGAGCAAGTACCATCTCAAGGATGTCATCGTGGGTAGGATTTACTTCCTTTTGGTGAGGCTCAAGATCAAGCACATGGAGTTGAGCATCATCCGGAGGGAGACGACCGGTGCGGCGCCAAACCAGTACAACGAGAGCGAGACTTTGGTGCGGTTTGAGGTCAGTGATGCCGGTCAAGCCTTGTTTTGTTTTGTTTTGTGGGGGGGGGGGGGACCCTCGCCATCTTGCGACTGGGTTCTGTGTGCTGATATCACATGCTCTGTACAGATCATGGACGGTTCACCGTCAAGAGGAGAGACCATTCCCATCCGGTTGTTCTTGGGAGGCTTCGACCTGACACCCACATTCCGCGATGTCAACAAGAAGTTCTCTACGAGGTACTACTTGAGCCTGGTGCTGATTGACGAAGGTAAGTCTGTCCTTGGACTTGTGTGCTAAACTATGCAAGTGTGCCGCCACCTGACACGTGCTGCAGATGCTCGGAGATACTTCAAACAGTCTGAGATTATACTATACCGCCAGGCTCCCGAGCTTGCCAACGGAGCTGGCCCGGATGGACTACCTGCACCACCCGAGGACAAGATAACGACGGTCCCGGCAGAAAGGTAGTAAATGCAGTTTCGATCTCTTGCAGCTTGTTTCGAGTTGCCTCGTGCAGTCTCCCCATGATACCTCATGTGCCACTTGAGGGCTTATTCCCATCAGTCCTATCCATACTTTAGCATTGTTTCGGCGTTTTAAGGTCCTAGCTCTTCTTTAAGATGGCTTATGTTAATGCAATAAAACTATAATGTTTTCTGAAAAGGAAGGATATTTCCATCTGGTTTCGGCCCTCCATTAACTTGGTTCCATTCCAAAAAGTGACTTGCATCCCCTGGACTTGAATGGGAGCTTCTCTCTCTGCCCCCCCCCCCTCTTTCCTTTCTTACTTCTCATGGCTTCCTCTCAAGCGAGTGTTGGCCTAAGATGACTTGTGAGTTCATCATTTTCAAGATTTCTATCAGCATGCACCCGACTATTTCTCTGTACCACCATGGCGTGATGTGATCATGCTTTTATAGGTGGCAGTCCTATTTCTGCTGACGTTCGTATGCCTGGTTGAGCACTGGAGCATCCAACATTGTCCTATATCAAAATCTGGAGGTTTCACCCAACTCTTCATCATCAATCATCTTGCTGCATGTAGGAGCTAGGGAAATGTGCTATATCTGCATCCAGTGTATAGCCTTCTCTTGAGAACACCTCAAGGTGGATATCATCGCTCCCCAGGCCTGTAGATTTTCTGCCACAGCTGAGAGCTATCAATTTAATCCTGTTACTCAGTGCCATCCATGAGCATGGTGCGTACCCCTTTAACCACAGTTAGAATCCCATCCCTGACCAGACGATCCACTGGCAATGCTTCAAATCCTCTCAATCATGATCAAAAGGTGTTTACACAATCTTTCCAGAAATTGTCAACTAGCATTTCATTGTGTATCACAAAAATATCAATACATAAAAAGTATTAGGAACAGGCAACATTTCTTTTGACAAGTGGTTACTGATCAACTTTCACAATTCTTCAGTAAAGATATTAGCGAACAGAGAAAATGTGCAGTGACATTCAGGATCTCTGTAGAGATCAAGTCTTCTAGGGGATTACTTAGATGTGTGGGCAGCATCTTTGTCTATTGATATATAATTAAACCTTGGATGATGGGCAATGTTTACATGTTGGAGGAGACACCAGCTGCATCACAACACAAGGGCGTTGTTGATTGTCACTGTGGCTGTTCTTTACATCACCAACATAACTGTAGCACCAGCTGTATTCCTATCTCTGGTTAGGTTATTTGCTGATAGTGTTGTGTTGTAGTTGACATTGTTTCAGGCACCAAACACAAATAGCTGGAGCCTGGCAATATTTGACCTTGTCGATTGAATCTCTCTCTGCCACCCAACCTACCACAACAAATCCCGTCGCCATCTTCATCCCCATCCCTATCCCCACCAACACCAACATCACAACTGACAACAACAACAGCAACAGCAGAAGCAACAAAATGAGTACCTCACAGAACATTCAAGCTGGCTCTGGCAGTGGTCAGGGAAATCCAGAGAAGCTCCCCAGAGGTCCAATCTCGCGTGACCAGGGACAGGAGATGAGTGACGACGAGGAGGACTTCAATGAGTCCTTCTTGGAGAAACTCGACGCCCTGAGCCCTGAGCAAAGGGCCTTTGTCGACGACTACATGACTGACGAGATGAAGGCTCTGGTGAAGGACTACCCCTCCCTCCAAGAGTTTGCTGTCACCTACGACAAGATAGCTCGTATCAAGCTGGGAGAGGATCTTTACACAAAGTACCAGCAAGGCTCTCTTGCCGTCTTGCTCATTCGTGCCAAGCTGAAGCCTGGCCAGTATGTCGAGCCCGGCGAGTAAGTCGTTTCAACTCTCCTGTGTGGTGTTTATCAATATTCGCGATTGACGCGAAAGTTTCGCCCCGCGCGCGTTTCCCCCGTCGCCCTATTTTCTCCCCCCCCCCCCCCTTCTCACACTGCGAATAATCTACGCTCTATTCATCTCTCAGCTATTCATCAGTATCGACTTGAAGATACTGACTATATGTGCAGCCGCTCTGTCGAGGGCAACAAGCAGGTTGTCTGGTGCGACGCGTGCCAGACCAACGTCTGCAGGGACTGGGCGCGGCACAACCAAGAAAACCACCACAAGCACCCAGGACTTGCCCTGATCTGCTTCCATCCTGGCTGTACCTCTCCTGTCTTACTGCGTGGCGAGCCTTCACAGTTGGATATGCACCTGTTTCGCCACGCCGTCTACGTCAACCTCGAGGGCACCGGTGGTACTATGATGGTGAGTTTATTCACCCGCCAAAATGTCCCCATTATACCATCCTCCCAATCTGTACAACACCCCTCCCCCTTCCATTTGGGAGTGAAGGGCTATTATTGAGGGCGAGAGCGCGTCCTGAGGTCCTGAGAAGCTGCCACTTCTCTCCTATTATCCCTCTTGTTCCCACTCAGAGGCTATGAAACTTTTTCCGTTTTCTTTATGTAACAGTTCGTCTAGACCACGGTAGAGCTCAAGAAACTCGAGCGCCTCACCTTGCCTGGCCTGATGGAGAACGCCAAAGTGCAGGGGCGCAAGCTGCAGCAGTACCGGGACCGAAAGGCGGCGGTCCTCCGCCGTGTCAAGTCTCTGAACAAACAGCTTGCCTCTGACCTCGCGCCGTTCATGGGACTCCCCGAGCTCGACGGCCCTGGCCGCCCCTTCACTCAGGCCGAGATCGACGCCGGACCGACCAAGGCCGCCGCCTTACAGGCTCTACAGAATATCCGTCGACTCCTCTTCCCCGGCGGCCAGACCTTGGACGAGAAAGTGTTCGAGAGGGCCGAGAAGATCGCGCAGCATCTGGAGGACCTTGAGGATGAGGGCTTGCTGGAGGATCTGACCGCTGACGAGGTCTTGACGATGCTGAAGGATGCCAGTATTTGACAACCTGCCCTGCCGATCGTCATACTGGCTCGGATTGAAGTCTGGACTGTCATATGAGAGAAAAGGAGAGGGGGGGGGGGTTTTCTGTGTTCATTGCAGTTTCGTGCGCGCAGGACTAGGTCGCCATGTCATAATGAATGCCTTGCATTGCTTGGTGGCGCCGTAGCAACGATTTCTGCCATTGGTCCGGGCGGCTAGATAGGCAGTCAAATTCACGGCGAAAACGCCCTGCGCGGGATTGTATGATCAAGAGCAAACAATGATGATGAGACAAATACGAGCGGTGCGGTCATATACCCGCTTATTTGCCGTTCATGCTCATCCAATTTTATGAATCAGGGCCACTGGAACCCTATATATTTTTTTTCCACCAATTTTTCAATGTCCTATCTGCCTTTCATCTCAAAGTGGTATCATCATCCAAGGCGCAAGAGTATCTTGGTCCGTGACTCGTACAAAAACATTGGGGCCGTCTGTGCCTCTCTCAAGACTCCTCTGCTCCTTACTGGTCGAGGACCATCGCATCATCGTCCTCCGCCGCCAGCCCGAACTGATTATTTTGTATAGCGGCAATCCGATCCAGCTCGGCCTGGTATTGCCTCCTCAGCTCTGCCAGCGTGACTACCCTCCTCTTGGCGGCCTTCCCTGGCACGCCGCCGCTTTCGGACGCCTCCTCGATGGTGATCCATGCCTGCTTCGGATCAACACAGCTCAGCGCGTTGATGAGCATCAGGAATTGCTTCGTGACAGATGTATCCAGCACGTCCCCCCCGGAGAGGTTGTCCCCGTCGCCGGCCTGCCGTAGCTTCTGCAGCCTGTCATGCAGTACCGCCGCGGCGCCTCGGTAGTCGTTGTGCGTGATGCGCCACGCGTAAAGGATCTTGTGATAGGGTGTCCCGCGGACCACTTCCTTTGTGCTCTTGCACCTTTGGAACAGTATATCATCAACCTCCTCCTGGAGTCCTGAGAAGGGCAGCGCGATGAGCTCTGCTGTCTGGCTCGTCTCACACATCCTCTCCACGAGCCTCTTCAGGCAAGAGTGTTTTAGTGCCCTGTCTTCCATCGAGAGGAGGGTCGCATGGGCCATCTCAAAGCGGGAGATAGATGTCGAGGCAGCGAAAAGCCGGCTGGACATCTCCCTTCTCATAATCAAGGCATCGTCGGCACGGGCGAACTGGAGTGAAAGCCGGGCAAAATCAATGACGTAGGAAAAAGCCTTGTGACGATCGTACAGGGAGACGATGTGGGCATAGTAATTAGCAGGACCACTGTTGAGTAGTCTCTTCTCCATCTCGTCAAGTAGGCCGCCCGTACGAAGGTCGGCGTTCTTCATTGGAACACCTGATGGAAGCTGTCAGTATGTTGCCTGTGAAGTTGGGGGGTCGCTCCGAAGCGATCAAGTTCACTTACTCATGCCAACTGCTGCTTTCTTGAAATAGCCAGCAGCCGAGGTGTAGTCTTTCAAAGACAAAAACACGCGTCCCTGAATATATACCGAAAATGGATCTTGGTTACAGAACGGACTGAGCTCCAATGCCAAGTGTGGCTGGTCCCTTTTGAGCAGTGAACACTGGATCAGTACCGGGGACAGCTCGATGCTACTGTTGGGTGCACAAACGTCGATGACCACGTCAGTCAGACTCGACGCCAAGGGCTCTCCATCCACATCCTCCAGGCCCAGCAGGTGGCTGATGAACGCCTCAAAAGCAGTGATGGTTCGCGTCTCTTCGGGTCGTTTCGAAGCGTTGGGCGACGATCCTGACGAGCGCTCAGACTTGAGAAGCGGGACGGTGATCTGTGTCTTGACCAGCCACCTCACTAATTCGAGCCTTCGAAGAGCCTCGATGATCTGGCGATAGACTTGTCCGATGTCGAATCTTGCATGGAGCGCGCTGTCCTCGTTGTCCTCATCATATTCATATTCCATGTGCACCAGAAGAAGAAGCTGGCTCAGCAAGACCTGCCACTGCATGGCCGCAGTCTCTTGCACCAACTTCACAACGAGTTTCCTTCCGAATTCAGTCAGGGGGTGCGGATCCTCTGATCCACCAGCATCCTCGTCCGTCTCGAACAGCTCGATCAGCCCTTGATACAGGGCTGGCGTGACGATTCTGAAGTCGCTTCCTAGTGTCTGGATGACCTGGGCTGCATCCTCTTCCGAGATGCCTCGCCAGCACCCAGACTCGTCGAAGAAGCGTTGTATCCGCTCCATGTCTGTCTTTGCCGGTTCCTCAAACAGCTCTACCCGCAGAGCAACACTGCTCTGCTGCATGATAGTGTCCGAGAAGTTCTCGACCAGCCCGAGGCCGGCAGTAATCAGAGACGTAACATTGTCTGCATCGTCCTCGTCTGTATGCGGGTTGTAATAAATCTGTTCCAGGTCTGAGCATCGGTGCATGATGGCGACGAGATCAGCACACAGGACCCAGGCCACGCCCGAGTTGTGGTCGAGGGCCAGAGAGAGCGCCTCCCCTCTCTGTTTATCCAGCTCCATGATGAGCCGGTGGAACCGGCGCCACTGGACCTCACCGTGGGCTCTGAACTGCTCGTGATCCATCTCTCCAGCAGAGAGCTTGCCGAGGGTGACTGTAGAGCCGAGCACGGAGCAGATGGATTCCACCAAGCCCCTGCCGTTCCTGGCAGAAGTCTCTTTGGATCCTAGACCACGCTCATACATGGCGAGCGCCGCCTCCAGTGTCGCCTTGGAGAACCTTCCAGGATAGAAGATGGCCTGGAGCCACTTCTCGGTCGAGTCAGTCGGATCTCCGGAGCTTGCAGCGTCTACATGTGTAGCGACATTGTCTATCTCGACGCTTGACCACTTGCTACTGTCCCACTCGGCCGCCGTATCTGAGGGCTTCGAGGAGCTCAGTTCTACCCTCTGGGCTCTGTAGGCCAGGTTGTTCTTCCACAGCACCCACAGATGAATGGTGGCGCCCGTGGGCTGGGCCACGCCAAAATCGGCCAATGTCCAGACGTCTCCAGAGGATGGGGCGGGCGGGATAAGGTGCTGATCTGGGAACATATCGTGGACGTATATGGTACTGTCGTCCTTGGCCTCGACCTTCCAGAACTTGAACTCGTTCTCGACCGGAGAGTATGCCACCAGCGTCCGCCTGCCTTCGACCCGTCCGACGATGCGGACCAGGTTGTCCCGTACCGGATCGATGATCCACTTGCCCAGCTCCTGCGGATTGCGCTCCACGCCCAACATATCTGCCGTGTACAGGATGGCGCCAGTCCGCACGTTCCAGATCCGCAGACGATGGTCAAGGCAAACGGTGAAGAGGAAATCGGCACCTTCGACCCCGAGAGAGTCAGACGCCACCGAAGTGGCCGCGGTCAGCTCCATGTTTGCCTTGCCGTGCCTGACAGTCTGGCCCCCCTGAAATGAGAAAGGGACGAGACTTCGGAGGCCCTTGGCCCAACCCTGTGCACTAAAGTTTGTTTCTTTCCACATATGACCAGCGGCTGCCCAGATCCCCCCCAATTAGTGATTTAAACGAGGCAGAAAAGATGCAAAGGAGTATGCGTACCGTCATGGGACTTGCTCCTGTCAAATCTGATGATGCCTCCATCGTGAAAGGTGACTATAACCTGGTATGCGCTTACAGCGACGAGGCGATGCGGGTGCTTGAAACTGAAGGTGCCGGCGAGGTGAGCCTTGCAGGCATCGCCGAGGCCATTCTCGGTCGCTGATGGCTTGCGAAAGTGGTCGGGCCGCAGGGTAACGGTGTAGAGATAATTGCTCTGGTCAAGAACGAAGACGCTGAGGGCGTCGTGCTCTGGGGCGTCGGCGAGCGCGACACACGAGGGCCGTATAGGGTTAGGAAAGCGCAGGTGGAGGATGAGGTTGGCATCGTCGGCGTTGGCTGTCTTGCAGATGTCGGCAGCGCGGAGGTTCAGGACGTAGTCGTCCTCGAGTACCCTCCACAGGAAGGAGCGGGGGAACTGGTGGTGTTTTCTGTGGTAGATAGAGGCAGCGGTGGCCAGGTTCTTAGAGCGGTACAACCTCTCCTCGTCGCCATACTTATCTGCCCCGTTCAGGCGGCGGTCCCTTGATCTGCCAGTGGTAGGGGACGGGAGGCGGATGTGGACGAGAGAGGCAGCAGAGGCCGGCTCAAGATTGACTCGAGTCTCCTTGTGGGCGATCCGCGGATCGACATCCATCTCGACTTGGCTGCTGCCCCCTCGGGTTGGCAGAGGGAGGGGAGAGGTCCGGGTCGAGAAGGAGGGGGGAGGTGTCGAGCGAGGGGCTAGCTGCTGAGCGATGGTAGCAGTGGTGGTGGTTTGGACTGGGCGACTGGAAGAGAGCAGAGGACGGAGCGCAGCAGGCAGAGTTGCAAAGCTCCAGGGTATGAAATGAGGTTGATATCGCGGTTGCGCCACACCAGACGCGTTCTGGCGGGAGGCGGTTTTGCAAGGTACAGTTCAGCTTTCAGTTGCATGCAGTCAGTCTAGCTGCCGGGGGGTGCCAGCTGTAGGGCTCTAGCTAAGGCTGCTGATCCCTGAAAGGCAGCCAGCTCTTTTTTGGTCTGTGCTCTACAACCTGCTTTTGCACGTCACAAAGCAGAACACCAGCATACCTTCCAAGGTACTATCGCGTGTACAAAGACTGATTGACTCTTTGAGCTCTTTCAAGATGGATATTAAAATGATAAATGTAGCACTGCTGGGCTGGATGAGGGCAGGGCAATCTTGAAATCACGATATTGTTCCACCTTTTACCCCTCCAAACCCCCTCTACTGTTTTATTTATTTATTTATTGTCATGTAGCCAGTGAAAACCATGAGAAACCATCCTCGCCCATGAAATGGGCTCTGGAATCCCTCAAACGTACGGCAATAAGTCCTTCTTGCAACAAATCCCCTCAATGGAAGGGCAAGACACCAAGTCCGCGGAAGACAGGCCAGGGTGTTTTGTTGTGTTGCGTTCGAATGTTGAAGAGTCCAAGAAAAAGAGCCCGCCCAAAATTTTCTGACAGCGGAATTTTGTTGCGCAGCGCAGCGCCTGAAGCACGCACAGACCACCACCACACACTTGTGGTTAGGCTGCAACCACTGAGCATCAAACACTCTACTATGGTACATCGTACATGATAGTACTATCTCCTACTTCAATTTGTCCGCTATGTGTAGTGTGAAGTATGCAACTACTTTGGTTCTGACGACATGGCGGCGCTGCTGTTGGTCGATCATCTGCTCTGCTCGAGTCAAGGCCCAACTCACCTTGCCTGAGGAAGGGAGAAGAAGAGAAAAGACAAAGGTCTCCTTCCGGATCAGGACGCCATCACGGGGTGGCACAGGCACGAGCAGCATGCGATGAGGGCACACGACCTCGACACAATATCGACCCAATCGAGATGCACCGCTGCAGACCACTAGACCAAGTTCATGTGCCCTCTGGGTTGCTGTGGGCTGCTCAGCCTGTCGTGGCAGGGGATGATTCTGCGCGTCTCTGGCCCACGTGTTGGCTACGACCCTGTTGATTTGCGGTGACATAACCAAGGAGAGCCAAGTTTGTGACTGGCCTGTGGTATTAAACTTTCGTCAGCCTCGCATCCGCGCGAAACGTGACTACTGTCCTAGCCTCAGCACCAGACTCACTAAAACGGTCCACGGGTACAGACTAGGGCTTTCATTATGTACTTGTACATACAACCAGCTCCCCTGCATCCATTCTGCTTGCAGATAAATACAACATGTTCACAATTGACACACTCCTGCCCAAGAAGGTGGGCGAGTATCTCACCATCATCCTTCCCACACGAAATCTCCTTCCACATCAGGCCAAGCAACTAGATTTGTATGGTCAGGAGCAGCCACAACCTATCAAAAAAAATCTAGAGGACCCCTTCTTTCGAGTGGGTCCCAGAGCCCGACCAGCTGGACTTGCAGGGCTGAGCTGGCCTGACTTTCGGCCGCGAGCGACAAGACTGACGTAAATATAAAGAAACCTGCAATCCTCCCACGCGCCACGAGATCATTCTTGTCACTTTGCTTCTTGCAAAACACACACACGCACGCACGCACCCACATATACACACAGAGTGGTATCCGGCGAACATGCGTAGACCGACAGATCTGCCTTGAGACGATTCATACAGACAAGACGACACCCCGCGACCCCCCCAGCAGGGGCAAGGTGGACAGAAGATGGCTGCCAGCGCCTTCTTGTTGGCGGCAGGCCTGTCGCTGTCACATATAGTATGCCGTGGTGTCACTGCTGCACCACAACCAGCAGCTCAGCAGGTCCTTGCCTCTCTCGACGTCGACGACACACCATCACTCGCGCCGTCTGCCCCAACCATCCCTGTTGTAGGCTCACAGCAGTCGAGAAAATTACACGGCAGATTTCTCCATGTCACAGGTGAGTGAGAGAGCCAGATCCCATGATCCTACTGCCACTACCTACCCTGAGGGCGAGCCTCATATTCTTCATGCCACATGTCGCTGCACCGAAGCTGACCTGCGTCGCCCGTTGAAAATAAAAGACTTCCATCCCGATGAATTCTACAAGGCCCATAGCTCCACAGCAGCAGACCACGCCTGCCACAGCGGGAAGGGTACGGCAGGTACCTACGGCGCCGAGACGTCAGACTGCGACACGCCCATCTCACTCATCAACGCGACCTTTGACTGGATTAGCGCCAACATCCGTGACGAGATCGACTTCGTCGTATGGACAGGGGACAATGCCCGGCACGACTCCGATGAGAGCATCCCGCGCTCAGCAGACCAGGTCCTCGGCACGAACCGCCTTCTCGCCAGTAAGTTCGCAGACACATTCTCAGATGCCAACGGGCTCACCATACCGGTGATTCCAACATTTGGTAACAACGACATCCTGCCGCACAACATCCTGCTGCCGGGCCCCAATAAATGGCTCGCATACTATGCCGACATCTGGAGAGACTACATCCCCGAGGCCCAGCGTCACAGTTTCGAGTTTGGCGGGTGGTTCTATGTCGAGGTCATTCCCAACAAGCTGGCCGTCTTCAGTCTGAACACGCTCTACTTCTTTGACCGGAATGCCGCCATCGACGACTGTGTCAAACCCTCAGAGCCCGGATTCAAGCACCTCGAGTGGTTGAGGGTCCAGCTTCAGTTCATGCGAGATCGAGGCATGAAGGCCATCCTCATGGGCCATGTGCCCCCGGCTAGGACGGACAGCAAGACGCTGTGGGACGAGACGTGTTGGCAAAAGTACACGCTCTGGCTCAGGCAGTACCGCGACGTCGTCATCACCGGACTTTACGGACATATGAACATTGATCATTTTCTGCTGTCAGACGCCAAGGAGATCACCATAGACTCCACCGAAGCCGAAGATGTGGATCTCGACTTCAGCCACCGTCAAGATCTGGATGACGAGCTGACGATCCAGTCTGCCACGGACTACCTCGAGGAGCTGCGCGACGGTTGGGCCAAATTGCCCAAGGTGAAGTTGAATGACGAATCCGAGCAGAAGAGCAAGAAAAAGAAGAAGAAGAAGGACAAGAGCAAGAAGAAGTTGGGTGGCAAATGGGCAGAGCGCTACCAATTGTCTTTTGTAGGCCCGAGTGTCGTGCCCAACTACTTCCCTACGCTCCGCGTTTTCGAATACAACATCACTGGCATCGAAGACGCAGTGACGTGGGCAGAGAATACCGAAGTACTGCCGACCATCGATAGCCTTCGATATGGTGAAGACGATGAGGAGGGTTTTGTGCAGCCCGAGCTGGAGCTGCGCAACTCACACGATGCTGAAACAGCCAAGAAGAAGAAAAAGAAGAAGAAGGGAAAGGGAGACAAGAAGCCCAAGGATCCAAACTTGGTTGTACCGAAGCCACCAGCGAAGTCCTCGCCGCCAGGACCAGCCTACTCCTCGCAACCCTTGACACTTCTCGGCTACACGCAGTACTTTGCAAACTTGACCTACATCAACAACGATATTGCCCCTGAAGAGCACGAAGCGGTAGGGCCCGAAAAATGGCGGGAAGGCAAGCACCACGATAAGAAGCCAAAGAACAGTACACCGAAGCCCAGGACATTCGAATTCGAGCTTGAGTATGCCACACACGACGATAAGCTTTACAATCTCAGCGACTTGACAGTCCGCAACTTCGTGGACCTGGCGTACAAGATGGGCCAGACAGCCAAGAGCAAGACTGCAGACTTGTTTCTGCAGCGTACGGACACCGTTGACGACCTTGTCCAAGTCGACCAGGTCGAGGGGCAAAATCCAGAGATACTCAACGAGAGCGAAGTTTTCACAGACGACGAAAATGATGTTGAGGAGCTTGCAGACGATGGCATAGATGCTCAGAAGAAGAAGAGCGACAAGAAGAAGAAAAAGAAGAAGAAGAAGAAGGCCAAGAAACTCAACAAGACGTGGCTCCATTTCCTGAAGCACGCTTTCATAAGCACAGTTGATGACGAACAATTGGAGGAACAATTCTCCTAGCCAGGACAAGGAATGGGCAGGAAATCATGAGAAATGATGTGCATAACATATATTGCATGGACGGCGTAATGGGAACCTTGGACAGGCATAATGTTGGTCCTCACACATACACATATATAGCGCCTCGTCGGGGCCCTCTGCATTTAGAAAGAGGGTATAATTATGGCTGGATGGATAGCAAGCGACTTTCAAGTATTTTTTTTTTCTGAGCCATCCAGTCAATTTGGCTTTCTCAACCTCGACCCCTGGTATTTTCAGTCCCTGTGAATGAAAAGTGAAGAAGGGCAAGCGGGAAAGACCAAATTATGACAAGATCCATAATCACCAGGTGATGGTCCTTGTTGTGATGCTTGCCTTTTTTTTTTTCGGATCGTTAGCAGATATTCACACTTTTTGGATCTGAGCAATCTTGGGCTTCTACTGTAAGGGTGGTGGTTCGCGAGGTGGATGGGTCCGATATATGTCTAGACATAGGCAACACACATGCAGAATCATCAATGACGGAATCAGTGTTTACCTTTCAACAATCATATTCTTCAGTTGTATGCTATCCGATCTGGCTTTGTTATGAAATAATACACATTGACATCAGGAGATGGTCCGATGCCCTAGAGCCAGCAGTAGGATGGCCTCCTATGCAGTCTTGCTTGATCAAAACCCCTTCCCTCCCCCTTTCTTCTTTCTTCCTTGCTCCTTCTTCCATTGTCGGCCCAGCATCTTATTATATACCCTCAGCAAACCAATGTGCTTAAGCCTAGTGAGGTGCTCGATGCCTCGATCCGAGCTAGTAGTAAAAGTAGCGGGGGCTGTTGGAAAAGAGCTTGTGCCAAGACTGTGAGCTGCGTTGGAATTTTCACGGCACTATCTGCCGTAGACACAGCCGTGCACAGAATGCTTGAAAGAACGTGGAGATGCTATTCAGATATCGTATTAGGCAGCTTGATGTTAGTTAGCTCTAGAGACCTCCCAGAGGACTGCGCTGCTTTGAGCATGAAATACAAAACGCCCATGGGTATAGCCCGTGCATCCATCATCTAGTCATTCTTTTTCCATCATGGCCCGGCCGCTTGGTAAGCTTTGATCTTTATGCTGAGGACTCAGTATGGAGTGTTATGAAGGGTACCACTTCTCTTTGGCGTAACACCAGGTCTACGTCCCAGTTACTTGGGAGCGTCACATCTAGAGCCGCCCATGTCGAGCCTTGAATATAGCAACTTTATCATCATAAAAGAGAATCTCCCGCAGTCGCAAGCGAGCCTTGGGTGCTGGCTCCACGAAGGAGTCATCGTCCGAGTCGTCGTATGAGTGCTCCGACTGTGTGTCCTCAGGCTCGGTCGGGCTCGTCGGAGTGCCCTCGTCCTGCGACTCCTCGTCATCATGATCCTCGTCCTCTGTATCGTCCTCGTCGGTGGCATCTTCAACTACAGCCGCCGCATGGTTCATAACAGCATCGCCGTGGACCAAATTCACCGGGCCGCTGTCTCCGCTCAGCTGAGTATTGGTCAAATTGTCAGACGGCCGGTTTTCCAGAATCTCGAAGCACTTGTTTGAGATGCCCACGTAGCAGAGCTGTATCTCTGGCCGCAGGGTGATGATGTCCGTCATCTGCATGACCAGCTCCTTGGGTTCGGCATTGCCAATCACGTGGTCTGCCAGGAAAGGAATGTGAAGCGAACGAAGCTGAGGGATATTGGGTAAACGTTGTAGGAAGGTATGCTGTGCACCGGTGTCAGTCATAATGACCAGTAATCTTCATGGCACGCACTAAGCAACCAGACTTACCCAGTCATTATATTCAATTGCCACGGCCAGCTCCCGCAAGTTTGACATCCGCCCGCTGGTGATATACAGCAAGACCTCGGTTGGTAGACACCATGAGCGCCACCTGGTGCTCTTAGAATTAGATGCGCTGGTATTGATCTTGGCTGAGCTGTCCAAAAGCAATCTTCGTAAGCTGGACCGATGACGTTTGATGGCACCCCTGAAGACAGTATCAATCGTAACAGGAGGCGGGCTGTTGCCAGTGTTGCTGCCGGACCGCCTGCGATCCTGCAGAAACAGTGTTTCTAGGGAATTAGGTGCCAAAGTCGCACGGATGAAGGTGATAAGGGCTGGCGATGTGACATCCGTATGGAGGCGTTTTAAATTGAGAGCGTACTGTAGAGGAGCGTTGGGCATCGGCTTGCTGGACGTTGGTGAGATTCCATAGCCGTGGACTCGGGGCTGAGGCTGGAATTGCTTTTTCAGCAGCTTCCACAGATTCTCGTGTTGGGCACACTCTAGAATGGTCAAGTTGGTCAATACTGCCCAGTCAAACGCCTTGTTGCACACCTGCATAGACAGGGGCACCCTCTCGAGCTCCAACGTCGTAAGCCCGAGTTTGCCGTCCAGTCTGTCCCTCACCGGACATTCCGACGACGCAGGGCATGTGGGATCAGCCGTTGACGAAGCCCCCAATGCCACCTGGGCATCTTTTGTAGGGGTCACGTTTGGCTCGGAAATCGGGGAATTCGTCTCATCTTCCACGACAAATAGCGGAACGTCTCCCGAAGTAGTAGGAGGTACCTCAGGGGATGCAGCGGGCGGAGTTTGTGGGCTGGCCAAATCATCTGGTGGCGCTGCGGGACGTTCAGACTTTGGCCTAGAAGGCTTCCGCCGGATGTCGTATATGCGGCCGACGAGCACGCCAAGAACACCCCCCAGTCGTCTCTCACCAATCCTGCTCTCACCTGGCCAGCGAGCGTTGTGGTCCACCTGCTCAAGCTCTGGACCGTCCCAGGTCTGCACGAAATCGTGATGTATAGCTTTGTTCGAGATGCCCACCCTGAGCTCCTGGAGGCTCTCCACAGACCGCTCTATCAGCACAGACATCTCATCCAGATAGGCCAGCTCATCGATATCCAGCACGGTGAGGCTCTTGAGAGGCGGGAGGACGCTGAAGGTGGGGTACTCGACGTGATTCTCTCCATAGGTGATGGCAGGTTTGGGCGCCGGATGGGAGGCGGTTGAAGGTAGCGAGATGCCAATGGGAGTCAGGGTACTGCCAGCGGGTACCACGGCGGCGGGTGCCGTGGCCGGACTGGGACTTGATGCCGACGAAGACGTGGAGCCTGTATCCGAATTGTCATGCCATCGAATCCAGACACGCTCCAGCATACACTGCCCATTTTCCGAGCTGTCGGGCAGAGAAGCCAGTGCCATGAAAATGTCCGACAGAACCCCAGTAGGCATATCCCATATGAAGGTCTCGAGGTTCACCATCCTGGATACTGCCAAGGCAACCAAGGTCCCCAGCATCTTGCCACTCTCTTTATTAATAGCATATTCGGAGACCCAGTCGTTCGGGCCGTTGCCCAAGGAGAACTTGCGGGTATATTTTGCGTAGTCGTTGCCGGCGAACTTGGCTAGCGACCCAGGAGGCATGTTTCCATCCTTCCGGAGCCGCCTCGTAGTGCGTGCAAACGGACTGCCGAGGCACAGAGTCGATAGGCCGTACGTAAGGGCGTCGACACTTTTCACCTCGGTCGTGGTGGTGAGGGCATCAGGCCAGACGATGTCAAAGCGAGAGTAGATGTGGGGAATGGCGAGGTTGTGAAGGGTTGAGTTGGTCAGCGCCAGAGAGGTGAGGTCGTTGGTATGTGTGATCTGTATAGGCTTTAGTTAGCGGGGAACGAGCGAACAGTCAGGGCCGTAGCCGTGGGCAGGACAGCAAGAGAAGACGCGCACCTCCTTCACAACCAAACGAAGGACGTCAACAGGCAGCTCGAGGAGGGTCAGCGGTGCAGTACGCGGAGTCAGCTGGTCCCAGGCAGGGTCCCTACTCCTCAGGTACTCGGAGATGATGGAGTTGTCCTGGCCGAGCTCGGCTCCAGATATAGCATCGTGAGAGTAGATTTCAGAGATATGTCTAGGATTTGTATTCAGGTCAAGACGCTCGTCCACTTGCTCGAGGGGCCGTCCTGAGTCTTGAGGCTGGTGAGTATCGGGATAAGGGTAAGAAGGCGAGGGTGGCTCGTAGTCCATGTGGCTATTGCCGTGCTGGTGGTCGAGCTCGCGCTGGCCGGCGTGGATGTCTGAATCATAGGCATCGTCCTCATCCTCGTCGCCGTGGTCATCTGACTCGTCGTACTCCTCGTGGTCTTCCGGGGAATGCAGTGGGTAATCTTCGAATGGGTCGTTCAAGTGATGGCTTTGATCCATGATTCCAACCTCTCGCCACACCAGCTCGATGCAGTGTGATCTTTGCGACCAGAATCCCAAACAAAACGTCGAGGAATCCGCGTGCTTCCGTCTCTGCTGTGTATGTGGGCCGCGTTGCAATACAGTCCAATGTCTTGGGTGATAGTGTCAATCCCCAAGTATGGTAGTCGCTTGTAATAATTATTAGAGGACAGACGAGTATGTCACAAAATTTCAAAAGTCAGAAAGAATATGCAGGACCAAAGAGGCTACAGTAAAAAGAAAGTAGAGTTGCGCAGGTTGAAGGAGAAACGAGTAGTCCAACGGGGTTCGAGCAGCGGCAACAGAAGTCAGGTGAAGTCGTTACGGTGGGCTGGGATGGAGTTTGGACTTTCAACTGACGTCTCGAGCCGTGGTTGGCCGAACTCCTAAGAGGGGCTAGGACGGGCCAGCCAGCCAGCGCTATAGATGGGCAAGAACCCACTAGAGCTTTCAGTATACTTAGGTTTGGCGCCAAAGTTTGCCAGGCATAGCCCTGTTACTAGGACTGAGCGGGGCCCTGGAAACCACCGTACTATGTACTGGATTGGTAGAGTACTTGTAAGTACAGAACATCAATGATCCGCATGTACCGCGAGCACAGAACATGGAAAGCCTCTCTGCCTCGGTGAGCTCAGTCCGTATCAAAAAATCTATCTGCTATAGGTTTCTGGTATTTCGTTGCCCCCCTTGGATATACGAACTTTCTAAGCGATTAGAGGGAAACACTAACGTCCCCTAGAATCCGTCGCAATACACAGTGGCGGTTCTTGTACGTACTCTCTTGACCACCACTTGGCGGGTCAAGGTCCAATCCCTTGATACCCAGCCACCCAAAAGCCACGTGCCAAAGTCTTGGAAATATACCTGTTTTTCGGACTGTATATCTGTAAGCTGAGTGCAACTATTTTCTACATCTCTCCCCCCCTTCTCAGGTCTGTGAAAGGGTGCGAGCGTTCACAAAGCGGCCGCACCCATTGGACCGCTTCCATTTGCCGTAGACGGCACCCGCGTAGCCTTTTCTTGCTCTTCTCTTTCTTCTGGCTCATTTGCCAAGCTGATTCATTACTCTTGGACAGCAAAGTGTCGCCATCGTCAACCTTCATCGTCGTCCTCAATGTCATCATCGCTGAGGACCAGCTTGTGGACCTGAAGACTGCTGATCATGGAGCCCTCGCTCTGCTCGCTTCGTGACTTGATCGCTGTGGTCCATCTCTTTCTAGGTGTTTTATCCTCTGTGGATTTGTCTGTAGCCCAGCTCTCTCCGGTAGGGTCAGTGGCCTCTTCAGCTTCCTCGTCCAATTCTTCATCCACCGGTGCGCCTATGCCCTGGAATGACACTACCTTCTCTAGATCACGGAGTCCCAGTGAATAGAATGACGTTCGGCGGTGTCGCATCATTTGTGCCATGTATGGCAGTCGCTCCAGTATCATCTCCTGGCGTGCTGAAGTGCCCAGAGACAGCAGCGGCGCCGCCTCTTCCCCTGAGTGGTCCGCGGCGGCCTTGGATTGGATCTTAACTGCATACTTTTGTTCGCCGCGATTGCCTACCCAGTCACCGACACTTCCTGCCTTGCTCTTGCGGAAATTAGAAGCACCATTCGAAACGCTCTGGTCGATGTACTGCGGAGTCGAGGCCGAGGCGTGATCGTCCCTCTTCAGCATCGTGGATGCCCAGAGATCCACAAGGCCTTCCAGCTCCTCTTTCATCCTCCAGAGCTTGATGCTCGTTGGGTAAAACATCTTGAATGTATCGCCACCTCTATTGGTCGAGGCGTTCTTGCGCCTCACCGGGCAAGGCAGGGAAAAGAGCAGCCCACGTACTGCCACTTCGAATGCCATCTCGTCCTGGCGAAGAATGTGACTACCCTGGTCCCTCCCACTGCCAGAAAAGCCCTTGCCTCCAAAGAAGATGTCCCAGGACGGATTCAGGAGATCGCTTTCGGACAGGTAGTCTATACAGCCGTTAATATAGTCTATTGATGAGCCTGCATCAGCGGCACTCGTCCGGTCGCAAGATAGAACGTAGTTTTCGTGTAAAGCTGATATGAAAGTAGAAGTATCCGTGCCGGTCTCGTCGATCAGGGCGTCCACCGCGACCTGAGACCGTTTATTCCGACTCATGTGAGTCAGATGTGGCGGTAGGGCTTCTGCTATCGCTTCTTCTGACCCTGGGGCAAAAGGCTGCTCGTCTCGCTTGTTGTAAACAACTTTACCGACAGCGTGAAATATTCCAAGGCTAGACTCGCGCTGCGAGATCAGCTCGAGGCTCTGCTGCTCCCCCCTGGTCAGGGCCTGGTCCTTGCTGGCCTTCTTGGTCTTGGTGAATGTGACCTTGGAGCCCCAGTCTGCATCATCATCGCCCTTGAGGCAAAGGAATTCAAGTGACGAGACGGCGTTCCTGATGTCTCCTATCTCGCCGAGCCTCTTCAACACCTGTGGCCCAGGGGTCCGTCGCCGTCCAGACACTCTTGCCTCCTTCTTGACCACAAGCTCGAGAGCCTTGGCCAACAAGGTTGGCGCAATATCGTTGAACTCAATGACACCAGTACCCGGGTGGCGGAGAATCTCAGCCCCCAGAAGACGGTGCGCTGTGAAGCTGTCTGCAGAGGCCGAAGTTGTGGTCAGAAGCGTCTCGGAGATGATCATCACTACCGGTATGACGGGTTCTGCCGCCGTATTCTGGCCGAGAACCGCCAGAGACGGTGTGTTCGTCGCAAGGAACTGCAGCACGGTTCTCCGAAAAGACGTGAGGGCATTTCCAGATCGCAAGAACGTGTTCGGAAACTCTTCAATCAATATGACCCTTCTGCGATCGTCACCAGGGCCATCTCGGGATGTCTTGTCTGTCTTGTCTGACAGCTGGCCGAAGTCTTCCACGTCGAATTCTAGCTGCCCAAACTTACGTCCTCGGCCCACGAACTCTTCAAACTGTGCTGACGAGGAGGACTGTGTCCCTAAAGTCAAGCCAGAAGCACCATCAGGATTTCTCCACTCAAGAATTTCGAAGCCCATGTCTCTGGAGAGGAGCCGCATCGTGGTGGTCTTCCCCGTGCCCGCGGAGCCTTTCAGGACCAACAAACGCTGGCGCATGCGACCGCCCAGGACATCTTCCAGCCACCGCCGCACATCTGCCACCTTTTTTTTGTGGACGACGAGCTCGTCCAGGTTCTCGGGATTGAATCGCTCAGACCAGGGCCGCTGGTCGATGCCGTCGGCAGACGAGGGGTTCTGTGAAGGTCGCAGGAATCTCTGGTTGGCACTAGTATTCGCTGCAGCCAAAGCTTGATCCGGCTCCGGGTGATCCCTCGACCTTTTTTGTGCCTTCTTCCCCACCAGACTTGTACCTGAAGCCCTGTGGACGCCTATGTCTTCGTCATCGTCTTCGGAAAGCGGGTCGCTGGTTATGTCGAGTGTTTGGGCCTCGGGCTTGTTGCCCGGGCGCCCATGGGACTTTAGCTCTGTCTTGGCCTTCTGGGACTGCTTGGAGAAGAGGGTTCTGATGTTGGCAGACTTCCCCTTCTCATCGATGGGCTTTCTGGCTTTTGTCGGACTTTGGCTGGGGCTCTTGGACGGCGGCGGCGGCCTGAATTGGCTTGAGCGAGTCGACACAGCAGGCGCAGTCTGAGCAGAAGTCGCACGAGATGATCGTGTGGTATTGCGCAAAGCGCTGGGAGACTTGGGAACAGAGAAGTCGTCATTCTCGGGGCGACCGGACTTGCTCTTAGCATCTGGCGACGAGAAATAGTAGTTCAGGCTGTTCTTCTTCGCCGGAGTCGATCTCTCATCCTGATCGTCGTCGTCGTCGTTGACAACATTCCGCTTGCGACGTTTTGCAGGCGGCGGCGCCATCTTGAGGTGGACGAGCCGGATCGGGTTGCTGGCACAGCATTTGTCGGAGAGTGGAGAAGATAACAAGCCTCTGGACGTATCAGTTACATGACATACTCTTGAAATATGTACATAATCTGGAGTAGTGAGCAGGGCAGATACAGCAGCACAACTACCACAGCCATGGGAGTCCGGCGCTGTGGTCCGTGGTGGAGTTGGAGGGTGTCCACTGGAGCCCATCAGCGCAGCTAGCAGGGATGACGCAGGCACTGGCCACGCGACTGCGAGAGTACTGTGGTACCTAAGCCTAAGCCCATGGAACCTAGCGGCTCAGGACCCTTGAAGCATGTGACCTGGCGTTGTTGGGTCGCGGTTGCCTCCCCGAGCGCGTTGCTCACCAAGAGCGCGTCGAGATAGATAGTCAATAACAACTCCATAGATGTCTTCTCTGCATCCGCCAGCCCAACGATTCTTATCGCCACCGAGCTCCTCAACTTCCCGAGCAAAATTTCAAGCAGTCATTCTTGCCCATTTCTTCTCTTTTGGTTTTTCTCGCCCTCTCGTCACCACTCAATCACCTGGTTCAAAAAACGCGTGACAATGACCCAGACGGAGGAGTACGACGAGCCTCAAAATGGCGATGAGAGCATGACAGGACCTGGTGCACCGACACCGCTGCAGGCTCTTGAGGTGAGTACTTGATCATACCCCTCTTTCTCTGTGTCTACCTTGTGTCTTCTGAGTAACTGACCTGCCCCGATTGATATAGGGCGTGGCTGGTCTCACCAAGCGCGACATCCAGCTGATTGTCGATGGCGGCTTCAACACTGTCGAGTCTGTTGCCTACACTCCACGCAGGGTCCTTGAGCAGATCAAGGGCATCTCGGAGCAGAAGGCTGGAAAGTTTTTAGCTGAAGGTACAGGTGGCCCCTTCCCCCCACCACTTCCTCCCAAACTCCCCCTCCCCGCGGCTTGCCTCGCCCTCCGCCTTCGCTCGCTAGCTCATACTATTGTGTCTACCTAGCCTCCAAGCTCGTTCCCATGGGCTTCACCACAGCCACCGAGATGCACCAGCGCCGCAGCGAGTTAATTTCTATCAGCACGGGCTCCAAGAACCTCGACACTCTGCTCGCCGGCGGTATCGAAACTGGCAGCGTCACTGAAATCTTTGGAGAGTTCCGCACCGGCAAGTCCCAAATTTGCCATACACTTGCCGTAACCTGCCAGCTTCCCTTCGACATGGGTGGCGGCGAGGGCAAGTGCCTATACATCGACACCGAGGGCACGTTCCGGCCCGTCCGTCTGCTGTCCGTCGCCAACCGCTTCGGGCTTTCTGGCGAGGAAGTTCTCGATAATGTGGCCTATGCGCGGGCCTACAATTCGGATCACCAGCTGCAGCTCCTCAATCAGGCCGCCGCCATGATGTGTGAGACCCGATTCTCCCTACTCGTTGTTGACTCCGCCACCGCGCTTTACCGGACAGATTTTCTGGGCCGGGGGGAGCTCAGCAACCGGCAAACCCACCTCGCCAAGTTTATGCGCACCCTACAGCGACTCGCCGACGAGTTTGGCATTGCTGTGGTCATCACCAACCAGGTGGTCGCTCAGGTCGATGGTGGACCCTCCACCATGTTCAATCCCGACCCGAAGAAGCCTATCGGAGGCAACATCATTGCTCACGCCTCGACTACCCGTATCAGTCTAAAAAAGGGTCGCGGCGAGACCAGAATTGCCAAAATTTACGACTCCCCTTGTCTGCCCGAAAGTGACTGCCTATTCGCCATCAGCGAGGAGGGAATATGCGACCCTTCGCCGAAGGACGTTGAGAAGATGAGCAACTAGCCCCCTCACAAGAGGAAGAGGGGTGTGGGGAAAGCTGGAGAAACATGGGGATGGATTGTGCGCTGTATCTGGCTGATCATCTCTTTTTGGGACCTGTTCTGTCAGTGGAGATCCCGACGGTACGAGAAACACGCATTGCATGCTGGGTTGTAATTCTTCAGTCCAAAATCTGCTTGGAGCTTATTTTTTTTTCTTGTTGTCTTTTCTGCTGGCACGGTAGCTAGGCGTTATTGAGTTTTTGCTTTGCTGCTGTTCTCGCAGTCATACAGTGTTAACACAGATACAGCAAATAGAGGCGCAGAGAGCGCGCCCGCTTACACGCAGGAGTGCTAAGTGCTGTTCACCGTCACCCCTAGTGTAGCGAAAAGTCTGACAAGGAGATCTCAGCTTGACAAGTAGCAACAGCCTGAATTGGTCCCGTAGCTCACCGAACCCACATCGTGGCGACTGAGAAGCTTTGCGAGATACATGACTTCCTATGAACTGGACCAAAGTCGCTGTTTAGAGTTGGGGCAGTGGAATAGATAGATTTCTTTTCCTCTTTTCCGTTTCCTTTCCCTCCATTATCATTTACCCCCTCCACCCTGGAGAAACAACACACCATGGTCAATCACTGGAAGCCGGCGCTCTCTAGCTCGAGACGCAGGGGCACCACTTCTGGCCGGCTCAAAATAGCAGCTTCATAGGTCCGAGACTTCAGGGGTGGGACAGAGGTCCCTTCTCTTTTTGGGATTGTAGACTTTTTTTTCATCGTTTTTATGGCTGTTTTATGTCTGTAAAATGCTAGCAGTCGACGTCAACAAAAAGGAAGAAGAAAAGGGGGGAGGGGAAAGTCCAAAAGCCCTCCTGCTGCTAAGCCATGTTCCATGTGGTGCTCAAACTCTTGTTCCGGTCAAATGAATGCCAAATGCATACAATAACGCCTGTGACCATATGAGAATACGTATGAAGATGCTGCGAAACGCTCCTCCGGAAATCAAATCGTTTGCCACAGGAAATCAGTAAGAAGAAGAAAATCCTATGCTTGATGCTATGATGGCTGTCAGGTAGTCAGTCAGTAGGCAGGCCGAGCTCGGGCTGCCGTATTTCTTGACATGCAGCGCAGCTCCTCGCCTGCCTTGTTCTTTCACGAGCGGAAGCTGAACCCCCCTGGAAATCACATGCTTAGGTAGAAGCACTAAGCAACGAAAACTATATCCCGCTCATGTCGCCATTGCTCCGAGCGAGCCGTGCCTAATTCGGAGGAGGTCGAGATGCTGTGTAGGAATCGGGCTGAAAGCTGATCTCACGGGGGAGCTGATTCATAAAATCGGGGAATCCTGGTAATTGCGAGGACGGGGGTGACATGTGCACAGAGGCATACGTCGATTCCGGGCCAGGAGGCGCGGCAGGTCCCATACCGCTGTACCCATGCACATATGGTCCGCCATAATAATCCCCGTTGGGCAACAGTGGCGGCATGTGATAATTCTGGGTCGCGGGGACTTGGTGTAGGAATGGGGGCGTGGAGTTGTTGGACGTTGACATGGCAGTCGGCGGCGGCAAGGGGGAAAAGTTGGACGGATGGCTTGGTGGTGCCGACGGCTGCTGAGCACCGCTGGTAGGCATGTGGAGCATATAAGGCGGCGAGGGCGCTACCTGGTGTGTCAAGAAGGGCTGCGGTGCTTGCCACACGGGGGCCGGCCTATAACCCGGCAACGGAATGGGTGGTGGGCTCTCGGGCCGGACCACGCTGGAGGGATGAGGACTGAGCGTGTTCCCAACAGTATTGTGAGGCGGCTCAAAGGATGTGGTTCGAGACGGGTGAAAGGTTTCATGGCGAGGTCGTATCCTCCGCTCCACGTCGTTTGCATCCGGAAAAGGAACCCCCCTCCGCTCTCCTCTCGTCGCGCTTTCTCGGTTGGCGGCCTCGTGGTCGCGTTGTCGACGCCAGGCAACAAAAGCCCTCTCTGAGGCGGAGCCTGGCCCGACAGAGTGATGGTGGGTCAGTGCTATCAGCCTGCGGAGGGTCGACGGCTGGGCCAATAAGTCCGGGTCGCCGCGAGCAGCCTCGACCATCCTCCGGATCAGGGTCTCGCTTGGTCTGGCCAACTCCGAGTCCAGCTTGTCCCGGCAGTACGGACAGCTGAAGGAGTCCTCCAACCACTTCAGAATGCACTTGTTCCCAAAGACGTGCTTGCACTTGGGCAGCTGCAGAGGGATCTCCACCGTGCCCTCAGGGCTGGCGACGCCGAAGTCGTTATAGCAGATCACGCAAGCTTTGCAAGAAACAGGCGAGGTTAGCAACCCGACCACGTCTTATCAACATGACACGCACACGATGGAGCGATCGGAACACATACTCTTCTCATTGTCCGGCAGACTGTCCATGTCCACCTCCTTCAGAGACTGGATGGCCTTTTTGGACGCCACCCTCTTGTTGCTCATCTGACCTCGTAGGATCTGCGACTGGCGATTGCTGTGCAAGTGATTCATCATGGTCACGGTTCGCGAGACTGCAGCACCAGTGTCGCTGTCATCGTCCGGGCTGGAGCTGAGCGAGGCGGCGGTGGGGGCGGCAGCAACACTGGCAAAATCATCACCGCTGGTGCGAGCAGACCCGCCAAGCAACCCTCCGTGAACGGCAGCCCTGTTAGGCTGGTATGATGAGGGCCTCTGCCCGGTGCGAGGTTCGGAGGGCGCAGGCAGCCTGCCCCTGGCAAAGGGTTGTGTGGGCGAGTCTGACAGACGTCCCCAGCCAGGCGTCTCGCCATTTGACAGAGGGCTGAGGGTTGCGGGAGGGCTGAGGGACGGACTATTCGAAGAAGCTGGGGGAGCCTGCCCATGTTGTGCGGGGGGAGATTGCCTCGTGTGCGCTGGTGTCGGGTCTGAAGAGGGAGGAGAAGGAGGCCCCTGTGCCCGAGCAGCATGGGGAGGGACAGAGCCCTGGCCGGATAGCGGGGGAAAGGCAGGGTAGTATGCAACTGCTGTCGTTGGCGGCGGGTGGAAGACGGCTTCTTCTTGGTGACTCGACTCGGCAGGTCTAGACGGCGGCGGCTCCCCGCCACGGTCTGTTGTCCAGTAAAAAGCCCTCTGTTGTGGTAAAACGTAGCCGGGCTGGTTTTCGGGGTTGAAGCCGGCAGGGACATGCTGGTGAGGGTTCCAAGGCCGGTGGTAGTCGGGCCAATCCTGTCGGGCGACGGCCCAGTTCCCGATCGCGGGACAACGGCTCCTCGCCGAGCGCAGAGGGTCAGGCCAAAGTGGACTGATGTGCGGCTGATAATTCTGTGACCCATGTGCGTATCCAAACCCCGTCGACGCACCAGCGTCCATCTTTTCCCCAGGCAAGCCGAAATGGCAGTATTTTGTTGGTGAGAACTTGTGACCCGAGCGTAAGGCTGGTAATGCAGGAGGAACCAGACCCAAGTTCCCCAGGGAACGGAACCTCGGCGTGCTGGAAAAGAAAGAGGAAGGTTAAAAAACGAAAAATAAAAGGAACCACGTCCTCAAATAGGTTCCACGGTGATCTCTTTTCTAGGAAATTTTAAGGGACAGCAGGTGCAGGCACTGAGAGTTCTTGAGTCGACAATGACCGAGGTGGGCAGACGTGTTCGTCGAGCAGTGGGCCTATCGGTCTCGGCAATGGCTGGGTTTGGCCCTGGTGCGTTTGCTGGCATATTTTATCAGCCTGATAATTCACTCTAGGCATTTTCAGGCGTACAGACTGATGCATTAGTTTGTGAACGGGAGGAAGAAGGGGAATACTCACAGCATCGAAGGCGATAAGTGACGATGGGCAATGGGAAGTGGGGGAGGGAAGGGGGAGGAGGAGAAGAAGGAAGGAAGGACAGGAAAAAAGAGAAGAAGAAGAGGGGAAGATGAAGTCAGGCAGGGAGAGCAAGGGACGGAGGCAGGTGGCGCTGTGTCAGTGTATGTGGAAGTCATGTGGATGTGGAAAAGAGACGAGGAGGCTACTTACGGAGTACAGCTACATTATCGAAGTACAAGTCAAGCCGAGGAGAGGGTCTGAATGGAGACGGGGCGGGCGGGCGGACGGGAAGGGTCAAAAGCGACAAGTAGCAAAGGCTGAAAGAAGAGGCAGACAAGAGACAACCAGCAAGCAGACAGACAGCCTAACTGACTGACTGACTTGTGAGGCGTGATTATGTGAAGCGACTTACATGGGGGGAGGGGGAGGAGGTTAGAAGGCCCAGAGGAGGGGCCAACCAAGGTTATGCCCGTTCGCTGTTGCACTTTCCAGAGAGCGTCTCTTGGATCCCTGCGTTCAGGTGAGCTGTGCTGCTGTGCTGGACGGATACTGGATGCGATGTGATGCCGTGCCGCGCTGTGCCGGGTGGGTGGGTGTGTGTGTGTTAGTCAGTTGGCTCTGGGACACCTGCCCTTGCTCTTCTTCCCCTTCCGTTCGCTTCCCTTGACTCCCCTTGGCTTCTCAACTCCCAGGGGCGGGGGTGTGAGAGCGACAATGAGTAGCGCGCGCACTGGCTGCAGCCAGCCCCCTGTCCTGCGTCCTGCGTGCCCAACGGTGCAATACAATAAAGTTGGTGCGTTGGTACCTCTTGCTAAAATACAATACAGCAAACGCCCAAGCAGAGTGCTATTCTGCAGTGGTTTGCGATGCGAGTGGATTAACCATAGGATATGATAGGATACGATAACGGGGGGGGGGGTTCGCAGGGGGGAGATGAGGGAGGGATTTGGTCAAGACGACAAGGATGGGAAGTCCACACGACAATTTGATGATGATTATTGATGATGACGATGATTATGAATACCGCAGGGCGGACTTTGGGACTTTGGGGACTCGACGGTCCAGGCTTAAGGTGGTAGGCTCTTGTTCGTGTCCGTTCCAGATCCGTATCATCCAGCCCATGGATGGTGCTCCTGCTGGGGTACCTGGCCTACTGGCTCTCGCTCGCTGCTGGCTGGGGTGGAAGGGAGGGGGTCACTGGGACCAGAGCTGTCAATGCACGCACACTCAATCAATCACTTTAACACTGCAGCAGGTGATGAAGGGCGCCTGGCCTGTCTGGCGTTAGAGTGAGAAAGTTGGTGTGGTTTTTCTGTTGGAGGGGAGGGACAGACAAATTGAATCAGTAGCTTTGAGGTTAGCTCTAGTGAGCTTGCCTGTCGCTGCTTCTTTGCTTTGCTTGCTTGGCGGACACCTGCCCACTACCAAAGTACGTACTTGGCAGGCTGTAGTTCCTTGACGCTCTTCTTGGTGCGTACCAGCTCAAGGGTTACTCCACCGGCTAGCGCGTCTCGAGGCCGGGCAGGTATCATTCAGGGAGGGTATTGAGACGAGAATGCGCTGCGATGCGATGTGATGCAATCATGAGCGGGATAATCACCTCGACAGCCAGGTGTCGTTGCATCCATCATTCATGGGGCCCGTTGTCCCAGGTCAGGTCAGGTCAGGTCAGGTCAGGTCAGGTCAGGTCAGGATCTGCTGTGAGGAAGGGACCTGCATGGCAGTACCCAGCTGGCACCTGCTTGCTCTCTTCTATTAGGCATTGCTGCACCCAGTGTAGGCGCTGTAGTAGCCTGTCGTTCGCATCCAATAGTGGGCCCGCTTCACTGGCTGGGTTCGCTCGGATCTTGGTCCCAGTCGTGGCGTCCCTCCCGCCCTGAAATGGTAATTCCTTTGTTTTTTGAGCGGGCCATTTTTGGCTGAGACAGGTAAAATACCTACCACAGCACCTGAGTAATGGTAGTCGTAAAGGTACCTAGGCATGCTACGCAACTGGGGTCCCAGAAAATCAATTAAAATCCCTGCCTTATCTCGACACCCACTCCTCCACAAGTCCACAAAGCCGACTCTGCATCCACTCTTCCTCGGCTGCCGTCCACCCTCCCTGCTATCTCTATGGTTGTACTATGGTACCATAGTATGGGCTCGAGACAGGTGAAGAGTGCTAGTAAAAAAGGGCAAACCGATCATGGCGCTGGCAGGCTGAAGAACTGCCCCTCCTCTCCAGGTTTGTATGTCTTGCTTGGTCTTGCCTTGTACATACAGGACGGTCATTATGACGCCCAAAGCTTCTCTACCCTCTCTTTCCCACCTGGATCAGAACGGGCACCGACAGCCAGAGTGAACCAGAGCCAAGGATAAAACCCTTCTCCAAGGACGAACTTGTTACCCGGGTGGGGAGAGAGTCATCTCACGCGACCCGGAAAGGGGAAGGGAAAAAAAAAAACCAGACGAGGCTGACTTGTCAGAGTCTACAACCTGTTGTCTCACTCAACGGGTGCGTCCGCTGTCGGTTTCCGCCTACCCCCCCCCCGGGTTCTTTTTATGCAGCCCCCGTTCCTTATTATCGGCGGAAGGGCTCAGTCCTTATTCACTTCGCGTCCTCGCCTCATCTTACCTCACCTCACCTCACCTCGACCCCTCCCTTCACACCTCGCCGGTCGGATCAGAGTTAATTGTGTCAAGGGGATTCATCCTCCACCGCTCGATCCCTTCTCTTTTCATGGTGCCGCTCAGCAAAGGCCCCTGCCCTGCTAGTCAAGCAGGCCGCACTGGCGGTGGACCTCTGTACGACAGTACTTAGCCAGACAACACAAGGTCCCCGTGTCATGGCGCAGATGGCTGGACCTGAACGCACTGCCCAGCCTGGACTGGACTACTTTAGTACAATAGTATAAATGCAGGACGAGGCAAGGAAAACAGAGAAGGGGGAGACACCCATATTCGCTGCCAGCACCCAGCCATTCCTGTATTTTATCCGAATCGCCGGAAAATTTGGGCCGTCTTGATCCTCCTTCACACACCCCGCCCAGATACCAAGCAGGAACTATCGACCAGTGCTAAGCGGTCCAGCCTGCACGTCTGCTGCGAATACCTCATGTTACTGTACCTACCAGTACCTCTCTTCTACTCCTCCCAATCTCTCGCTCCTCCGCTTCCGCCCGGGAATCAGTGGCCTCACCCTTTGCCGTTGGCGTCTTGTGTCCCACCAACGGAACAAGAATGTTTTCGCCCTTGCTGTGTGTTGTACGACCCAAGACGCTTGGGTCTGCGTGCTAGCAGATCGCCAACCTCCAGCAACCACCAGGAGACCAGGCAATGCAGCTCTCGACCGGGCCCTCCTCATCATGTCATGGGTTGCTGCTTTGGGCCCAGCCCGTCCGCCACGTCTCATGTCTAGACTTTCTTCCTTCCACACCTCCTCCCCTATACTGATGGCACTCTATACCCGGTTGCCTCCGTCTTCCCATCCTCGCCACACGGCTACGCACATGAGAGGGAGAGACCATCTCGGCCGCCCAGATCACGGCAACCAGGGCCTTGAATCACCCCTGTTTTCGCTACATCTGCGGAAACAATGCTCCTTTTTCATCATCTTTTTGTACAAAAAAAATCCTCAAAGAGAACCTCGCCCGATATGGCTGTTATTGAAACGCCAGCCACAGATTCCGCAGCAGCGGTAATCGGCACCTAGCTGACAGGCCCGTTCGCCACTACTCTAAACTTTGCAGTCCAGCTCCCAGGGACCACCTACTAAAGCTCAGCCCGCGGATTCCATGATCGACATGCCGACAGCGCCCACTGCTGCTACACCGCTTGCCTATCCAACATGTGAAGGGACCACCCCGTCGGGGGCCCATTCCTATAAAAGTCACGGGGAGTCTTCCATCGTAGCCTTTACCTGATTGATTCACATTGAACGCGTGACGGATTCATGTTCTCTTTCGACCTTTGCATATGCGTTTGAGCCAGTAAGAAGAGAATGGAGTGCGAGTTCCAATACTGAGAGAGGAGGGGGGGGGGGCGGAGGGGGATTGCATGTCGCTGGGTGTGGAATCATGGCCCGGCAGATGTCAATCAAGCCTTGGGCTGCTGCAAAGCCAGCGCAGCTCTAATGCCCATCCGGTTCAGCAAAGTCTCGTTGGTCTATGCTAGCACTTGGGACAGAAATTTGCCATGCTGAGTCCGGGTCCAGTGAGGATTAACACTTGACTGCCTGAACTTTGTGCAAGTGCTGTATGTATATCGATTACTAGTGGGAACCAGAGATGCTAGCAATGCCTCAGATCTCGTGTTGACTGCTCGCAACAGATTGCTCATGAGACGGCACAAGAGGCTATACTGCATCCGGGAGGTCACACCCCCCTCCAATGTGAGTTGTCTTGTCCGTCTACATAGTCATACTGCAGTGTGATATGTATATGTCTTACTCTCGCTACCTGCACTGGTTGGAAAACTATTCTTCCAATATGTACAGCGAATGGTGGTGGTGGTGGCAGTAGTAGTAGTAGTAGTACATTATGTACAGTAATGTACGCGCTGCGGGCCACAAAGAGCCGGTAATGGTCCCCAACCGGAGCCGAAATGCCGCAGCAGCGTGATCGGGGGGAAGGTGTGGGGGGGGGGGCAGCAGTTGCTGTCTGTACAGTAACCCCGCGATCTAGGTTCTGTGGACAAACGAGGATTGACCTCATATCCACGCCGTGAAAGCTTGTGGCCTTTCTTACCTGGCTCTACCACATCGAAGTACTCAAGCATACGACGTCGACCTCAGCCCGGATCTCGCAGTTGTACACACGTAGAACTCCTTTTTCTCTTTCCTCACACACACACATACACACACACAACACGATGGATGTCCGGGGCAGCTTCCCGGCGCTGGGCGAAAAACAGGTCTTCTTCGACAACGCTGGAGGCAGCCAGATCCTAGGAACCGTGATCGACTCGTAAGCAAGTGAGGAGAAAGGACCAGCAAGAGAAGAAGGAAAAAACCCTTCCCGAAGTTGATGGGACGCGAGAGGACGGCAATCATAGCGGCTGACCACTTTGTCTCGCGAACTACTACAGCATACGGGATTACTATGTGAACAGTAACGTACAGTTGGGCGCAACGTACCATACCGGGAAGACAGCAAACACGGTGCGTGCGTGGCAGGATATGACTTGCTGTTCTGTATTGCGCATGCCCTGACTAAGGAGGGAATTTATATTAATGAATAAAAAATAAAACAATTATAGCGATACGAGAATGCATACCAAGCCGCAGCGAAGTACATCAATGCCTCTCGGGACGAGATAGGTGGGTATAGTATAGATTGATTCCCCCCCCCCCAACCCCCCAAGAGTACGACCTTCTGTACCACACTATACCGTACGAGGGGGGAGCTAGAACGACAAGGTGTTGTTTGGAAAGAGAGAAGGGGGGGGGGGGGGGGAAGGATCAATGAACACAGCTAACCTCCCAGCACAGTCCTGGGGTCCTCGACGACCCAGCTATTCCGCAATACCTCCGCCACCCTCACGTTCCAACCAGGCGACGAACTCATCCTCTCGGGCATCGACCACGAGGCCAACATTGCGCCGTGGGTGGACCTCGCCGAGCGGCAGAGCCTGATTATCAAATGGTGGAAGCCTAGCTCCAGAGACCAGCCCAGGCTTACTGCGGCAGACCTCGGGCCCTTGCTCTCCTCCAAAACCCGCCTGGTGACATGCACCCACGCCTCCAATGTTCTGGGCACCATCCACGATCTAAAGGCCATCTCGACTACTATCCACGCCGCCGCGCCGAGCGCTCTCGTGTGTGCCGACGCCGTGGCGTACGCGCCACATAGGAAGCTCGACGTCCAGGAGACGGGCGTAGATCTGTATTCCTTCAGCTTCTACAAGGTCTATGGCCCGCACATCGCCATGCTCTACGCGAGGCGTGATACTGCACAGAAGCAGATGCGGAGCCTGGGCCACTTCTTTAACCCCCACGAGACGCTCGAGAACAAGCTGGGTCTTGCGGGGGGAAGCTACGAGCTGATGAGCGGGATCCCGGCCGTGACGGAGTATATCGAGTCCGTGGGCTGGGCATCCATCATGAAGCAGGAGGCCGAGCTGCAGCGGACTCTGCTAGAGTATCTCAACGGGAGGCCAGACGTCAAGGTCCATGGGGAACGGAGTGCTGACGGAGAGGTGAGGGTGCCGACGGTGAGCTTCACCGTGGAGGGATGGGACTCGAAAGAGCTTGTCGAGGCTGTTGAGAAGGGCACGCCGTTTGCCTTCAGGTGGGGCGCTTTCTATTCCAACAGATTGGTGCATGACTTCTTGGGCTTGGACAAGAGTGGTGTTGTGAGGGTCAGCCTCGTGCACTACAATACACGTGAGTTTTTTTTCTCATTCTATTATGAAGTCTGACGAATATCCCACTAGGTCTATACTTGGAGAAAGAAACACAAGATGCTAATGTTGTGGTGATGCAGTCGAGGAGGTGAAGGTGTTCATTACCGCGCTAGACAGAACACTGTCCCAGAATAAAGACACTTGATATCCCTCGCAAAGGACCAAGTTTGAACTGTAAGCTTGTGGGTGCAAGGAACAGCGGGCCAAAACAAGGGAGACTTCTCAGTTGGTGTGGATTCAACAACAGAGGAATGTATAAAGGCAATAGTAGTGTGCCAGTAGACTAGAGACAACAAGCACATAAAGTGGAACAAGATGGTGATGAGCAACGGAACTTGAAAAAAAGTGAAACCAGGTGTGCGATGGAAAGCCAGCCAGGCCCATCTAACTAACCTCCAAGGTGTGCATCACCAGTTCCAAATTAGGATTTAAGAGGGGAACTCTCTACCACAGGCGCCAAGTCTAGAACGGGCTCGTCACGTGTCCATGAAAACTTTTTCTCCCCCCCCCCCCCTTCTCTTCAGTCTTTCCCCTCTTCCTCTCTCGACTCACATGCTTCATCATCAAAGTCTCACAGCACTTGTCACCCTCAACAACCCAACGCAGCATGCTTCCCACGCCCGACACATCACATGTTTCGTATTCGCGGGTGTACGAACCCGCCGAGGATTCCTTCCTGCTCCTCGACACCATCTCATCGTCCAGCGAGACAGCTTTTCTGAAGCAGCAATTTGGGGTATCCAACAGCACAACAACCAGCATAACAACACCACTGGTAGTCGAAGTCGGCCCCGGCTCGGGCGTGGTGATCGGCTTTGTGAACGCACACGCCCATACCATCTTCGGAACCAGCATCCTCACAGCCGGTGTCGATGTCAACAGGTTCGCGTGCAGCGCTACGGAGGCGACGGTCAGGAAGGCGGCGGCGGCGACGGCCGAGACCCCAGACACGCGGGGCCATTTCCTAGGTGCGCTGAGCGGAGACCTACTGAGTCCACTGAGGAGCGGGCTGGTGGACGTGCTGATATTCAACCCGCCATATGTGCCGACAGAGGAGGTGCCGGTGCAGGACGAGCGGCTGGCTGTGGGGGGAGAGGGCGAGGGCGAGGCCGCGCTGACCTCCAGCGCCAGGTTTGACAGGGACTCATACCTGCTGTCGCTGTCGTACGCCGGAGGCAAGGATGGGATGGAGATCACAGACCGGCTCATCGATGCTCTGCCAGAGGCACTGTCAGCGCGTGGGATCGCGTACATATTGCTTTGCGCGGGGAACAAGCCCGACGAGGTCAAGACGAGGATCCAAGAGTTCGGGCCTGAGTGGCGCGTGTTGACGGTGGGTGACAGCGGTAAGCAGGCTGGCTGGGAGAAGCTACAGATCATCAGGGTATGGAGAGATGACTCTTGGAGGATATCATCATGATAGTATGTGTGCATATGGAAAAGAGGTGACAGGGGATCAGGGATCGGGGACGCACACACGAGTAGATGCCTTTGTGTCATTCAAAGCATATCTCTAAGCAGATTTTGATGTCCCCGAGACGACAGTCAGTCTCCTTGCCATCCAGTGCCTCCACAAACTCGATTTTGTCCTTTCTTTGTGTCCCCCAACGCCTCGATATAAAGATCCCTCTTTCAAAGCCATAGAAAGTCCATATCCAGCCAGCAAATGTAGTGACCCAGTGCTTGTCCTCCACAACGACCAGCTACTGTCTCTCTTTCTCTCTCGTGTCTCCTCTGAGCGCACCCTGCCTGAGCTGTCCATAGAGTAACGGGTATGTCTTGTTCCAATATCCCACACACACCCACACACACACACACACACACACACACATATCGCCCTCCCTTGTGGGAGCATTTACCGGCCACGGCCACGACCACGACCACCTCCTCTCCCGCGCCCTCCTCTTCCGCCGCGACCGCCGCGCCCACCACGGTCCGCAACCTCCTTCCGAGCCTTGTTCTTTGGTTTCGGTGCATCGTCGATCAGGAGGGTATCGAGGGGGAGGGAGTCAGGCAGGATGAAATAGCGGACAGTGGAGCCCCGAATGTTCATGGCGTCGAGCTGCACCGGGTCCTGACCCTTGGGGGTCATCTTGACATTGCGCAGGGAGGTGTTCATCTGAGGGGAGACAGAGGTTATGGTGCCGTGCACGATGGTGCCTGCGCGCCGCCGTGGTCAGCATCGTTTACGCCTTGAACCAGATGAGGAGGGTCGAAGGCAGGGGATCTCAGTTTTTGAACGCACCATTCTTGAGCTCAATCGTGACCGTCTCGTTGGCACACTTCATTAGGAACCTGACAAGGACCCATCATTAGCCTCTAGGTTCATCGTCGGGCACCGGCAGCCTTGAAATAGAAGAAGAGCTGGTTCAGCGCAAACAGTGCAGACAGACGAGCATGGCGGCAGTGTACTGCCTTGGGGGGGGGGGGGGGGAGGTGTCCTTACCTGACGAGCTTCATCTTGGCGGCGAGGAAGAGATAGGAAGTTTTTGCCAATTAAGTGTGACTGGGATAAGACAGAAAGAAAAAAAGTATGATGTGGTGATATTGCGCGGATTGAGAATGATTTGATGGGATGGAGCGTGTGCCTCGCTCAGGTTGGCAATAGAGAAGCAGACGCGCTCAAAAGCTAGTCGGACGAATCACATGGCTGCACCCGCTTACGTCATCAATACTCAGGTACCTGGGCTCAGCAAATGTTCACCTTTAAGGTAAATGCGCAGTATCACGCAAGCATCTTCTATACTTTTGGTACGCGGTCACATCAGGACCACTGGGCAGAATGCTATTCTAAAAGTGTGCTCGGTATCATGGGTATCAGGTATTCTGAGTAGGAATAAGGCATGTATACATTTAACCAGGCCAGCTGCGAAAGAGTTGGCAACACTAGTATTTACAACAGCGCTTCTGCCGTGGAAGGCTACACCATCACACCAAGACTAGATATGAATATACCAGGCCGTTGCCCTCTCGCAAAATCTCCTTGAGTGTATTGAGCACCTTGACTCCTCCCCCCCCCTCCCCCCCAACAGCGGTCGTCTACTTGGTCTTCTCACTCTCGTACTCGGACACCTTCTCCCACTCATCCTCGGTACTGGCACTGGATTTGCTCCCTTGCGACGCCGGGGGAATGCGCTGCTTCAGCTCGCCAACAGCAGGGGATGCCCTAACCTCCACCTCCTGGCTGGCTGCCACAGCCGGCTGGCCTTGTGTCGTTGCCTTGTCCGGGAAGGTCTCGACCTCGGTCTCGCTCTCTGACGTCTGTATGGTTCGGGCCCTCGCTGCAGTCTTGCGCGCGGCACTGGCCTTTTCCTTCAGTTCCTGGTCGTGGCTGGCTTGTAGCTCGCGGGCGAACCAGTTGATGGCCCACCATAGGGCAGCGCATAGGAAGGACAGGATAACGAAGTGGATGCTGTAGGTGGCGAGCAGCAAGGCGCCTAGGACAAGCTGCAGGGCGGCAAAGGTAGCGTTGGTGGCGATAAGGAGGGACGGCGTGGGACCGGGGGTGAAGATGGACTCCCACAGGTCCTGGAAAAATTGCGACATGTTGTCTTTTGGGATTTGATGCGACACGTTGAGAGCGGGTGATAGTGACGGCGGGTAAACGCGGCAGGTTTAAGAAGTCAACGGCTGCTGAGGAAATGCGGTAGACGGATGCTGCGCTGCCCGAGTTGCAACGTCAGTGACACGATCGATGATGTCTGTCTGGAACTTTACCGCGCATAAAAAGAGACAGACTGGATGGTGGAGGACACGTATGTTGATAGCGCGTGGGTAAGAAAAATCAAGTAGAAACGACCGCTCGGCGGGGACTGCTTACCTTTCGGAGGTCTGGTCTACTATGTAAAGTAGGTTTGGCCAGATGATGACGCGCCTGTAGATGCCACCCACACACTCAGTGATAACATGAGTCAAACAAGCGCTGGTGGTGACAGAATTTGTATGAGAGCCCGTACAGTAGACGCCCGTCCCCTTGTCTTCATGCCCAACGTTATCTGTCTGGTCGTCTGGACGGAGAGTTGGGTTGGAAAGAGGTGTGGTGACGGCGGCGGCGGCGAGGGGCCATCAGGCCTGTGGAGGAGGAGGGGGGGTGCCTACGTAGGGAGGGGTTCGTCCACAGCAGCGGTGCTCTGGCACACTAAGGTTGCCAGGTCTCTTTGGGCCCACCGCACTACTACTGCAATATCAAGGCATGTACCATAGTACAGTAGTAGCTTCCCGCCTGCCGCATCAGAGCGCCTGCCGCGGTGCGCATTGGAGTACGTACTGAGGTGCTGCACTCTGGTACTCGTCACTAGTAACTTACATTGCAGTGCCATAATACGTAGGTACCAGCCTACCTGCGAGCACTGTTAGTGCGCTGAACGCAGACCCCCCAGCGTAGGATAAGGATATCATCCCTTTCATCTTCAACACTTGTGCAGTCGCAAGGCGCAAAATACGTGGCTCAAAATCACGACCCCGCTCAGGGAAACTGTTTACACGCACACAATATCACATCACCAGAGCATAGACGAACAGCTAAGGCATGAAGGACATATGTCACGACTTTGGAAATTCGAATGCTCAAGGCGGTCCCTCGTCCAGAGAGGAGACACAAGTTTACTTATTCTCTCGATCATCGGAAACTGATTGTTGGTCATGGCTCCTCCATTTCCCAACGTATACCTTCAAATACGTTTCAAATGACAGAACAAACTCTCAAGTTAATATACAAAGAAGACACATTCAAACATAAGACAAAACAATCCTCCTCGAGCAATACCAACGATCTGACATGAGTACAGCAAGAGAAATGCATCACCAGATGGCGACATCCTGCTCAATCTTCTGTGGCCATGGTCATGTTGCCCTTGGGGAGCGCAGGAAGCCCTATTATGGTCAGCATGAGGAAGCTCGAAGAATATCATGGCGAGGTGTTGGACGGCTCACATCCGTCGACCAATTCCTTGGCCTGCTGTGGGTTTGTGCACGCCTCATAAACGCTGGGCGACTGCGCTGTGATACCTGCCGCGCTACAGCTCTGGTCGAGGTTGCAGCCGTTGTTCATGGCCAGCTGCAGCGTGTTATTCTCCCATCCGAAGAGGTAATCCCCATGAGCAGATGCCCCTCTGGTGGTAGTTGTCATCGTCTGGTGTCAGCTTGAACTCTCCTTGTCGTCTCCTCAAGAAGAAGGTGGACTGTTGTGCCACTCACCCGATACCCGTGCTGTATACGAATGGATTCGAACCATCTGTCGGCCAGATGCTGTCCCGTTCCTGCTGGAACATGGAGACATTCCACATAATCTCATACATGACCTGAGGCAGCTTGACCGGGTGAGTACCCGAGCAAGCGCCGCCTCCTGTCGCCCCAGTCCCGCTGTAGGCGACATGGTCTTGGTGGTTGGCACTATCAAGATTCACACCGTCCCAACAGCTAGTACAAACAAAGACGTCAGCTATCATCTCAAGGAGCGGAGGGTATGAGGGGGCTGCGCACGCTGGGAATATGATCGTCTGTCGGATCATCTGACAATCTGCTGCATCCGGGATCTCAACGGTATCGGAGCCCGTGCAGGGCGCTCCGCCGACGAAGTTGTCTTCGTTCGTGCTCGTCCAACATCTGTGACAGATATTGGCCCCATTCACCTGGCTTGTGTCCTTGTTGGTCGCGTTGCCAGCGATCATTCGGAAGCCCTTGACTTTGAGTCAGTCTTGTCGTCGTCTCATCATCCTCATTACATCATCAAATTCTGCCGACCTAATTCTTCTTCGGGACATTACCTTTGCGAAAGCGGTGGTCTGGCCACTCGGAATATAGTACACGTCAAGGCCGCCATTCTGAGCCTGGAACCTCTCGAGTCAGCCATGCAGTTCTCATCACCATGTCCTCTTTCGTGGGATCATCAACCTTACCAGAGTGCCTTGAGGCCCTCCGTTGCCGACTTGAGGGACACGATGGTAGGATCCGTTGCGAGCCTTGAAGAACATCACAGCAGTCCAGTAGTTGCTCCTGTCCTGGGCAAAGTTGCAGCTTGTGCAGGTGGACAAGGTCGATGGATCATGAGTCGTCGGGTCCATGGTGGTGTTGAACGAGTTACCACCAACAATCTGGTGAAGATGAGGTGTGAAAATCTCACCAGGAAACACAATGGGGTCACTTCGCTCCACGACGAGCTGAGAACAGGCAAAACGTAGCATGTTCTGGGACATGATGCCACGCGCGAACAGCGCCGTTGCCGCGAGACTGATGAACTTCATTTTTGCCTGGTAGTCGATTTCGTGATGCAGTATGATAACACAGTAAGTTGGCCGTGGAGAAGAGGGTCGCAGAAAAGCCATCAAAGGAGCTGCGAGGAACCTACGGATGAAGAGAGAGTATTTCTGTCAGAGTGACAGCAAACTATGAGCAAGAGCCCGCCACGTCCTCCGTTCAACTCGAATTCAAATGCCGAGATACTTATCATTTTATATATTAGACGGTAGCTCCTCTTCCGGTGTGAATAAACTTGTGACCGGCCAGCCATGCCTCTGGTTACATTTGATAATATTCGGTGGCTACTTCGTTGGTTGGCAGTCACTGTGCGCATATTACGCCGATTTACTTTTCCATGCTATTCATGGCGAGGATCCTTTCGGATAAAAACATCACGGCCCAAGTTAGCCAGATAGTTCCGCCAAAATCCCGCCGGCGACAGTCACAATGGACAAGTGATATAGTATCGTACCCCCTTCATACTCTTTCGGAACCAGTCATTCATGTCCACGGGTTCGAGGTGTTTGTGACCGGCGAATCAGATGTGATCTTGTTTAATCAAGCCACAATCACTTTGTGCTGGCTGAGGATGGTAGTCAAGGGTCAGTCCTTCGTGGGGTTGAGACTCAAAAAGTCATGATACTCATCACCGGCTGACGCATTCTCAAGCGATGTCGGCAATAAAGGAGGCAGTAGGTCTGGTGATGTTGTAGAGGTAGACATTCATGAATAAGTAATTATCTGTCGAAACAGATCTCACAGCAAGACTCAGGGCACTTAGTGACATAGCAATCAAGAGAGTCGTCAAGTTTCTACCAGAAACAGGACATGATTTCCTCGTTCACGTGCACAGGTCTTGCAGCAGGCATCAAACCACAAAAGATAGATAATATCAGAGGTAGAATACTCCCGTGCCGTGACAGCACAAGTACAGTTTCGAGACGTGACAGTCCACCTACTTTGTTTAGCGGTCTTGAGGTATTTGACGTACATTATGGGGGAAGGATTCAGCTCCAGTACTCATGTCAAAACGTGTTGACTTTTCAGCCACTTTTGCGAACCCAGCCGTCAACCTGGAGAGCCTTCATCTTAGAAGTTCGACTTACCTGAACCAACCTCAACACGTAATATTCTGGTTCTGAATTGTCTCTTCAGACTCAATAGCGAAAAGCCCTTTGTCTACTATCGAGGATATACGTCCTCTGAATAATTGGCTGTCGGTGACTTCAGCGGTCCCCGATTGGCCAAAACGCTTACTGAAATTCGTCCGTCTAAATCCCAAGGAATGGTCTCGCACAGACTTGATAAATCCTTCTGTGATAGTCGTCAACATAACCCCTTCACCAAGCATTCTTGGCCAGCCATATGGCCTCTGATACATGAACTGCCGAGGAAGTGGAGACTTCAATATACGGCTGAACGCGATTCGGAGTGTTTTTCATTTAGCGACCCAATCTTTGAAGCCACGAAGAGTTCAAATGCTTGCTCGGCATACACCCACCGTCTTTTTACTATGTACTGCTGAGAAAGGTATCCAGTCAAGTACTTTAACCAGAAGGAAGGCCAGGGGGACGAGAACGACAAATAGAATGCCTAGGAGTGAGTGCGGTTTACATCCTACACACAAGAGCTGTAGTTTACCGCTACGTGGACGAGAAAGATGGTGGTTGTTTGTGGACACTTTCTGTAAGTTTGGTCAGCCTGAAAGCACGTCGAACTAGAAGGTGGTCGCGAACCAGAAGGCGGTCTGAAGAAGAAATTGAGTGGGATCGCTTTTAATTTGACTTGTATTGAGCAGAAGGTCAAGCATTCTGGTGTTCCCAAACAAAGTTTAGATATTTAGTGCTTTTATAATTGTCCTTGAAAATACTCGCAAAAGATATCGGTAGTCTAATAGAGGGTCGAGGTAATGATTCCAAGTGTAATGAGGGCATCGGACGTTTCTAGGAGGACGTCTAGCGTTTCCTTTCAAGCATTGAAGTAGTATTAATTACGTGGTCATTGAAACACCAGTTCTGGCGATCAGATCACCGTGGACATTATCTGACAAGTGTTTCAAGACCCTGGAACAACATACGTGACCACCTGCTTCAGCTTTGAGTTGAAACAATTCCCAACCCCTAAGGGCGCTAAGAAACCTCACATTCCTAGAGCTTCTCACCTGGGCATCATATAATAATCTGAAGTCGTGACCTAGCTTAGATGAGAGGATTGCAAACATTCTGTAATTTTGTCTTTCTTCAAGATTCTGGAAGAATAGGTAACACTTCGGCCTTCTCTAAGATGCATTCGTCTTCCTTCCAGCTCATATTCAATATTGCTGCCATACCTGCAGCATATCTATATGGTACTGGATTCTCCTTTGAGAATATACTAGAGAGATACCAACAATGGCACGACCGGCTGTACCTCAAAGAGAATCAGATACTGGATACCAAAGGGTATGCGTGCCAGCACCCGGCACAGATGCGGCCCAAATTCCTCGCTTATGACCCAATCATGGTCTACATCGAAGGCTTCCTGACTGAGTTCGAGTCTGATTATCTCAAACAACTCGCGTTAGTTCTCGAATCATGAGGCGTGTATGACAGTGAGGGAGCTGACAGTTTTCGCAGCAACCCCCTCTACGAGGAGTCCGAAGTGCGCAAGTATGAAGATGATGGCTCCAAGACAGTCAACATCGACAGAAACCACCGCAAAAGTGATACAGCATGGCTCCCCTCCGAGGACCCCGTCGTCTCTTGCGTGCGCGAGAGGGCCGCCGAGTTCGAGGGCTATGCTCCTGCCAACGGGACGATGGACGCTCTTGCTGCCGTCCGGTACAAGCCCGGCGGTCGTTTCGGGATGCATCACGACTGGGACACGGACCGCAAGAAAGATGTAGACAGACGTACGTCCTTCTTCGCGACGTTAGAGTCGGACAATTGCACGGGCGGGTCCACATACTTTCCACTCGTGAGGCCAGCTTGGGGAAACTCCAAGAGGTTTGGGCGTCCTTGGTGTCGGTGGACGGACTGCGACTTTGAGGGCGACGGAGTTGCCGTGAGACCCATCAAGGGCAACGCATTGTTCTGGGTCAATTTCAGGGAGGATGGAACTGGAATCCACGAAACTATTCATGCCGGGCAGCCGCTGCTAGAAGGCACCAAGATCGGGATGAACATATGGACCCATGGCTTGATCGGTGCAGAGGGCGGCGGTCTACGAGATGATTGATTCGAAAATGTTGATCACCGGGCAGCAGTAGCCTCCAGGGCTAATTCGCTGAGATTCTGTAAGGTCGAGAAGTGACACCGCACATTTCATAAGATCCTAATAAGTCACATAATTCTTCGTCTTTCATTCTTATCTCTCTTATTAATGTCCTATGCTTCTGGAGTATGCAACCCTTTTTCTTTCTTTCTTCTTCTTGGTCTTTCTTGACTTTTCCTTTGTTTTTTTCTTTTCTTTCCTCTTTCTTCCTCTTCGTTTTCTCCCCTTTTCATTCGATCAATGGTCAGCCGACCACCAATAGCGTATAAATGTTCCTGAACACCGTGCTATGCTTCATCGAGCGAGAAGATGACGTGCAAAAATGCAGACGCAATGCTCTACAAGCTGATGAAATCCTGCTGCTCGAAATCCACAGAGCCATCTTCTCCGACGAACTCATCGACCTCGTCAGAGTCCACCTCATCAGAGCCGACCGAATCGCCATCGTCGTCACTAGATGGATCATCGCCATCATCACCCTGATCGGCGGCCTGCTGACGAGCAGCACTGGCCTTGCGAAGGACGCTTGCCCTCTCGCGGTGGGGAAGCTTACAGCCTTTAGCCTTACAGACACCGTCGTTGCTGAAATCGGGACACTCGAAGGAGTGGCGATTGGGACAGCTGATGCCCTTGTCGCAGTAGCCATAGAAGCCAAAGTCGCGACAGACCAGAGCACCTGGAGGCAGTACGCGGTGAGTATACGGACAATCGGGCTTGGAACAGTTGCCCTTGGCATAGTGCACACAATGGGGAGTGCGCTCGGCATTTAGTTCGTGCGACAAATCACACTGGTCTCCGTAGACACAAGCACCCTTCTGTAGGTACTCCTTGCAGGCAGCGACCTTGGAATGGTCATGTATGTAGCGGCACATAGGCCCCTTGGGGCAGGATCCTATAGGAAAAGATGCCACAGTTAGTACTGCTGGTCCATCATGTTGCGAAAACGCCAGGAAAGAAGACATGGGGGTTTCTTGAAAGGAGGTACCGGTGGTTGAGAAGTTCTTGCAAGGAACGTTGACCTTGTTTACGGCGCCGGATCGACTGTGGGGTGGTCTCGTCAGTATATGCCCGTCGCCTGGAAGGGCGACATACCGCTGGGCCTTGACAACCGCCTGTCGGTACATATTCCCATTTTTGGTGCGGTAGAACTTGACGCCTCCGACGATGGCAACCTTTGGGGTGGCTTTCGGGACATTCGAGTCTCCTGGAAATATGTGAGCAGAGGTACGAGATGGTCGGGATCGGATTAGAAGACATACCGGGAAGTTTGACGAGTTTACTGCCATTCATAACGACGGAAAATTTGATGCCATCAACGGTAATCTCGTAAAGCGGGGCTGTGGTAGAGTTAGCAGAGACGACAGAGGGGTTGGCAGTCCGCCTGAGGTGGCTCATGATCTGCGACCGCTCCATATTCTCCTTCCGCCGCAGTTTCTGCAGGCGGGTCTGCTCGATGGCCTTAGCGCGGGCCTCGGTCTGTTCCTGATAGATGTTGGAGTTGATCAATTGCATGTGTCGATCAGTCTTGGTGACCCAGGAAGGCGACGCGGCATCGGAGGCTGAGCTTGCATCGCTGCTGGTGGTCTTTGGACCCGAAGCGCCGTTGAGAACAAGTGTTCGGTTACGATGAACTGGAGGCTTGCCGACTCGATATCCTCCGCGGGGAGAGTAGGGGTGGTGGCCATGATAATAGCCGCCCCTGCCATATACTGATGGGTAGCAAGGAGTATTATCAGTCGAAAGTCCGTGAGCATAGGGCGGATATTGGGGTGAGTTAAGCATACCGCGGGAGGGACCATGGTTTTGCGGTGCTGGAGCGGAGACAGGACCAGCTTGCTGGTTCTTGGCACGATTGATCTGGCCTGCGATGACGAAGAAAAAAATTAGATCTGGGTCGTTGAGGGGATAAAGAAGGGGGGGGGGGGTGCAGCAGCGTTAGGCAAGCCTGTATATGCTGTGTATCTCACCTGCTAGGAGGCTGATCTGCTCCATCAATTTCTGGTCCTCATCAGACATGTTGTGTTGTTTGTCGGTAGGAGGTGCAATCTGTCAAGTCTTTAGAGGAATTTTGCTGGTAGGGTGTAGAAAGGGGTGGTGATGGTGGTGGTGGCGGATGGGTTGCTTTTTCTGAAATGGCGGCAAGAAATAGTTACGGAAGATCAACAGGTGATGGAGAGTTGGCTGCTGATATAAGCAAACAGGCCCATGTCGTCATTAAAGCACTCTAATATTCCAGCACCTACTGTAGTACTTTGTCACTTTTGGCTCAACTTCACCGCATAGACATCCTGACCAGTGCAGTGCAGGTTGGACTGTTGTCTTTGTTCTTAGTTTTCTTTGTCTAAATTTCACCCAAGAATCAGCTGCTTAATATCTTCGACATGCACCCATCCTAGAAGTTGTCTTAGAGTGCTGTGGAAGTCCAAGAGTCAGAGTACTTGTGCTTCTTCTAGGTGGGTTACGTAAGGACATCCGGCAGCCTCAACTAGCAACTGAACCTCCAGACAACGTTGGATTGGACGAGCAATCTATCGCCTTCGACAGTCCACTCGCGCGTCGGACGTACTGACTGACTACCTGCGCACCGCCTCTTCACCTTCCAGTCTTTCCAATTCCCGCCCTCGCTGGTCGCCACGTGCTGCTGCTCAGCCTACATTCACCATGGCCGACTCGATGCCCATCAAGCCCGACCCGGAGGACATGAAGATGGAGGACGGGTCCCCCATGGCCGTTGATGATGACCCCTACGAGGAGCTCGACCTTGAGTTCTACAACACCACCGATGGAAACGGCATGCCCACCCCACAGGACAGCCTCCTCATGGCTCGTGTCCCCACCTACGTCTGGGCCGCCTGGGACAAGATTGACGACGACACCCCCATCGAGATAGGAAAGCTTCGCATGTGGTCTGAGCCCGACAAGAAGCACCCTCAGGTCAAGAAGGTATTGCTGCAGAGGAGGCGACGTCTTTTTCTGGGGGCACTGGAGCTGACAAGCCGTTCCAATTCTAGCAAAAGATGCGGCTGCTGCTCAAGACAAATGTCCCTGCGCACCAAGGGCTGCCTCGCGAGTACGATCTTGTCGACACGGACCAGAGCGTCAAGAATACCTTCGTTTTTACCGAGTCAGATCTCGAGGCCTTCAAGAACAAGAACAAGGCCCGCAGGGAGGCGGCCGATCAGAACATTCCTACCTATCTCTTGCGACCCAAGGTCGAGAAACCTCCGCAGCAGAACCATCGTGGCGGCCGCCGTGGTGCGAGGAAGGACACGTTCCGCCAGGTCATCCCTAGTACGTTCTCTACTACTGTCTCGTATCTCCTGAAACGCCCCTTGGCCTGATTTACTGTGCTGAACCCCGAATGTAGAGAAGACGGCCGTTTATGGACGTGTCAGGCAGGAGTACAACATGAACCCCATCGACAACCCCGAGACCGCATACCTCATGGCTGTTCGTGCGCAAGAGCAGATACAGCCGAAGAACACCACCCAAATTATCGATCGCCTGACCGTCACAAATAACGTTGTCCAGGCCGGAACACGGCAGGCAACAGAGGCGTTTGGCACTTTCATTGTAAGCTCTTACGCAGACCCTCACGATGGGACTCCGCTTGTGCTAATCCGTGGCTACAGAAAGAGACCAAGAAGAAGACGAAACAGGCCAAGGCCGATGCAAAGACTGCTCGTATTCCCGAGAACGAGCTGCTCGACAGAATCTTCCAATGCTTTGGCCAGTACAACTATTGGAGCATGAAGGCTCTCAAGGCTGCCATCCCGCAGCCCGAGGTCTACCTACGATCTACGCTCGAGAAGGTCGCGAACCTGAACAAGACCGGGCGATTTGCCAACCAGTGGAGCCTTAGAGATGGCTTCAGAGCAAACGCCGAAGCCGCCCCCGACGTCGCTGTCGAGGATGAAGACGAGGACGACGAGGACGACGTGAAGATGGAGGACGTGGCCTGAAGAGCCACATAAGTCCAAGCATAAGGTTACGGCGTCACATGGCGGCTCCAATACGTTTCTTCTTTCTATGCATCGGCGTTCCGGGGACCGAGATACTTTCATCTACTGTGCAGGAGTGTCTTCCACATTGAAAGATGATACCCTATTGCGGAGGTTTTCGTAGTCAATTTGGGTTCAATGAAGATTACTCAAGACTGGAAGAAAACAATAGAGGGTTTCGAGACTATATTTATACGTCCCTGCTTTCTCCTTCGTGAGCGGCTACTCTGGCTATCTCAAATTTGTGTGTCAGAGATTCGGTTGCCCTTGTGTTACTGGTCATCACCTGTATGATCCAGATCCCTTAACGTCCCTGTCCTCCCAGCTGCTGCCTCCTCGTCAGCGCTCGTGCTATCATCCAGGTCATTCACCAGCCTCGCCAGCATCGACTCGATCCTCGCATTGCTCTCCTCTAGTGCGTCCAGCCGGGCCGTCATGGATGACATTTCGGGGGAATCGTCGAGAATGCCCTGTAGTTCCTGCCTGAGCCCTGGAAATGGTGCCATGCTGTCCCGTCTGCTGATTGTCCTGCCCACGCCGGGAGACTTGGGCGGTTGCGCCTGGTCACTTCTCGCATCGCTATTGCCATCACTCTGGGCCTTGGGCGTCGGCGGCTGCTGCTGCTTCTTTCGTCTCCGTAGGATATTCTCAAGGTTTGCCGAGTCCGCCGTTGAGCTCCGCTGGAAATGCCGCCGAATCATATGGTGCGTCAGCTCGTCATCCATCGAAATGGCATCCTCCATCTCGTCCGGCGGCGGTAAGTCGAAGACAGCGTGGATGTCGCCGTGCGTCGTTATGCGCCACTTCTCCCAAAACCACTGCGACCGCGTCTCGTTGCCGCTGGTCGCCGCACCGGCGCTCGAGGGGAAGGATATGGGCCACAGGAGACGTCGCTCGGCAGCTGCGATGATGAGCAATAGGGGAAGGTTGAGCAGTCGCACGAAGAAGACGTGGATCTTATGAAACCAGCGGGGGCTGATGAACCACCGGAGGGGCACGAGGACGAAAAGAGCTAGAATGTTGAAGGGTGGCTGGTAGGCGAAGATGGCATCGCTCTTGACGCCCTCAAGCGTCTGGACTGCGTGACGGTATTGGATCTCGGCTGTGGCGTTTGACACAATGGTGCTGAAGGTATTGGAGAGCATGGACACGAGGATAGTCAGGAAGAGGGTGTTTCCTTGAAAACTTTTGATCAGCAAAATACAACTCAATCGATCCGTCCGCTCCGAGGCGCAGATACCCACCTAGGAACGCAAATGTGACCATGAGGCAAGGTCCCAAGATCCAGTGAAAGTCGGGCGCTTTCTGGATACCAGTCCCGTCGAGGCCGAACCAGATCCAAAGCATCCACTTGCTTACAGTAATGGTTGAGTGACCGGCATCTCCAAGCCATACAAGCGAGAGTAAGAAGCCACCAAAACACCAGGCAGCGAGGGCCGTCAGCAGCGTGAAATCTACCACCATCGCCCGCAGGCAGACGAATAGCAGGTTGTTAGAGAGCAGGTTGAAGGCAAGGCGAGGGATGAGCACTGGTGCGCCCATGGCGAGAACATCCAATGCTTGCTGGCCTGCGTTCTCGTGTCCCGAGCGCCACCCGTGTATACGGAGAATAAGATAGATCCAAAAGATGACGCTGAATGTCACATCCAGAAAGGACCATAAGTTTTGCGTGTAGACGTGCCTACGCCGGGTACGTCAGTCAGCCAACACCAATTCAACAATGCCCATATACAACGGAAGATCACCCTTACCATCCATGCTCCAACATCGTAGCAAATTGGTCCAACACCCATCCAAAGGCATATATCGAAAAGGCAATCTCGAGAATGCTGAATTTGCTGGAATCTCGTTCCGCCATGAACACGAGATACAAGAACAGGAGAACACAGAATTGGAAAATTTCTAGAAGGTTTCTGGTCCTGGGAACGATCAGTCGGTACTGATTGAGCAAGGAAGCCGCTCGGGGATCGTAGAGCGAGATAGGCTTTTGCTTGTAGCGGTCTGGGATGATGTCCATGAAGCTTGAGGGGGTGTAGATGACCTGGCCTTCGTAGATGGCGTCGATCACCTTCTGGCAGGATGTGGAGCTCAGGAACAGCTTGCTCTCGCTCAGAATGGCGACTTCGAGGGCGGGCAGCGTCTGGTGGTAGCTCCAGGAGCTGGTCGACGAAGCTTCCTGGCGGATGTCCTCGGGGGCATTTTGGAAGGGCTCAAACCCAGCGACGAGGATATGGGCCAAGATAAGAAGGCCCTCAGGACCTTCATTGTCCTCATTGAAGCGCCGCAATATGCGGGTAGCAACTAGCTCACACAGTGTGGCACGAGTGAAGTTGACATTTTGCCTGTTGTTTAAATGCGATTGTTCGTGCAGGAAATGCGCGCGGTTGACAAGGAGACAGTAGACTATCTGCTAATTAGTATCCAACGTTGAGCTACGTGTGACGTGCGGGGAAAAGAAAGGTCACCAATTGAGATGTCGTCGAGCTCATACAACTTGTCCACCAGCGGCCGGATGACTGAGATGTTGATGCGTAGATCCCTCAGCTGCTCTAGCGTCATATAATCCTCGACTATGGATATGACATCCCTCCTGATGCGGTGTATGTTGGTATAGACGGGGAGGTGTGAGTGAGCGTTGACGGAGCACGAGAAGACTGGCTCTTGTTGCAAGTCATGGCTGATGTGCCTCCTCAGCAGAGGTCTGCGCTCTGGTTCTTCGAAATGCAGGTGTCCGCGCGAGTAGGCGCTGTGGTTCTGGCGTGGGCTAGGGTTTTGGCCCTGATCGTATCCGTGATCATGCTCCGAACCCTCGTCTGCCATCTTGTGTCTCTAATTCCCCAGCTTGGGTCTTTGAGGGCTTGATGCTCCTGTCCAGTCCCGGTCTCGAAGGCCTGCGTCTCCTCCTCCCTACCTATTGCTCTACCAGGGACATAGAAATGGTATCAGCCAAGTCAGAGGTGCCAGTAATAGCGAAAGGTAGGTCTAGGAGAGATCTGATGTGACGTGCTTTAAGCCTAGAAATAGAAAAGTACGAAGCATGTGCTTGCTTCAATTTCCTTATCATACCAAGATCAGTGTTAGACCGTCCAAGTTCCCGTTCCGTAGCACTTGGGGTTACTATGTAGTTATCAAGTGTTTAGAGCCTGTGGGGACGCACTACTGTCTGTGTACTATGATAGACTCAGATGACGCAACAATGCCAGGGTTTTGCAAGGGGTCGATGCCCCTTGGCCAACAGAACCACCAACCCACTCCCAAAAAAACACTGGCGTCAAAGCAGCGGGAAGACCCGTATTACTTGTCCGCCCTGCCCTGCCACCTGCCACCTGCTCTATGCTGTAACCAGCTGTGTTTATCTGTGGGGATCAGCAACAATGTGCAGCATCTGTGGGCAAGGCGTCTGCACTCTGGGGCTGTCTACCATTCGTTTCACTTTACGCATTGTCTGTGCCTTACCTCTCTGTCCCTGATACTGGCATCTATCCAGGCAAGCCCTTCATTACCAAGCGACCTCACGCATGAAATCGGCAGGTCAAACAAGTATTACAAACTGAGCTTATGTCCTGGGCACTGATTTGTGACTCAAAAAAAATTATTATTGTCTGATCATCCCCTGAATTTATCCCTACAGGAACCTGACCCGCCTCCACTTGGCATGATTGGGTCGGCGAGGTTCCCTTCACGAAAGAAAAAATATTGTCATGCACCTATTGTACAACTCAGCCCATCCCGATGGTGGCCGCCACGTTCGCCAAAGAGCAGAACAAGAACGGTAGTGGGAAAGGAGAGGGAAAAGGATTGGTGGGTTTGAATAAAGAAACACAGAGGCATAGACATTATCAAATAATATCATCGTGAGTCCGTGGAATCAAGAATGTGATGCGTTGTGGCGGAACGGATGAGGGATGCTTCGTGGCCTCTTGCCACTATTAATAACCGGCTTGCCACAGCCACAATGTTGAGCTGGTGCCTCACCTGCCGTCTGGCTTCCACTCTTTGCACTGCGGTGTGACAGCCATCCATTCCAGAGCGCCGGAGCCACAGCCCGGCCTTGATTGTTGAGACGCGATGGCTGCAAGAAATCGAACCTCTTTGGCCATCAGACGCTGGAAAGCACATGATGTGAAATGTGAAAAACCAGTTTTCCTTGACGCCGTTGCTCCCCGTTTGATCCCACATAGCACCAGGAATTCAGCCTTAGAAAAGAAAAAGAAAAGAAAAACAACGCCAGGGTAAATGCTTCCAGTTTCTTTCGTCTTGGTTCCTCCGGGGTATATCCTTCTCCTTCCGAAATTTCTTTAAATGGTGGGTGCTCCTGGTCGTCCCTTGCCTAGAGACTCGAGTAACTCTTGTGGTGGTATTCGCTGCATGCCGCTTCCTCTGTCAAATGTTGATGTTGGGGCAGGCACGTATCCTTCTCTCTTCTTGCGCAGACGCTCCATTGCCATGCCGGCGACCACAATGAGTAAAGTCAGGCCGAGAGCGATGGCCAATCCTATCAGAACGACGGCGTATATGGGGAGGCCACCGCTGCTCTCGCCACTGAAGAAGTCCGTCTTCTCGGTAAAGATTCGAGAGATGGTCCCTGCCTTGTTACCCGAGTTTGTCGTGAGGGCGAATGGGGTCAACGCGGTGCCGTTAAACAATGCGGCGCTCGCTGTGCCGAAGCCCGGAATAACGATTCGTCCGGTCAGCATGAGCGACATCTTCTCCTCCAGCAGGTCAGATGAATCATGGGCCTCAGTGAGAGAGAAAATCTGCATGGAGAGGAGGTCTGTGCCAGACCCGAGTATCTGACCGGGCGACTTCCAGTTGGTACCATCATACTTCATCACATAGAGGGACCCGTTCGAAGCAGTGCCGGCCACCCAAATTTGACTGCCGTCTGAGGACCCCATTGTTATGATATCGACGGGACCGGGCAGGTCAGCCGCACCAGAGTAAGCGTCCCACGTTTCATCGCCGGCAGTGTAGGATGCGAGAAATATTGTCGACGAATTGACGGTGACATTCCCGCCAGCAACAAGGTTTTTGTTGGATACCCACAGCAAGCTTCTAGCCTCGCCCATCAAGTTGTTGCCAGGCCGGTTCCATTGCGATGAGGTAGTGCTGTAGAGGCAGACCGCAGGACATCCAAGGGAGCCAGCTGATGTGAAGGAACCACCGACGTAGACGTCACCAGAGTTTGGCCTGACGGCTATCGAATGGACGATGCTATCGTCACCAGCAAGGGCTGGTGGCTGTGAGCCATAGTCACTGGTCTCGAGGTCAAATGAGACCAGACCGCGGACACTGTTGCCATCAATAGTTCCGCTCACGTTTCCTCCAGCAAACAAAGTGGAGCCCTGGATGGCAACGGCGGTGAATATCGAGTCTTGCGAGACACCAGAGACAAACCCCGAGACGGAGCTATTCGAATTCTCTACGACGGCGACATTGTTAATAGTGGAGCCGTTGCTTCCTGTGCCGGTGAAATGGCCTGTCAAGACGGTCAGGTTGAGGCCGTTGGAGTTGAGGAACGCCCCAGCAAATACACCGGTGGCACTGCCGTTGTCGAGTGTATCTAGAGTTGCCACAGATGCAGTCGTGTTCAAAGAGTCACTCAGGACAGCGTTTGAGTATTCGCCGAGGACAAGAGCATTGGAGCTCAGCTCGTCCAGACTGGCCCCACCGACCGCCGCAAGCTCCGCCGAAAGAACCGCACCGGCATACAGAGGGTCGCTGCCCGTGACATCGAGGAGAGATGTGGTCAGCACACCGTCCAGGTACTCCACGGGAAGATCGAGGTTGCCAAGCCAGTTGTTCTGGGACGGTACCCAGACACCAAAGCCATTGGTAGAAATGGCTGAACTGCTTCCGAATGCGTTGACTTGGCTAAAGTTGCCCGTCAAGCTAATGACAAGCTCAGGCGTCGTACTAGAAATGTTCATGGTCAGCGGTACCACCGCCGACACGGGCCCGTTGACTCCAGCACCAAGAGCGCTCCACGAGCTTGATGGTATGTCGTAAAGCGCCACATTGGCGAGACCAGTAACGCCTCCGGCTTCGAGATTGTCGAAAGAGCCCCCGACCCATAGGTTGGTGTCGTTGACGTAGAGCGAGGAAACCAAACCATTCAGGCCGCCGGCGAGGGTTTGTACTGTTGAGCTCTGGCTATTGACTGACACGACGTTGCTTGAGCTTGTCGTGCTGAAGTTGCCACCGATATACGTAATGTCGCCAGATGCTGCCAGAGCATTGACGGTGGACCCACTGGTGAAGTTCATGCCCAGGCTGTCGAAGACGGAGTCTGAGAAAGTAGTGGAATTATAGGTAGTGACGGCGGGATCATACTCGAACAGCCCATTGAGCCCACTGGTGGTATTGTATATGACGAAACCAACCTTCTGTGCCACGATTGTCTGTTGAGTGAGGGGCTGGCCGTTTAGAGGCGCAAGTGTAACAGCGGGCCTAAATGAGCTCGACGTGGCCTCGACGTAGCCGTAATAGATGGGATCGTACTTATCGTAGTCGTTGGTCTGGTACAAAGACGCACTGATTGTGCCATTAGCACCCTTCGTAGGCGACAAGGTGCCAGAAAGCTGGACCTGGCCACGAGAGTCGCATGAAGAGTCCTGTAGGCAGCCCGGCGTATACATGTTCACAGTATAGTAGCCTGCCTCCCGAATGTCTGGATAGAAGACGACTGTTGCCGAGTCATTTGTGATTGGACTGCTCAGAGATGCAGTCAGGTACTCTGAGTTGCTATTCAGGGACGGTGAGACGGTCCAAGGACCGGTCGAGGTAGCATTGGATGCTGTAGAGATGCTAGCACAGGCCGGCTCGTCGAAATTGCTAACGGCATAGGCAAAAATGTCGTCTTGATAGAGTTCGATGCCGTCGAGGCCGCCGCCGCTGCCGTAGAAATCCGAAATGTCGATCCGAAAGCCGTTCATGCCTATCACGTTGACGAAATGGAAGTCCTGATACGTAATGCTGGAGTTACTGCTCAGGGAACATTGGCTGGTGCAGGTGGTGTTCTCATTCGTAGACGGGTCGATATAGGTGAAATTCATGATACCATTGATGGGCAGGGCCGTAAATCGCCACGTCTTGGTACCACGCCCATCCTGGTGCGTGTTGTAGAGGCGTAATTTCGTCGGCCGGTAGCCAAAACCCATCTTGGCCTCCCAGGATCCTTGCGTATCATCGGCGAGCAGCCAGGTGCTGCCCGAAGCATCCACATCGCCCGTCTTGCAGATGATGTTGCTGGGGCTGCTGAATCCGCTCGTGGTGGTAGAACCAGTAGCGGTGATATTTGCGGTAGACAAGTTGATGACCTGCTGGTCAGGCTCACTGGGCGTGCTCGTATTGCCCAAGCCAGTGAAGGACCCACCAAAGATGATGTGGCCGTTGGATGCCCGGGCGATAGAGGAAACAGGTCCGTTGAAGCCGGCAAAGGGTAACGCCTTGAAGCCCGAGCCAGAAATGTAAGACACGGCATTGGTGGAGTTGTCGACGCCTATGAAGTTGCCTCCAATGTAGACCGTATCATTGTCGCAAAGAACAGCGTTGACAGATCCTTGCAGACCTGGGAGGGGCGTAACCTCGGTGGTGTTTGGGTTGAAAAGGGCAATGCCCGCAGACTCCTTGCCACCCAGACTCGTGAAGTTCCCGCCTATTATGACACCCTGTGCAGCCCCGTCCGCAACGAAGGAACACATGGACTCGACAGACGCGTCGGCCTGGGCGACGGAGGCCAGGACGCCGTTGGGCAGGCGAGCTAGCAGTGCTTCGCTGCCGTTGGTAACGAAGGAGCTCTCATCCTGGCCCTCGTATTGATAGAGAGATATGCCTGCAAAGTCACCAGCGATGCCGACCTGTCCAAGGCCCGACAAATCAAGATGGGCGGCGGGGGCGGCGGTAAAATTGACGGCTTGTGACGTAGGAAAGGATGCGGCCAAGGAAATGGCGACAAGAGGACCGATTAGAGGAGAAGGATGCCTCCGTCGACGGGCGACTCGGCGTCGCGATTGAGGGTGGTGTCCCATGGTGTCAATCATCCACATGGGCCGCGGTCACCAGCTGGAGGCAACGGTAGGTCGGATTATCGTGGATATAGAGGATGGAGAACAAAGAATTCTATGCGCACTCCATGTCAAACGCGTCGAAGTCGGTGGGGGTCGGTATCGTTTGGGTCTGCGGTGAGTCGATCGATCGCGGGTTGTGGTCGAGCGGGAGGCGTCGAATGATGGAATGCCAAAGCGAGCGTGATGTAAACAGGGGAAAACAAAAAGGACAAACGAAGGAAAGATAGACGATATCGAGTAGGAGTGAAATATCGGTAATGATGGTGTTGCTAATGAGCCGTGCCTCCTCCTTCTCCTCCCCGCGTCTGAGAAAAGACGTAGAACCTGTAGGTTTTCCAATCTGATCCCGTCGCAACGGCTGTGTGCAGTAGAGTTCAGAGAGGTCGAGACAGTCGGGGCAAGTGGCGGATAAACCCCCACGAGACTCGCTTGGGCAAACGATGAAAAGATTTCCGAGGGCGTGACGTGGTGGATGGATAACCAGGTGATTCAATCGTGAGGTTCGAGTTGGCAGTCACCAAATTGGGTGGTGTCGACTGGGTTTCGCTGGTGGGACCCCTTGCAGGCCTGGCACCGTGGTGCCTTTTTCAGGAGAAATGAAGGGTGAACCCGCACTTGCAGTCGTGGCGGTGATTAGGAGGTTCCCGTTACTAATCAGCGGTCAAACGTCAACCAAGCTATTGAAGAAGACGACCGCAACAACGATGAGAGCGAGAGAGAGAGAGAGAGAGAGAGAGAGGGAGAGAGAGAAGGTGAGAGTTCAATTACGTTTGCCGATTCAGGAAGGCAGAGTGGGCATGAGTCTGAGTGAGCGCAGATGAGAGCAGCCTTGGTATCATTTTCCATTGAGATGTTTGGTCCTGTTCTGACCTGGCTCTCAAATGAGCGAAATTGCACTGAGTGGAGCCCCCGTCTCTAATGTGGCTCATGTTCCTGACTATCCATCCCCACCGTCCGAATACGCCATCCCGTCTCTGGACTGCTAGACTCTTGTGCAGGGACAACCTTGGAGAGGATCCCATCGTACAACGTACTACCATGTATCATAGAAATACGATGGTCTAACGATGCTGGGCCTACGGCGCTTGGCCTATCGGGCAGGCCTGCAGGGGGCCTTTGGTTGTGGTCTCAGGTTGCACTTGCGTACTACGTAGATTGATACAACACTGCCAGAGAGAGTGTGTCAGAGAATTTTGAGCTCCAGGAACGAGCATAATGACGAGATTGACGGTGCTGCTACGAATCACGAGTGGCACATACTGACATTGTCGACCTCATAAGCAGCAGTATCGTTTTTCCCCCAGAATTGTATGCGTCTCCCAGTGTCTGAATGTCAGAATCTGGTTGTCCAATCGCCCCAGTAGCATGCCCAATCGCCTTGCCTTCCCCCTACCCCCTCAAGGATCAGGGTCTCTTCAGAAAATTAGAACCAGGTTGCCATGCAGCCCTGTGCATGTGCATCGGGATTTGTCTAGCGATCACCGCCAGCATTGGTCTTAGTAGAAGGTAATCCCCTCGTCAGTCGTACCGTGTAGCACAAAGCGCCCGAAATATAAAACAAGAGTATGACCCAGAGGGCCGAATCCCTCCAGCGAGGGGCAACTAAAACTTTCTCCTGTAGCCATGCACGTGCTATGGAATCCCGAGAAACCGCTGAACGGTTGACTGCGTGGTGCTTTGCTGCTACGGGTTGTGACGGTGACTTTCCAGCCACTCCTAAAGACGAAAGAGGCAAGGCATCTGGATATTACTGCGCCCCTTTTGTTTCTGCGCCTTCCCACTTGGCTGCAAGGCGTGGCACATACTCAATATATGCAGTGCTACATGATCATACACCCGCCCGGTAGTCAAGGGGCTTGCGATACCGATGAATGCCATTAGGCCTCCGGATTTTGAGACGTGCAACGCAAATTAGCGCCTGTCAATTGACGGGCATTGGCTATCAAAGCTAGTGTTTTTTTCTTCTCTTCTCTTCTTTGCTTCTTTCCGCCCCTTCTCAGGACCCATTTGCGCGTCTATATCCAACCTCTACTCGGAAGGTAATGGGATGCCCTCCGCCTACTTATACCTTGTAGTAGTAAACCGCAAAAGGAGGGGGTGGGGGGTTTCATGTAGAGGTTTAGGCTGTCTGGAGCGATTCGTAGCACTTATTCAACATCAATCACCAGGGTTCCGCGTCACTGATGAATCCCGTCTAGCCCGGCATTCCAGCCTGACATATGGAGCCAATCGTGGCAGGCACGGGTCCGAAGTTCCGTAGATAGAACTCATGTATACCTTACGGCCAGCCTCATAGGCCACCAACACATGTCTACTTGCCTCCTCTTTGGACCAATCACGGACTAGACGGCACGGTGAGAGTGTCATCTATAGGGTTGAAACAGGATCCAAGCGACGAAGGACATCATCTCCTCTACAAGCAAGATCAGAATGATTCCTGCAGTTAGCTTTCAGCTCCACTTGACCCAGATAGACTGCCCAACGCGCTCGCAAAAACACACAATCTACAACCTTCCAGTCGCTCAGGGTACACTTCCGTATCCGTTTGTGTTCTCATGCGTCGGCATCCTGTGTGCGTCCGGAACATTGGCTACCGATGGCTGTATCCTCCTTGCACAACTGCCACTGCTCTCCGACGGCCTGGCGATCTGTGACTATTCTGTTGTCAGTACCCAGAGCGGCTGCTAATATGTAGTATTACGGCCGTACTTCCAGCAAGAGGGGAGATGAGTGGTCTTGAGGCGTCACACATACACACACACACTTGACGTTCAAGAACAAAAAAAAAAAAAAAAAAAAAAAAAAAAGAAGAAGAAAAGGGAAAGCATCCAGGCTCTGGCATCTGCAAAGCCTTTACAGTCATTTCAATGCTTTGCTATTTTTTATTCTGCTCCCCTTCTTTCACGATCAAACGCGCATCCACTGTTTTACCCACGGCCTCATTCTCTTCGTAGTATTCAGCACCTACATACCGTTGACAGGTCTCTAGTAATTCTGAGGCCAAGTCCAGACCGTGTTAACCAGCATGGTGGCTGTTGCATGAGCACATTATATCGTAGAGACTTCGTCGCCTCGTAAAGCCACGGCGGCTTACAAAATATTGATTGGACTAACCCTTCTCTGCCCTCTCAGCCTCCCTCATCCGGTCCTTGTACTCCCTAGGCGTCTCGAACGGCTCTTTGGGTGTCTTTGTCGTCCCGAGCCCGAACCAGCTCTTGTTCTTGCCGCCCAGCGCACTCCAGAGGCCAATTTTCTTTCTTTTGGCTTCAGCCTCCGCAGCCTTATACTTTTTTTCCATCGCTTCCCCGCCGAATTCGGCACCGGTCTTGGCCTCGTAGCTTGTCGCGAGCCCTTGGTGGATCATCTCGAGGCCGACGTCGCTGCGGAAGAAGAACAGGCGGCGAATGTAGACGGTAGCGACCGCACGGTCGTATTGATCCCGTCTCCAAATGACAGCTCGGACGCGGCGGTTCAGAACCCGGTTCTGTAGCCACTCTAGAGACTCTGTGGCGTAAGGCTGAGCTGTTCGGCCAAAATGCGCGCCTTCTGGCGCATCTACACCGGCTAGGCGGATAGGTATCTGAAGCGTTGGGTGGAGGTGGTCAGCAAGCTTCATCATGCACAAGCAGAGACATGGCGAGTGCAGCCCCCCTGGCGCCCCAAGAGCGCATTACTGTAAGTGGATGGAACTTACAGTATTTCCTTTCAGAGCTTTCCTCTCTGTCGGCACCTTCCTTAACCAGCCCCAGCCCGCCCAGCGTCCTCCAGGAGTATGGAAAAGGTGGAAGCCATCGCCATCACCGACGCTGGTCACTTTGCCAAACAACCGCCTTTTGCGATAATAGTGTGGAAGGACGTATTCGATGCTGGGAATGCGGCGCAAATAGGTCCTATAGAACTTGAGGCCACCAAAGAGAACTGTTGTGATGGCAAAGGCCGGGATCCAGGAGCGAGGGTCTTTGAAGTGTACCACGTTCAGCGAATCATTCCAGCTGACCGGTTCCTTCGTCTTGTTTGATGAATTCGAGGACGGCAGTAAGGAAGCCTTCTCATATCTTGCGCCATTCGGGGAAACGAAGGCTGACCCCGATTGCCATGGCCATGGCATTTTGTCGTCGTGACGAATGGTCACAATGGAGGCTGGCGGTCGACACGCATCATGTGGGTTGGTGGAGATGTGGTGGCCGTGGGGTCTGGGGGAGGAGAGGGACAGGGGCTGAGATGAGAAAGGAAGTGGGTCTGGATAAAACGGCTAAAGACCAGCTCGGGGTCGCCCGAGATTTAAGTGCCCTCCTGACTGAGAGTAGAATGGGAGCGAGGTCACACAACACAAAAGGACGATTGACTGCGATGTTCAAAAAAAGTACGAGCGTTGCTTTTCTCCATTAGCAGTCGCACCATCGACTTTGCACGTAATCTTATCTATAGCACTGACATCCCCTTCTCAGCTCCCTTCAAATCCTCGACTACGCACACTTGAGTTTGAATACTGCAGTAAGATCTAGCTAATAAGAGTCGATCGACCTAGCACTCATGCGCCTTGGACCTTGAACGTCCGCCCGCTGGCGGTCTTGCGCTCCTTCTCCTCGCTGTCTGGCCTGGCTCTGCGGAGAACTGTCTATGGTTAGCAATATATTGATCCAGAGTCGAGAGCATCTAGCTTACCTTGGAGGAAATCCGCTGTGCGCCGTCTCATTCGCGAATGGATGTACGCCTGGCACAAGTCAGCTTTGGGCAACCCAATTCGTCCTGAAAGATGTATCGCTCACCTTTGAGGCTTTAATGTGGTAGTGGAAGTAGTCTCGGAAAGTCTGAATGTGTGAGATGACATCGGGCATCCGTTGAGGCGTCAGATGCCGAGGGAACAAGACTGGAAATTGGTCAGCAAGGCGTTGCAAGAGTCAACCTCAATACAAGAATAATCTTACCAAATGTCACGTAGCCCACCTCACCCGTGCCAGTGTCCTGCACCCCTGGTACGCCCTGCAATTCCAGAGGCGGATCGGTCCGGAATAGCACCTGAGGTGCATTCTGAATAGCCCGCCGCCTAGCATCCACGAATTCCTGTATAAAGACCTTGCCAAACACTCGATCCGTCTCTTCTCTGAAGATGGTGCTGAAGATCACAGTGACCCTATCGTGGCTTGACTTGACATATATAGCCTCCTCCTCTCGATAGTGGATGGCCATGACCTCTCCGCCCTCCCGCACACCCTGTGGGGCTTCCTCGGACGTGTACTTGGACGCAGCCTCCTTCAGCTTGTAATGTTCCTCGTAGGCATGCTCAAATGGTGCGGCCATAGCGTTGCGCTTGAGCAGGGAGACCTTCTTGACAAGCTCGTCACGGGCTTCTGCACAGAGTAAATTAGCTCTCCATTCTAACCCCTGTGAGACCATCCTTCTCGACATACCCTTATCAGCGGGGAGGTTCTCGAGATCAATCAAGATGGAGAAGTCGTAGCCTGGCTCCGGGGGCACTACGTATTCGCCATACTCGCGGTTGAGGACCTGCTCCGCGCCGTACTTGACAAGATCTCGGTAGCATTTTATTTGAATTGATACAAGAATCTTCGTCTTGACCTCTGGTGTGGAGATATGGAAGATGACGCCGTCGAAGTCGGATACGGTCTGGTCGATGGAGACGGGAGGGGAGCTGGCAGTTCAGGAGGTCAACGTCAGTGGCCCGCCGCGGTTGACAAGAGGTAGGGTTCCAGCCGCTTACCCGGAGAACCTCTCAGTCAGCACTGATTGAATCAGCACATTCTGGTAGTCGAGAAGAAGCATCGTGATGGTGACTCCTCCGCCTCGATGCTGCTGGTTTGTTGTGTGCAAAGCTGAGAGAGTGAAGGGGGTTGGAGGGGGTCGATGGGTTGCGGTCAGTGCTGGCAAGGGTATCAAGAAGGTGCTGTATGGCAAGTGATGACCTGCGGTCGTGCCCAGATGGTGGGGCTGATGATGCCAAACTGGAGCTAGGCACCCCTGGACTGCGGACGGTCCTAGAACTTGGTACTAAGCTACAGTACGACCCCCCTTCCCTCAAAACTCTTATCGTTATCGTATCATTTAAAATAAAATAAAAAAGTTGATTTATTCAGAATTTCGAATGCTACTGCCGACCAGCGCATTCGAAGCTCTTTGACAGTAGAATTCGCGGCCTTGCAATCATGGTCAAATCATACCTGTATGTCTCTCGCCATACGCTCCATCCTACTGATTTTTGAAGCCTACTCACAATTGTCGCACACAGGAAATATGAGCACTGCAAATCGTTCGGCTTAATTACGTCCAGCTCGTCCAACATCGTCTGGTCCTCTCGAGACAAGACCACTGCCGGAGCAGGTCAGGCTGTCGTCGCAGCTAACGAAGAGGTATTATGCTGGGACATAAAGAAGGGCGAGCTTCTGGCTCGCTGGCGGGATGAGAACTGCAAGGCGCAGGTCACTGCCATTGCCCAGAGCAAGACCGACAAGGACGTCTTCGCTGTCGGCTACGAGGACGGCACTATTCGGTTATGGGACAGCAAAATCGCAACCGTCATCCTCAATTTCAATGGTCACAGATCCGCAATCACTACCCTTGTTTTCGACAAGTCAGGCGTCCGTCTCGCCAGTGGTTCCAAAGACACCGACGTAATAATATGGGATCTTGTGGCTGAGGTTGGCCAGTACAAACTGCGTGGACACAAGGATCAGGTGACGGGCCTGCAATTCGTTGAGCCGGACACGCAAGCAGAAGATGAGGAGACACAGCAGCTAATGGCACTGGATGGCCAAGGCGCAGGGGACGGCTATCTTCTAACAACGGGTAAAGACTCGCTCATCAAGCTATGGGATCTCTCTTCGCGACACTGTATCGAGACGCATGTCGCGCAGACCAACGGAGAATGCTGGGCTCTCGGTGTCTCACCTGACTTGAGTGGCTGTGTCACGGCCGGCAACGATGGGGAGCTGAAGGTGTGGGCTCTCAATGCCGCTGGTCTTTCCGCTGCTACCCACCAAGTCGACACACCGCAGACAACACATTTTCTTCAGGATCGTGGGACTCTACACCGGCAGAGCAAGGACAGAGCAGTTGAGGTATCCTTTCACCCGCGGCGAGACTACTTTGCCGTCCACGGCGTGGAGAAGGCCGTCGAGATCTGGCGGATTCGGAGCGACGCCGAAGTCAAAAAAAGTCTGGCCCGAAAACGGAGAAGAAGGCGGGAAAAGTCTGCGTCTTCCAAGAAAGACAAGGCAGACAGGGATGTTGATATGGTGGATGTCGAGACCGAGGCTGATGAAGAGGCCGTTGGTGTCCAGGCGGACATTACAGATGTCTTTGGACAGCATGTCATCGTGAGAACGACGGGTAAAGTTCGATCAGTCGATTGGGCAGTCAGTCATGGGCACAAGCAGTTACAGCTACTTGTCGCGACGGCAAACAACCAGCTCGAGCTGTACGACATTGCAACGAAGGAGAAGACGAGCAAGTCAAAAAAGGAGGATGTGCCAGACTATGCAAAGTCCTTGTCGGTGGAGCTTCCTGGGCACAGGGCAGATATTCGAGCCCTGTCGCTTAGCTCAGACGATAAGATGCTTGCCTCCGCGGCCAATGGCAGCCTGAAGATCTGGAATGTAAGGACCCAGGCTTGTGTCCGAACATTCGAGTGTGGGTATGCGCTCTGCTGCTCATTTCTGCCAGGTGAACAAGTGGTCATCGTGGGAACCAAGAGCGGTGAATTGGAGTTGTTCGATGTTACATCGGCCTCTCTCATCGACAGCATATCAGCTCATGAAGGAGCGATCTGGTCTCTTCAAGTGCATCCTGATGGGCGGTCGGTTGTCACGGGCAGTGCTGATAAGACAGCCAAGTTCTGGGATTTCAAGATTGTCCAGGAACAAGTCCTCGGCACCACAAGAACGACGCCAAAGCTCAAGCTTGTGCAGTCGAGGGCGCTCAAGGTGTCGGATGATGTTTTGAGCTTGAAGTTCTCTCCGGATGCGAAACTCTTAGCTGTGGCATTGCTCGACAATACCGTCAAGGTCTTTTTCACCGACTCGCTCAAGCTCTATTTGAATCTTTACGGTCACAAGCTTCCGGTCTTGAGTATGGATATTTCCTACGATAGCAAACTTATTGTCACAAGCTCGGCAGACAAGAACGTCAGGATATGGGGCTTGGATTTCGGAGACTGTCACAAGGCACTATTCGCACACCAGGACAGCATCTTGCAAGTGGGTTTCGTGCCTCACAACTCGGACGGGAACGGTCATCATTTTTTCAGCACCAGTAAGGATCGTACGATCAAGTACTGGGATGCCGACAAGTTCGAGCAGATCCAAAGGATCGATGGCCACCACGGCGAGATATGGGCTCTCGCCATGGGCCACAGCGGAACATTCATGATCAGTGCGAGCCATGATAAGAGCATCCGCGTCTGGGAGGAGACAGACGAGCAGATCTTCCTTGAAGAGGAGCGGGAGAAGGAGATCGAGGAGCTGTACGAGACGACGCTAGCTACGACACTCGAGGATGGTGCAGACATGCAAGACCAGAACGGTGAAGTAGCAGCTGCCAGTAAACAGACGGTGGAGACCCTCATGGCAGGAGAGAGGATCGTGGAGTCGCTGGAACTCGGTATGGTCGATCTCGGCGTGGTTCGAGACTGGGAAGAAGCTAAATTGAGCAACCCAAACGTCGCGCCGCCACAGCGCGATCCGATATTCATGGCTTTGGGAGGTATCAGTGCAGAGGTCTATGTTATGAACACTCTCCAGCGCATCAAGGCCTCCGCGCTCCACGATGCCTTACTCGTCCTGCCATTTTCGACCGTCCCACTTCTCTTCACGTTCCTCGACATCTTCGCCTTGCGATCGATGAATATCCCCCTGACCTGTCGGATACTGTTCTTCATGCTCAAGACACACCACAAACAGATCGTCGCTAGCAAGACGATGCGGGCTATGTTGGACAGCATACGGACCAACTTGAGACAGGCGTTGAGAAAACAGAAGGATGAGATGGGATATAACATTGCGGCCTTGAAAGTTGTGGGGATGCAGATCCAAGAAAAGAGTATCAAGGACTATGTGGACGAAAATTGGGAGGCCGAGGAAGATGACAGCCGTGGTGTCAAGAAACGAGCTTTCATCCAAGTCTCATGAAGGTAGACTTCTACATCAGAAAACCAATTTCACCTTCCTAGCCCCGCACCTCAAGGGCCCAGTCCGCGATCCATGGACGGAATCCCATCGAGTGGCCGACCGCCTGCTATTCTGAGAAACTTCTTAGGGTAAGCCTGTATAAGTAGAGGGCTTTCAAGTAGGATCAAAGTCAAGCCTGGCGCCAGGTGCAGGACCCGACGCAGGATTTGCCGATCTCCACACTTCCCCGCGTTATGGTAGTCGACGTCCTGGTCACCACCAATTCGGGTCAACTTTAATGCCATGACCCCCAAAAGCTCGTCGCCCTCCTTAATTTTGGTCATCAGTAAGCGAAGCGAATTGCTAAAGAGGGGTTTCCGGGTACACATGAGGCACCACTAAATTGTCGGTTCTCCAAGGCGGGACGTTTTGGGGGATATAGGTTCATTTCATAGGCTACCTCGCTCGATTACTATATATAATTCAAAATCCGTGGAGCTTACACGCAGGAACAACTTGCCTTGTCCATTACAGCGTTAAGTGATTGCTCGATTCCTGGCAAAAGCTTAGCAACGGTCTTCCTGACTGATTCGCACGAGTGCCTACCCAATATCTTTATTGAAGACCTATATTGCTGCCACACAGAACAAAATAGAGATGGCTCATATCAACAACAATGCCAATGGAGACAAGTTGTTCACATTGAAGGATGAACCCTTGGAGAACTTGCGGCGTCTCAAGGTCAGGGTGATTGGAGCAGGATACTCGGGAATTTTAGCTGCCATCAGGTAAGAGCGGAGGGGAGGGGATGTCGCTCACACCATACATATACGCTCATCTAACACCAAGTTTCAGGATTCCAGAGCGTCTGAGGAATATAGACCTGACTGTGTACGAGAAAAACGAGGCTGTGGGTGGAGTATGGTAAGTAGGCCCTGATATCTACACCGGCAAGACTCGCGACGTTGACATCGAGGAAGGTGGTTGAACAAATACCCAGGTATGGATCAAATGCCCTCTCCACCTCTCAGTGGTGGATTGTATTGATGCTAATCCGAAATTGCTAAAGGGTTGGCCTGTGATATCCCTTGTACGTCTACTTGCAGCCCACTCTTCCAATACTCATCTAACAGACTGCAGCTCATTCTTACCAGTATACATTTGCTCCGAATCCTCATTGGTCTTCTCTCTATGCCCCTGGCCCAGAAATCCAGAGATATCTGCAGAATGTGGCAGACAAATTTGGGGCCACGAGATTCATCAAGACGCAGCACAAGCTCCTGCGAAGCGTCTGGAACCCGGAGCGTAGGAAGTGGATGATCAGGGTTCAGAGGACCGCCTCGGGTGAGATCTTTGAAGAAGATGACGTGGATGTGCTTATAACTGCCAGGGGAATGCTCAATGATCCATCGTGGCCCAATGTGCCTGGTTTGGACAAATTCCAAGGAAAACTTCTTCACTCAGGAGAATGGGATGATGGGTGAGTCTTCTTCCGTCTTTTCGGACCCCTTTTTGGTCATTCATATCTTGCTGCCTCTTGACTTTATGCACGCGTGATCTTTTGCCCTTAGAAGCGAGCTGATGTGAAGTAAAGATACGATTTTCGACACAAACGCGTGGGCGTTGTTGGAAATGGTTCGAGTTCCATCCAGATTGTCCCCAGCCTGCAACCTCTCGAGGGTATCAAGATGACAGTCTTCATGCGCTCGCCGGTAGGCATTTAACAACCCCTTTACTGTTGCCAAAATCCCGGTCGTCACTAACATGTATGATTTTTGAATTCCTGGTCAAAAGACGTGGATTTCCGGCGCTTTCGGTGATGCCGCAATGAAGGCACTCGGCTTGGATCCAGGTGACATCGAGTGTGAGTACCGAGTTCAAGATTGACTTGAGAAGCGCTCGCAGAAGCTGACAAAAAGACGTGCCAAGTCACCCCAGAGCAGCGGGAGGCCCTCGCTCGTGACCCCCAGGAATATCTCAGGATGAGGAAGGTAATTGAGGATGGCGGAAACCTTATCCACGACTCGACCATCCGAGGGACCGAGATGCAGAAGCAGTTTGTCAGCGACTTCACATTGTCGATGAAACAACGACTGGCCAAGCGGCCTGAGCTCTTGGACGCCATCATCCCGACGTTCGCACCAGGGTGCCGGAGGCTGACACCTGGGAAAGGCTATCTCGAAGCGCTGATGGAGGACAATGTCGACGTGACCAACGAGACGATCGTCGAGATCACCGAGACGAGCGTCAAGCTAGCAAGCGGACGCATGGTTGAGGTGGACGCCTTGGCCTGCGCCACCGGCTTCAAGACGTCCGCGCCACCCAACTTCGAGGTCGTCGGTAAGAACGGGCTGACCCTTGCGCAGAGGTGGGATCCCCATCCCGAGAGCTACATGAGCCTGATGGTGGATGGTTTCCCCAACTACCTGATGATGTTTGGGCCCAACAGCGCCATTGGATTTGGCAGCCTGACCAAGATCCTGGAGAATGAGTGCGATTACTGTGTCAAGATCCTTCGAAAGATGCAGAAGGAGGACTACGCTACCATCGAGCCCAGGCCGGAGCGGGTCAGGGACTTTCAGCAGTACATTGGCGCCTACTTTGCCAAGACGGTGTATATGGACACGTGCAAATCTTGGTATCGGAGCGAGGGAGGCCAGGGCAACTGGATCATTGGTCTCTGGCCTGGCAGTACACTGCACGCCCTGGAAGCGCTAAGGTCGCCTCGCTGGGAGGACTTCATCTTTGAGAGCTCCGACCCAACAGGAAACAGCCTGCGGTGGTTGGGCAATGGCTGGAGCGTGACACAGACGGATGGCGATCCATCATGGTACATCAACCCCGACGAGGTGGACTGGCCCAAGGACGGTAAACCAGAGGACAACCCACGCTACAAGGCTCGGCCCTGGTCATATTAGGAATTTGACCAGGTTCATAGAATCGAAGACAAGAGTTACTTACTTAAATCAGTGCCCACGCGTAGACTGCAGCAGAATGTCGTGCATGCCAGGAGCCTTGACACCCCACAGATACACGAAGAGGTCTAAGGAGCGTAGTAGCAGGGAAAGAAGCAAGCACGTACGAAAAGACACTGAACAGTTGTGACAGGATTTCTCTTGTCTATGGATGACGCAACGACCAGAGTCCTCCCTCTTCCCCCTACTCCTCCTCAGTTCCGCTGCCCACAGGCGATCGGTAGCCTCTCCCGAGCATCATGAGTTGACTATTGCACAGCGCATCCAACGCTCTAGACTTTTTACATAATACATAAGAAAAGGTAGGCAGGCATGCGTTCATGGATATCTATCGGGTTGTCTATTGAGCCTTAGAAGAGACAATCTCTGCAGCAGGGTGTCAGTCAGGTATGATAAAAATGAAACGAGCCGGGAGAAGGAGAACGAGTAACGCACTCTCAACATCTGCCACGCTCTGGGCAAGGATCTGTTGCAACACCTTGGGGCTCTCCAGCTCCTTCTGCACCTTGGCGATGATGCTCTCGGCGAGCTCCTTCTGCTGGCGCTGCTTGACCTGGCCCTCGTAGCGAACCCAAGAGTCCAGAACAGCCTTGGCCTCGGCAGCCAGAGCGGTCTTCTGCTCCAGCTCGTAGGCCTCAGCCTCGAGCTTGGCGGTCTCCTGTGAAAAAGGAGAAAATAAACCATCAGCACATGCGAGCAGTAAGTTATGGCATCTCCTCTTGGGCCAACATGTATATCTCGTACCTTGGAAACCTCAAAAAGACCCTTAGTGATGTCGACGACGCCGCTCATCTGCTGGACGTTCTCAATGCGGGACTTGACGGCCTGGGTGTGGTCGGCACGGGCGGCATTCAGGATCCCAGCAATCTTCTTGTTCTGTCCCTCGGCCCACTCCTTGTACATAGGGCCGGCGTATTTGATGACAGCACCCCAGACACTCAGCAGGCAGAAGGCCACAACGGTCTCCTCGTTGACGACGTAGTACTCGTTGCTGAGAGCGTAGATTGACAGACCGGCGGCGGAGGACAGGATGGCGGTCTTGGAGACGAGAGAGTTGCCGGGCAGGGCGTCGATGATAGACTGAGCCTTCTTCTTGGGGTCCTCGGCGGGAACGTTGGAGGAGTTGCGAGAGCCAGTAGTGGCGAGGCTGGTGATGGCCGGAAGAGTTCGGGGACAAATCGATGGCCGCACACGGGCAGCCCCTACGTCACGTCAGTCTCGTCAATTGAACAGAGAGCCAGGGCCATAAGTAGCCCAAATACACTTTACCCACCGAGAGCGGTTCTAGCTAGGCGGGACGCCATTGTGTCGTGATGTGCGGTGGTCGTGTGGTGGTGGGTTGTGGTGGTTGAGCTTGGAGGCTTTGAGACACTTTCCGAGGCCTTACGCTTGAGAGTTGTTTGATTGAGAGGTTTGCTCCCGAACCAGCTTGGGGAGGTTCCGGGATCGTGCTAACAGAGTTAGCTCCGCCCACCAGCAAATTTAGCAGACGCAAAAGTGAGAAGATCTTAGTACTAGCGCCAAGGCTTGTGATTGGCCAGCGTCAACTTTTCAATTCTCTACGGTGCCTGAAATTTCGTGCAGGCGCTGCATTGAGGTGCGAAAGAGAGCAGGCCTGCGGGGAGAGACTTTTTACGATTTTGTACGCCGAGCAGGGCGACGATCCGAAGCAGCAAGATGCCGGCCATAGTGACGGAGCCTACGACGAAGCGCAAGCGTCCTGCCACGAAAGACCTGCCAAAGAAGCGCCCACGAGCAGGCCAAGACGACGACCATGTCGATAACTCCGAGGTCGACATTCTCTCCCTCGAGACCGCTATACTCGAGTCTAAGAAGAATTACAACAACATCACGGTCCTTCTCGACACCGCAAGGAGCCTGGAAGAGGATGAGGATACGGCGCTCCTTGCTGTCATTGCCCTGTGCAGGGTCTTCGTTCGACTTCTAGCCGCCGGCGCTCTGCTTAGGAAGAAGAGCATGCCCGAAAAGGATGTCGTTGTCGTGCACTGGCTCAGGGATCGTCTCGCCGAGTACCACGAGATCCTCTTATCCATGTTTTCTCTCGAGGACTACGCAATGACTATCCTCACACTGTCCATGCGACTCTTGAAGACGGAGGGCCAGTACCCACAGAGTGAAAGGGATGCCTACTGCTTTCCGAAGTCGTTCCTCAAGGATATTGTTGGTGCGCTGTGTCAGTCTCTGGTCGACCCAGCCGTGCGGGCGGAATTCGTCAGCAACTTCGTCGATGAGTTTGAGGATGTGCGGCTCTACACTTTTAAGGCAGTCCACGACATCATCGGGGAGCAAAGCGCAGCGTCGTCACCGGACTCAACCTTTGACATTCTCTTTGAGCTCCTCTCGTCGATCGAAGGCGTGCCGGAGTCGTCTGAAGAGCTCGAGGACTTCTATGTTGACCCACCGGAGAAGAAGAAGGGCCACGAGCTGTTTTCTATAGCAAAACACAAGAAACAGGCACAAGAGGCATGGCTTGCGCTGATGAGGCTTGAGATGGACAAGGACCAGAGGAAACGGCTGCTGGATGTCGTGTCGAGGGTCGTCGCACCCTGGTTTATCAAGCCCGAGCTCCTCATGGACTTCCTTACCGACTGCTACAACACCGGCGGCTCAATGTCTCTGCTCGCCCTTTCTGGGGTCTTCTACCTCATCCAGGAGAGGAACCTCGACTATCCGGCATTCTACACCAAACTCTACTCCTTGCTCGATGCCGACATACTACACTCAAGATATCGCTCGAGATTCTTCCGCCTGCTCGACACCTTTCTAGCCTCATCACATCTGCCGGCAGCACTGGTCGCAAGCTTCATCAAGCGTCTCGCCAGGCTCAGTCTGAATGCCCCGCCGAGCGCGATAGTGACCATCGTGCCTTGGATGTACAACCTGTTCAAAAAGCACCCAACTTGTACCTTCATGATGCACAGGATACCGAGGACGGACGAAGAGAAGGAGAGGCTTGCTGACGAGGGCATGCAGGACCCCTTCTTGCAAGATGAGGAGGATCCGATGGAGACTCGCGCTATCGACAGCTGCATCTGGGAGATCGTGCAGCTTCAGTCACACTACCACCCCAACGTGGCAACTATTGCCAAGATCATCTCGGAGCAGTTCACCAAGCAGTTCTACCAGCTGGAAGATTTCCTTGATCATTCATATGGGAGTCTCATAGAAGCCGAAATGACCAAGAACGTCAAGAAAGCTCCGGTCGTCGAGTTCCAGATCCCGAAGAGGATGTTCCTGCCTCAGGATGCAGGTTCGGGGGTTGAGGATGGCTTGTTGGTCAAACTCTGGGAGTTCCAGTAGAGAGGAACATCAATGGCAGAATGAATACACAGATTTTTGATACCCTGACACATCCTAAAAAGAAGAATGGATATGATTTTGCAACTCATGCTATACTACTTTTGCTTGACTTGACCTGTCCCGTGAGAGACTCAAACGTATTGCTTCTCCTTTTCTATGCACAATGGCCATGTTATCGGGGGATTTTTCCCTCTCCGAAAAGCACCGAGCACAAGACCTCAGCAATGCCTGATAAACAGCTCAAAAGCTCTCTTCGGTGTACATGCCTCACCACAACTTGGACTTGAAGATCCAGGTAGTCCTCGCATCGGGCAAAACATCGGACCTTCTACATGGGTATTTTCTGGTATGAGACACCAAGTGCTAAGCAGCATCAGCTGCCCAGGCTGTGTAGGCGCTGCTGGAGAGCCATCACACTGCATGGCACTACTACGTGGTTGGCAGCGCTGGGGCTGCTTTTTCGTAGCTGCAGTTGTGACAAGTGCTCTGGGTTGTTTCAGGTGCGCGTGGCCCCAACAACCAACCCGAGAGAGTCGTTTAGGTATTGAGAGGCGCCTGGGCGGGGACCCACGGGCTGCAGGGGCCTGCTGCTGTGGGAATCGCGTAATGCATTCGGCCTCCGCAGGCCTTGAGCTCCTCGTCCGTTGGAAAAGACAAGCTGCTACATAGTACAAGTTACAAAAACGTAGTGATCCGAGGTAGACCTACCGAGCTATGGAATCAGCCCAAACCAGAATTGCGAGCTACAGGGGGGTGTGGTGCGGAATAGGACATTTTGGCCTAATGGATTGCGCTGAGCACAGATGCCTAGTGCTTGTCTTTGGGCCAGTGCCTAAGGGAAAAGCTTGGGTTTCGAAACAATACGGAGTGCAGCAAAAACAGACTGCGTTCGAATCCTGATGCTAAACATAGAACAAGCGAGAGCGTACGGGAGGATCACCCGAGGGGAGACTTAATGATCACTCTGCCGATCCAGTCTTTGGGGACCGCAAAGGATGACAGGATTTGTCGCTGCAAGGTCCAATGCTCCAGCCAGATGAGATTCAGTGGCTCCTGGATGCTCTTCACCGCATCAACGCCCGACAGACATCCATGCAGAGTGTGAAAGGTTGATCTTTTCAGCCACTCGGAACACTCGATCAAGGGGCCCCGAGTTGTTCCACCTTTGATTATCCCTTCCATACTGTATACTGATAGGCACGTTAAGATACCGAGTACTTGGCCTGTTTACAGAACTACTATACTGCGCAGCTCGTCGTCTGGCAGCGCGGGCCAAGTACGCGCCACTGGACCTCAATACTATCAGCGAGATAGAGGATGTCCGTCTACCTGCCAGGTGAGGAGCAGCGTCGCAATGTGTTGTCAAGGAAAGTTGGCATGCAGAAGCCAACAAAGCGCGGCGCCCCCGAGCAAAGCTCGAGGTTCGTCGAGCGCGCAGTCAGCTGATCCACCTTTCACGTGGCGAACAAGTATGCCAAATCCCACGACAACGACGACGGGGTCGGCTGCTTCAAAGGCTCGCTTACGCGGAGGAAGACGGCGATCCATGTTCATAGTACGGGGAATCTGCCTACACATGCAGACGGCAAGTGCAGGAAGCCTGCAGCACGTCTGGGACCACGGACCCCGTTTTGGACAATCGCAGCCCAGCGATCTGGCAAACAGATGTCTCCATGTTTGCACATCCCAACAAGTCCCCCCCCTCCCAGATCTGTCTTCTTGGCGATAGAGTCCGGGAGCAGGGCTGGCTTGGGCCCAGCCGCCCTCACCGCCATATCACAAAGTCTCCATCTACTCTCTGGACGATTCGAGCAACTGGGGGGGATCGGGGCCGGAGCTGGAAGCCGGGGGTCGGGATTGTTGATGATGGGGTCTTAAAGATGGAACTCTCTGAGTAAGTGCGACCACGCCGGCGGAAAGCAAATTCGTACTACGTACTACGTACTACGCACAAGGAGACAAAAGTCCAAGAAATGCTTTGCGTATTGCACCAACGCTTCTTTCTTGTTTCCTGTCATTGGCTAGAGCTTTTTGACAATGGCTTCGTCAAGACTCATCGCAGCCGCTAGACCTTCACAACTTGGGACCAACGGCGTGATTCCGTACGCAGCCTGGCACTGCTGCAAAATACGCGCGGCGCAGAGCACCCGTGAGAGTAAACAATCAACAGCCGGAAAAGGCAGAGGGACCCAGCCAATTTTGGTCCACAAAAGTACGATATCGAGATAGTTTCATCGGAGTATCCTTCAAGCTCGGTCGTGGGTCATATCTTTGCAGGCATACAACAGACCACATAGTACCATAGTAGTAGGCAGTGCCAGCTTTTCAGCATACACACCGGAAGCAAGCCTTCGACTCTGAGCTTCGACCAGAATGGGGCTCCCGCAAAAGAGCACGGACAAGCCGCCGGAGGATTTTCGACAGGCTTGTTAGCAGCCGAGTTGGTGGGCTTGTGGGCTGGTGGGCCGTCGAGTGGATTGCGCAAGGATGCCCTGTGAACACTGACCTCACCTTGTTCCAACGTCAGTCAGGACAAAGTCTTGTGGTGGTTTGTTGTGTGGGAGACAAGAAGAGTCTCTGAGCCGCCTTCGAAGGCCAAGCATCGTGCAAGGGGCGAACCGACAGACAGAGTCCATCCAAGGGAGAGCCCATGGAACATCGGAAACAATGGTGGTAGACCCACAGAATTGAAGACCCTGAACGTTAGGGCGATACGGTGTCCATGTAGCCTGGACCCGTTTCAGCACCTGCAGAGCCGTATGCAGAACAGCTATCAGTCGATCTGTTGAGACGCGGGGACATGCAGATGCACAAAACAGGGTCTCCCGCCGGCTTGTTGGCCATGCAAGTCGTGCAGGCGAGGTGACACAAGACGGCCTCTCCGACTCAGCTGTGCAGAAGTTTCAAGCTGCCGTGGTGTACCCGGTGTATCTTGTATACACAATGACGTGAAGCGCTGTATGCGCCGTCTCAAAGCACTCAACAACCCAGATGCAAAAATCTCTGTCATCCAACTCATCAACTCTCACATTTTGGGCCAACGCGGTCGTAGTCAGAGTGGATCAGACAGTTCTGGAGGCCTCACAATAACAAGACCTCGTTGGATGTTCCGAGGGAGACCACTCGACCAGACTCAGAGCAGCAGCAGACAACGAAGGAAAGACTGCCAGGTATAGACATTCGAGGGCCCATGGCTCGGGGCGAACCTTGAGACATTAGAATGGCTGCAGCTTGAACCGAGAGCTAAGTAGCAGGGACTCTAAATAGAAGGGAATTAAAGGAGAAAAAGACGAGAGAAAAATCTGCAGCCACAATGACGCGCGAGTCGAGGCCTTACAGTTCGCTCTGGATAAATCCCCAGGTCCATAGCGCCTGTGCCGGACACATGAACTCTGCAGTATTCCGTGTCGCCGCCTGAACTTGCGGTACCACTGACAACTAGAACAAAGCGACTGTTTCCCGTAGAGAGGTTAGATCTCCAGTGCAGGAGTGGCTCAACCCGGGATGAAGGCTATCAAACTTGGCCCTAGCCGACGTCTCAAGAAGCTAGCGTGATCTTGCTTACAATGAGGGTCACTCTTGGAGGATAGAGAGTCCACACACCTGGCTCTGGCTTCATTAGCGAGCGTACTCCGTGCCAGCCGGAGGGCGTCCGTGCTCCGGGAGAAGGGGCTTGGCGATTGGAATAGCGGGACGCCGGTGGCGCGAGTCGGAAACGGACATCTGAGGGGTGGTAGGCAGGCAGGAGAGTGTGTCCCGAGGATGCGATACCCGGTCTCAAGAGCGGCGCTGGGTGGCGCTGGTGGATGGCGTCAGAGACAGCACCCAGATGTGCCAGTGTTCGAGGCACACCTGAGAACTGAGGCGCGATACCTCAAATGAGCAGACTGCGGATGGGTCTTGGCCTGACGCGAGGGAAACGCGTGTCATGAGCGGCAGGAGCTGGAAGCTGGTCAACAATCCATTGATGGCAGCACGGAGTGCTGAACGCGCCGGGTTGGTGGGGCTCTGTGCTCCTGAGAACTCTAGAGGAGGCAAAGTCAGAAGGCGATTGGGCGAACGAGATCGGGACGAAAGGACACACCGACTTTACGCTGGCGATCCTGGCGTGTTCTCTGGCTGGCGACCTTGGCCGGGCTGGGCGCTGGTTGGAGGAGGAGGGGCGGGTTGGGTCTCCACGACCTGGCCGCATACTATGCGGCCAGATGGGCTCTGGATGTCTCGAGTGCGAGAAGACTGACCATACAACAGGCGCGGTTGCCCTTAGTGCAGTCGACTTTGAGCGGGTCGTTCATGCAAGTCCTGGCTGTCCAGCCACCGGAATTTTCTCCCGTTGCCCATTCGCAGTGGTTCGACGCAAGGGTGCTCCAGTGCAAGATGTTGTTGTCGGGTATCGTGAAGAGCGTGGTGAAAATCAGAGGCCGTCTCGGGAAATGGAGAAGGAACAAAATTAGACAGCATCAGGAAAACGCGAAGGACACAAAGAGATCCGTGCACAGCCTGTTATACATGTGAGGAGTATCTGTATGTGGGCAGCGCGATTTGGGGCATGAGCTGCTGTAGGTGGTGGCGCCGTGTTTGGGAAAGGAAGAGAAAGGAAGTAGGAAGGTGAGGTAGCGCACCTGCACACTCAAGAGGCTGTGGGCACTGGGCAGGTGCGACAGGTGACCACACTACCGCTTGTAAGTCTGGTTCTCTGGCAACTGGGTGTCTCAGAGCTTTGGGGAGGTTGCAGATTACATAATAACCTTTCACCCTAAACCGTACCAACCACTTTCCCTTGTCACCTTATCACCCGTATCAGACCTGGAACAACTACTGCTGGTGGTACTATATGCTGGTGGCTCTGGTTATAGTACTATAATGGATGCTGGTAGGTTGGCACTTGGGTCGGCAGCCCAGGTCACACGGCTCAGGTGCCCAGTCCATACGTAGTACATAGTACCATGTGCGTGAAAACCAAGAGAAAGAGTGAGCCACCACACCCCACCCCCCTGAAGTCATCGGGGCGCCCCCTGGCCATCGTCCCGTCTATCAAGAGTCGCATATTGCCTGTCGATCGCGTTCATGATCCTTTCCGCTGGAGCGTCACATTATCATGATTTGATGATTATTACTTTTGGGCTCTCCAACGACAGCGCAACATCTGTCGGGCAATGCAGACTTCATACATGGGTTATCGGGTTTGACCCTTAGCAGGTGTGACCATTAGCAGGTCTAATGGGTAGAGCCTTGAAAAGGGTATGTGGCTATCTCGTTACTGTCTGCTCACACAACAGGACCAGCGACCAAAGTGGCTTGCCAAGCTTGCGTCCAGTCCTGAATTTGGACGACGACGGATCCTCCAGCTCCATCACGTCGTAGTGTCTGCCGGTCTTCGCTCTCTTTCTGTGGCCGGCGTTGTGCGGCAGACGTACTCCGTACCCTGCGGTGCGGCACACGGCGCACACGGGCTGATGGACAGGCCATGCCACGACCCAGGAGTAGCAGAAGCAAAAACAACAAGACGAACAGCCTGGCAGGCTGGGAGGCCCATGTCCCGGAGCTTCCTAGTGGCCGGGAGACAGAAAGAAGAATTGAAAACATGTGCGCCAGCCGTCCTCGACAGGACGGGGCAAGCTTCTAGACTCGGGAGCAGCCTAGCTCTCCTGGCCGGCGAACAGCTTTACGGATTCAGTGCTCCCTGGCCCGTGCCCCGTGGCATGCTATGCGGCTTGCCTGTCCGGGTTTGGCTCTCGCAACTCTCCAATAGCCTGCCTGTTAGCCTGCCAGTGTCTCGACAGGAGGTGCCCCCAGTTGGCCCACATGCCACCCATCGACTCGCTCTGTATGGCTGCTCCGGACCTTTTGGGCACAAACGGCCTTGCGGGCCGTAGGTATTGATGCCCAATCTACTGCACGTTGACGGCTTCTCAGCCAGTCAACCCTACCCCATTCAGCCAGCCCTCGCCGTTTGTGTGGGAACCAGTGGACTGTTCATGGGACTCTTGGTGTCCACCTGCCGCCTCCTTGTGGGACAATCTTCTCCCTCACCAGAACCGGATACGCAGACAAGGCCGATCTCCTAGCCGACTCACCCTTGTTGCTCCCAATACTGTTGTGGACTTTGAACTCGATTTTGTTTTTGTTCTCTATTTGGGGGGGTGGCAATGGCACGCCCGTCAAATGCCAGTGTGCTGTTTGTCAGTGGTTGTGGGCAAAAGACGCACCCGTTTTACGCAGGACATTCTAGAAGGCGGCTATCGAGGGCTACCCTTGTGTGGGGGACTTTGCGCACGGTCGCTCTTGCTCCCCCAGATCCCATCAGCGATCTGTGATTCGATCTGGGATCGGAAAGGCTCCCAAAGGCCCCGGGGGCAGGATCCACCGACAAGACAGCCACAGAGGATATGTGCCCCCCTGCTTCCCACGGGTCAACCAGCGGTCGTTGCTGCTGGGCCACGGTCTGATTCGTCTTCGCTGGGGCAGTCAGTATTCGGCTGCAAGCACAGTTGTCCCTGCGCAGAGCAGGCTGGTTTGTGGTGCCTGCCACCAGGTCAAGACGCCGCACAAGACGCCACACTGGGCAACACCTATCTCGCACAACCTTCATGGTACCAAGCCTTGATACCACCAGGCGCACCCGTGCATGGGTCGAGCTCAGGAACCCCCAGATGTCGAGCTGGTGGTTGAGCTTTCTCTCGCCTCCTCACCCCCTGTGGCCTCGACGGGGTCCTGGTCTGACCAGCACTGAAATCGCCTGGACGTCGCAGCAAGGGTCATCATCTCATGGGGATACTCTAGCGCACGAGGCGCTTGGCAAATGGTAGACGGGCAACGCACCCTCCTGGCTTCCTACAGCATCCCAAGATCAAATTCTGATGCTTGACCGGCCAGGCCATACCGGGAGCAGACGGGGGGGGCTTGCTAGCCGCTGCGTCCAGATTCTAGGGCTGTCGCTGCCGCTGCCGCTTACTGGGGAGTCGTTTCATGTATGCTGCTTGGTCAGTGGACGTCGGGCATCAGTCACTATGAAGTGAAGGCTGATGCAGCCTCACCTGAGAGGTCAGTCAGGTCTTGCACTATCTAAAACCGATATCCCCTCCCCACACAAGTCGTCCGTCGGGTAGCTGCCATTGGGTATTGAGATCCGCTTCTGGGAGGTAGGTCGTAAACGGTTCGTGCTTGACACGATCCCAGCCTGTCGTTAAAGCTCTTACCATCACGGCCACGGCACACAAGGTAAGAGCAACAGCAACCCGCCCAAAGATGACGTATATGGTAAACAATGTACCTCACTGGAAGAAAAGACACACAGATCCTGCGCACCTTGGGGCAATCATGAAGGGTAAGTCTGTCAGTATGAAGCACATACATACACAATACGGGGTTCTCGCAAGTATCAACACCCACGCCTGAAGTGCAACTTCTACGTACCAGCAGCTACAGGAATAAAAGCGATGCGGAATAGGCGTTTCCTGACCCCACCTCGGGCCGTGGGGAAGTGATCCTGTTTGTCCTCTTTGAGGTCCATCGCTGGGGACAAGGCACGGACTTCCCAATCAAGTACGTCGTCGTCCGAGGACCCAAGGGTCGACTTATCAAATGGACCCGTACCACAATACGTACGGCTTCGATACGTACTATGGTACAATCGTACCTAGAGTACATGCAAGTGGTACAGCAGTACGTATGTAATCATTCGTTTTGGCAAGTGCTGCTCCACTCGTCGAGGTAAGAGGCCCTGGGCTCCTCCACGGACGTGCTCGTTCGTCGTGGTGGTGGTGGTGGTGGTGGTGGCGGCCCTGCTGGGCTGGGGTAAGGAAGGAGGTATGGGTACCATTGGGGGGGGAGTACGTACCGATCTCATCACTTCGTCTTTTCTCAACCCAACCTTGACCCTGGTCAGTGGCCTGTCCGGCTTCCCACCACAGACACACCCAACGCCCGCTCTCGCTCGGTTCCGCGGTTGTTTTCTCAAGAGCTACAAATCCCAGCTGCCCCTCCACCGACTCTTCTCCCCTCGTCAGCATCCGAGCCAGAAAAATCATCTTTCGCACATACACACACACACAAACACATCATTCTACCTCTGCCGTATTGAGAGGTAGCGGCAATCAGAGCCATCTTCGCCGTCAGCCCCTTTGGTTGATTTATTATCTGCTTTCCTCTCCCACCGATCGGAAGAGTTGTTCCCCTACTCATTCGTCTGTTTTTTGGTCCATCCTAGATATTGTTTTTTTTCTCTCTCGATATTTATCACCCACCGCCTTCTGATTCCCATATCGCCCCATTCTTCATTCCCAGAGACAACCATTTTTTCACATACACACCCCCTTCTCGTCTTCTCTGCGCGCATTGGTTGGAGCTCTCTTGCTTCCGATCGAGACCATTCCATACACCAGCAACAGATACAGTACTCACAGCAGTCCTCGTCAGGACACTCACCACTATCGGTTTCTTCAACGACGAGGATCCTCCTACTGAAAGAGAACAGAGCGGATCTAGTGAGCAACCTTTTCCTTTTATCTTGCGGACCCCATCTCGTTTCCCTTCGGTGCTGTCCCAACAATCCCCTTCCATGAGAACATTTGCATGAGGGTCCTGCTTTGGACGATCAGTACCCACTCTACTTTCTCCAGTGCACCTATTTATCTATCTTCCTCCCCCTCCCCTCTCCACCTTTCATCACTCCTATTTGCTTTGCAACGTTTTAAGCTGCCCGCCTACCCGGTCCACCTCTATCTTGCACCATATCTACCCTGCAGTCATATATACCTCTCCATATCCCCATAGTCTCAAGAGTTTTACTCCTCTACATCTCCATGCATGTGTCACAAGACATAAATTAAGATACACGCTGTCTGCGACTCCCCGTCCTTCACCGCCCTACCTACCACTGGCACGGACGACCTCCCACTCCTATAGGGGACTAACACACGCCTGCCCTCACAGACCATCCGCCTTGTTTTCGGTTCGTCTCAGTGTCATTACACTTTGAGAGACTGTCATGGGGTCTCCTGTCCAGATGCAGAACTATTACTCCAATTCCGAAGTAACGCTGGATACGGCACAAACTCCGCAAAGGCTGTTTGAGGACGACGACTGCGTACTAGACGACAACGTCCTGGATCAGACCTCAATGGACTCAAGCCTCGAGATGTCACCCACCCTTGTTGACAGCAGAAGGGAATCTTTCGCGGTCTCAACCTCCATGTTCTCACCCAAGCCCGAGGCCTGGTCTGCTGTCGAGATGGAGTCTGTGCCGTCCAACAACCCATTCATGGAGCATCAGCACCCTCAGTCCCAACCCCAGCCACAGAACCACAGCAATAACCCGTTCCTCCGCCTGGACCAGCAGCAACAGCCCCAGCCCTTCATCTCCCAGCCCACCAACCCTTGGTCCATGCACAGCCCAGGCGCCTGCACACCTATGGTCCAGTACGACGGCGTCCCATCCGAATATGACGCCAACGGGGCTCCTCTCTTCCAGCAACGCCCACAGATGCACGGGCAGGGTGCTTTCATCAACTCCGCCAACCACGTCCCCTTGTTTCCTCCTCCGATTAACAGTCAGCCCATGCAGCAGTCGACCTCCAAGGACGGCTGGATGTCGACCGTCAAAGACGGCAAGCACAACAGCCCCACGATCCGGTCGCACAATGAACTCAGACGAGGGGATGGGATCCGCAAGAAGAATGCTCGGTTTGACATCCCAGCCGAACGAACACTGAACAACATTGACCACCTGATCGCCCAGTCCAATGATGAGGCTGAGATCAAGGAGCTGAAGCAGCAGAAACGTCTACTGCGCAACCGACAGGCCGCGTAAGTTATACTCGATCCACTTCATGGCCCATATTATTCTTCCTACTGACGTGTCCCATAGTCTCGATTCTAGGCAGAGGAAGAAGCTGCACACGGAGCGCCTCGAGGAGGAGAAGAAACATTTCACGGGCATCATCAACGACATGGAGACAGAAATCGAGCAGCTGCGCGGCCAGCTTGATCAGATGTTCCGAGAGAGGCAACAGGATCTTCAGATTGTCGAACAGCTCAAATTTGAGAAAGAGGAGATGGTGCGCACCCACACCATCGAGACCGGCGAGCTGCGGAAGAAGGTCAGCGTCCTCACGAGCCACGTGCAGAGCCTGGAAGGTGCTGCCGTGTCTCAGGGTGGCGGCCTACCCAGTCAGGCCTACGCCAACGGAGGCCACTTTGAGACCGACATGGATGACATTGCCATGGACGGTCCCGATGGCCCCTGGGAAAGCATTGGCCTTTTCGGTGCCGAGTTCCCCATGGAGGAGCCCGAGGTCAAGCAGGAGATGCAAGTCGTCCCCGCCAAGAAGCAGGAGGTCGCCCTCGCTGCTGATTCCGAGAAGTCGTCTGCCCAGGGTGGACTCCTCTTCATGCTATTCTTGGTCGGTGCCTTCGTTCTGTCCAACAGGCAGCCTAGCATTCCTCGCGTCTCCGACGATGTCCGCGCTGCTTCGGCTACTCTGCTCGAGAACGTCCTCAAGGATGCTGGCGTTTCCCAGCCTGCCTCCGCCAACCTGGACGCTACAGCTTCTCAGCCTACTGGCACGACCTGGGCCGCAGCTCCCACTGCGTCCGTGCCCGCTCTCGGATGTGGTCTCGACGGTGGTGTCTCTTCTGTGCTCGGTGATCTGTCCGACAGCCTTACTCGGCCGACGCAGGAGCAGCAGAACGAGCAACTGTTCGGTCTCACCGCAGCGCAGTACGATGTTGTGCAATCACAGGATTTCCTGCAGAACGCGCCTGCGGAGAAACCTACCGGCCCGGGCAGGCGGAATCTCGCCCAGGCCCTTGCGTCCATGAAGTCGAACGGCAAGGCTGAGGTATATACACGATCACTCCTGTGGGACCAGATCCCTGGCGACGTTGTCCGGACTTTCGCAAAAATGGTGATTGAGTCCAATACTCGGGAAGGCGACGCTGATGCTGACGCCGACGCCGACGCCGACGGTGACATTTTCGTCGAAACCGCCCACGTTGCCGCCACTACATGAATGACAACGAAATTACGACATGATATTGCATCAAAGCACCGCCCAAAATCAGTTCGATTGTTTTGCAGATATCTCCACTACATTAGCGTGTTTTACAGCATTTTCTGAGCTCTGCAATGTGCGGTACATACAATTCTTCGAAGCGCTCCCGCGCAGCCATTACATACTGTGCTCACGCACACCCCGAAGATTGTCAACTTGTCTTCCTGATCTTTCCTATCTCTTTTCTTTTCTTTTCTTTCTTCTTATTTTCCCCCTTTATTTCTTTTATTTTCCTATCTATTTCCTTTTGAGAATTTGGGGTTTTCGCTCAGTGATTTTGTGGGCGAGCTTGACCTTTTCCGGGTCCCTCGTAAGGTTTTCTATGGTTCTCGTTAATTTCCTTTTCAGCACTTCAGCGAGCGTTTTGATTTCTAGCGATGCTTTGTGGGAAACTCTCTGGGTTTACTTTTGTTTTCTTATTCATAGTGTTTCATAGCGGGATTGGGATCTGGGAGAGGGTCAGGGCCAGGGATTCTTACATCTTGGAAATGGCAGTGCGCCGATATTCCTGTTGCAATGGGGCTGGTTTGGTTTCGGGAATTTCGTCACGGCATCGACAGGACAGATCTCCAGAGCTCTTGGACCGTTCACGTCCAGAGGTCAACCTCTTGCACATTCGGGTGCAACCCATCAGAGAGTCCTATCTAGGACTTTGTTCGGAAACAACAACTACAACAAGAATGACAACATCACCATCAACATCATCATCAACACCAACAACAGTCTGCCTTGCCATCGGCAACCGCACACGGAGGAGCGGGCAGAGGAAGGATAACACTTTGGTTATCCACACCGGCTCTCATGAGCAAAAGTGGTAGAGGGCGGGGCGGGGATCGTCAGTTTACAGGATCTCACTCGATCGTCTCACGACAAGAGCACACTCTTTTGAATCACAAATTTCTTATGTACAAGGATTTCCAATTTCGACCATCATTCAAGTTGAGGAATCGGAGGGAGAGCCTGAACATGGTGACGATATGAGGGGGATCTAATCAGTCTGCTCTGGACTCATGAACTCAGGCCCGAGAACGAGACAAGGTGTGATTCACAAGTGGACGTCTGAATACGCAGGGAGGAAGCTTCGAGCCCAAGACTATAGACGTCGGTGGGTTTCCAGTTTAGACTTGGGAATTGCGCTCTGGGATGAATGCATGTCCAATGATGAACTTCTGTAGCTGAATTTCAAAGCTAATACGACGCATAAAACCTCAACATTTCTTTTACCATCAGCCCAGTCCAGTTTCGGGTATGTGCAGGGCGAGGAATTCGTCTCTTGTTGTTTGTAATTATTCCTGCTTCCATTCGGTCGCCGCCTGCTAAGGCCACCACATGACATATGACCTTTGCTGTGTAATATGCCGCAGGCAGACAATCATCCTTTGCGTAGCCTGAGCAGGCCCTCCCCACCAGAAATAACCCAAAATGAGAGGGAATCAAGGAAAATACGATTTGACCCAGCCATGTCTCAGTCCCTTATCCCGGTTTCCGATCACCACCATCGTCAGCATCAACTATCCTCATCCCGATTCGGGAAGATAACATGTCTTAGACATGCACGAACCAAGGAATGACATTGACTTTGCTCCAGAGAGGGGTCAGGGTATGATTGGGCAAGCCACCACACCATCTCGAGAAGGGCACTAGAAACTAGGATGCGGTGATGGTGGGTTGGGTCTTCTGGCTTCGTCGCATCCTGTTGTCAGGTCACTCATCCCCTCATCCGTCATATATGTGGCCACAACCCGACCCTCCATGATGCAGTGTGAAAGAGGAGGGATGGTTCATGTTACATCCCAATGGGTCGGGAGGGCGGCGCGGGCCTACGATACGTTGGACAGGTGCGGTATCGTCATGTCTTGTGAGGCGTCGAGTGGTCCTCCTGGGGTACCAGGTGACCTAGGCAGATGCCCAAGCTAAACAGCTCTCTCTTTCTCTGCTGTCAAAACCGACCCGCGGACCGGCCTGATGGCACAATTTTGGGCATCCAAGTCCCTTTTGAGTCAGATGAGGGAAAGACTTCCCGGAGGTGATCGACAATCATCCATCACACGTCAGGCTTTTTGTATTGTTCCGCCTTGAGCCTCACATGGGAGCGAAGGAGTAAAGAATGTATCTAATTATATAGTGACGGCCGATTTGCAACAGAATTCGCCAGCAGGCATTCGGTTCCCAATAGTATAGCACGCAGGAGAAAACTCGGAGAATATTTTTCCGTGCATCGTAAAATGTCTTGCTCACCACAACAATCATTTTCCCTCCCTCTCTCTATCTCCATTTTCTTTATACGCGGTGTTCATTTTGACATTAGTGCCCCCAGATTGCGACCTCATCTGAAGGAGAGGAAAGAGAGGAAATTGAAATGAACGACGGCCTTGTAGCACGCCCTCTCATCTTGTGATGTGCCGCCCGATTGTTTGATTCGTCATGAGCCATAGAGTGGGCGAAGGAAGGAGCGAGTCAGCGGGCATGTCATCAGAGTAAGAACGCAACACCAGAGATCGCGATCGTACACCTCGAACCGGAACTCTCGGGCTTCCTTTGCTGCACTGACGACGCACATTTGGTTCGGATATCCACAGCTCACCCGCATGAGAGAGGCGGCACGTTGCAGCCATCAAGAAATAAGCACTACAACCCAAAGTGCTGTTTAATGACCGCAGCCACAGCGCAAGTATGTTTTTCCGGCGACGCTCTACATGTCAAGCTTGCTGCATGTGTAATAATAAAAATCCCCCCCCCCCCCCCAAAAACCCGAGGGATGGGATTCGGAAGAGCCAGGTTGAGAGGGACTGTTCGTAAGATGCACCAAAATCAAAACCCCAACTCTCTCCTGGAGCTGATCTAGTTTATTCATAACCGTCTTATTACGCCCCGTTCAGTAAAGTCAAGATTTGGTGTGGATGAGAAGGGCAAGCCACTGGCTCATTGACGTCGGATTCTCCCAGCCAGCTGCGGAGCACATGAGGCCAAAGTGGTCAGAATTGCAACATATTTGTAATGAACACTCAAGGTTGTTGTGCCTCATACCTGCGGTTTCCCTTGCTTTCGGCAGACGGCATGGTACAAACGTCTAGATGATACAAGTGTAATGATTCTCTTCTCACTGCAATTTACAGTACCATCGTAATTCTGACGCCCTTCTAGAGACAGGCTCCTGCCCATGTTCCAAGGTCTAGCGAGCCAAGGCATCTTTCCCGCGATCCTGGTGTAGGAAGTGCAGTGATCTGTGCCATGTCGGCATCCAAAAACATCGGCCATGGCATGCATGACTGAACTGTTTCGAATGCGGTGGGACCTTCTTTCTGTCACACGACAGAACGGAGCCCTGTCCACATGATTGAGCTAGGGACATTGCGTGGCTGGACCGATCCTCTCGACACACCAGTGCCTCGCAGTCGATGCAGAGGCCCAGCAAGGTCAACGAGGTTAGCGAGAAAGACGCGGGTTCGAGAAATGGCCGGTGGTCAACAGAGACTCAAGCCCCCCCCCCCCCCACCCCCGGGTGTCCCGACGTACGCACTCCCGCCCGAGAACGATTATCTGCGGACCTTCGGGGTGCCCAGCTCGCAGGTGGCAAGTTCAAGAGGTCCTCAAAACCATAGGAGCGCATTGGCGACCGGAAGGACACCGCAGACGTGAAGAATAATGGGAGACCGAAGGGCCGATGAGCTTGGCTCGTACCTATTTCTTGCCGCGCTCTTCTTCGACCGGGCCGTACTTCTCCTTCCAAATCCTGCATCATCGCGTCAGTATCGAATTCAGTGCTCATCCGCTTGAGCCAGGTCAAATTTTCTAACGATGGGAAATGAAAGTGGCTCAGGTTGTATCATCCCGTGCACAAGCAGACACCTGCACAAACTGGGGTGGCAGTTCCTCCAGTGCACAAAAGGGCAGCACCAAATGATTTCTCGAAGGCTGCGAGCCCTACCAAGGACCGCAGGGGTAAGCGACGCCGAAACGAGGCGACACAGGAGGGAATGGTGCATGGTGCATGGAGAGTAGACTGGGGAGCAGTAAAAGAAGTCCCACCCCTATCATTGGTCGTACGAGGCAGCCGATTGAGACAAATGTTGCTCAAGTCAATAGTGACAGAAGCCAGAGCACTTGCCACTGACACGGGCCACGGTCATTCCCATTGACCTCACCATTGAGCGGCTGTTCCCGTAACGGCCCTGCTCGGGTATCCATCAAACACAAGGGGGTGGCAGCAGAACCATCCAGACACGGAGATGAAGAGACCGCCCTGGGACTTACCAAGAATTGCCCAATGTCTTGTTTCCATTCTTCTCGGCCAACCGGTAGTACTTAGCTGCAGCATACTGCGACAGAAATATGTTAGCCTTATAAAATAGTTGGTCAAGGATCCTGCAGCTGCGAGTGGGTAGAAGTAGTGCTTCTTCGTTGATGCCCGATGTTGAGGCTGGGCAGATCTCGATCGCATGCACACTCTCAAGCACCCCTGTCGGGTTACAAGTCTGCAGCCATCAGAAGACGATTGCTTGTCTCCCTCTCACTGTTTGTATGCCCAGAGGAAGCCTTTTGGAATGATTCAAGATATCGTGTTGCAGAGGAATGAGAGCGGAATGCCTCACCTTGTCTTTTTTGCAGCCGAAGCCCTCCAGATAGCACCAGGCGACCTCGTTCATCGCGTCTTGAGTAGAAAGGATCAGCTTCAACTCGCCCGTATGTTCAGTGTTACGGGCTGTTGATGTCTAGTGGGAGCCTGCACTTACCAGTGTCACCCAGGTTCGCGGCTGTTTCGTAGTACTATCGTCCCGTAAAGAAATGTCGTTAGCCATGTTCCATGTTCGCTCAGAAATTGTGCCCAATGTGTGGGTTCTTGAGCCACGGGTATGATCCTGCGCCTGTAGAAGTTCCGACTCACTTGCTTGGCAGCGAGGGGATCCTTTTCGATGCCCCAGCCGTGACGAAAGCAGTTGGCCAATTCAAATATTGCCAGGACCAGCTCTCCCTTTGCCGCACCTCCCTTTTTCAAACCAGCCTGCAAAGCCAGGCTCTCGACATCAGCAGCATTCTTCGCAGCCGCTGAAAGGAAGAAGATTGCCCTTTCAGGCTCGGGTTCACAGCCCCAACCATGCCTGTAGTAAGCTGTCATCAGCATTTACATCTTTCTTCTTCGAACTGCTGTCAATCCTCGATGATCAAAAACAGACAACATCCGATAGTAGACACGCCAGCAATCAGCTTGCCCTTGGGGGGCCACGCTCTTGTCACCCACCTCAAAGCAAGGCCATAAAGAACCTGGCTCAGCGGATTATTTGCCCCATTAGGATCCGCCAGGACACCAAACAATCTAGTAGACTGCCGCAAGTCTCCCTCCTCGTGCAGGCGTATCGCCTCTTGTATGTTCTTATCGATGCCTGGTGTGCTGGCCACACCATTCTGCGGGTCTGCCCCAGTCCCATCATTGACGGCACGCAAACTCGCAAAGCCATCCTTCTCAATAGCCGGGCTCATTCGAGCCGCCGGCGAGGGGGGACCGCTTCGGTGCAGCATCTCGTTCTCGTTGGCGGTGTTGGCGAGGATCGTAGCACGCTTCTCCCACTGCAACTCAGTAATATCTCTGTCGGCGCCCTGGTCGGCCGTGGTCGTGGTGATCTCGGGGAGGTCGACCGGAACGTTCTCGGAACTCGCTGGGGATCTCGACAGATGCAGGCGCTGCGAAAGACGCCGGCCGACTGAGGGCCTGTCCGGCGTGTTGCTGCTGTTCCTGCTCGACACCGAAGAGCCCCGGGATGGACGGAGCACATCGGAGAGGCGCCGGGTACGAGAGCCGCCCGAGGGTGAGTGGGCGTCGCTTGCGCTCAGGTAGTCAGCTCCGTGACCGTCATTCATACTGGCTGGCGAGCTTGGCGGGTGTATGACCTCTTGTGTATGCGTGTCGGACCGCAGAAATGTGAACTCGGGCGCCTGCAGCGTATCCACAACATCTTCCCTCCTAGTACCATGACCCTCTTCTATCCTGTCCTTCTTTTTCAGAATGTCTCGCAGCCCCATGTTTGCGACCGTGATCCGGATCTGTCGCCCTGCTAATCGGTCCGAGACACAGGTAGAACCACAGCACAAGGTCTGCAGCACCGGGATCGGCGGCTATACAGCGTCAAATGGTGCAAGATGTTCGGCTGGTAGGTTGAATATATGCTCGTATCGGCTTAGAGAAAGACTCAGTAACGGTCGCAATCGCTTGTGGCGTGTAGTGCTCGCAGATATCGAGGGGCCCTTTCAGTCTCAGTAAACGCCACCTCGGGTCGATACTTGCCCAAGGAAGCAGTAAGTACTAGATGAATGAGGGAGAAAACAAGTTGTAGTAAGCGACAATGACCACTCTCCACCTGGAATCATTGATTATGAGGACTGGACACGACCCGAGCTATGGTATACTTTCTCGCTCTTGCCGTGAAGTAAGAAGTTGGCCGCTGCTATTCAGAAGGATCATAGCCTTTGAATTCCGTCGCCTGATAACAGGAGGGGCCGTCCTCCGCAGCGTTTGTTGGCCGCCTTGTAGCTGAGAAATAAGCTTCGCCAACAAGGGAGAGGAAGGCTGTGTGCATGACTGTCGGAAACTTGACTTATTCTCTGTCTCTTTCCAGTTGACAGCTGAGAACGCCCTCCGCCTGCTGCTACGACGATCATTGGTATTTAGCAGCTTAGCAACTGGTAGCATCAGCCAACTTTGGCGCCAAAATGACAAGGCGGGGGTGGGGGCCTAAATGCAGTGGATGTTGAGCACTTGGTGGAGAGCCAAGCACTATGTCTGCCGAGGCGCAGCGGCCGTTCCGAGGACAAAAAGGGGAGCCGACGCGCGCTCTTCCCAACTGCGTGCGCATGGCATAAACGAGGACCAATGCTACACGCACAAATGGGATTTTCTGACCCACGTGCCCACCGTAGGCGTTCCTTCTTTGCAGCAGAATTCTGCACCATCTCATATCTGCCATGAGTAGTGACTTGCGAAGGAGATGATGAGCTGGCTGATGGTGCCGACTGAGCGGGCCTTTACACTCTGGATGCCTCGAATGATTCAGACGCACACGACCAGTGGTGATTGAAAATAGTTGACTTCGATCCTCGTTGGCTTGCAATTTGGTAAGAAAGAATTTTCACTAACGGACACCACGACAGAATTATGCTAGACGTTCCTCCGGGCTCCAAATAGCTGCGTTATGAGAATGTCCATCCTTCAAAGTCATCCACGAATCGGACGGCGGAGGCAAGGTAACGCTCATGGACATCTCCCCATGTGCTGGCAGCCTCCCTCATGGCCCTGACCGCTTTCACAAAGTGTGCATCTATGGCCCACCCCGAGTTCAGCGCCTTATCCTCAACGTATGACCATGTCTTGGCCGCGGATCCCTCCGGCCACGGGACGTAGTCTGGATCAATCTTGGGTCTCAGCTCGGCAATGTAGACGGCCAGGGTCAACAACCACCATTGCCGCACCAGTGAAACATGGAACTCGGTCGGAATGAACGGCAGCAGAATGCGCACGGCATGGCTTGTGGTGAGCAGGTGGACAATCCGGAATTTGTATGAATGTGTTCCAGGAGGAACAGTGGCGACGAGCAGGGCAGTGGCAGCCTCCTGGCTCTCCTGGAAACGTCGGACAGGGTCTTGACCGACACACCAGGCATTCCAGTATTCCAACACCAGTTCCTCATGCTCACTGAATAGACTCTCGATATCGCCAGAGTCCTCGTGCCCATCGAATAGACCATTGAATCTGCTGTCACTCCGGATCCTCTCAAGGATGTCTGAAGGCGAGGTGGAGGAGAAGGCTCCCTTTGGTGGCGGGCGCGAGTATTTTGAGTTGTCGAGATACTTGTGCATGAAATCGTACTGCGTGGCGGTCATGGCCAGAGCTTCAATGGCGACCTCTTTGCTGTCTATCTCGTATGCATAGCCCAGATGTATCAGAGGGTGGCCTAGACCGGCAACGACATTATTGATGAGGGGCGCGCCACCGTCGGGCGGAGCAAACATGAAGTCTTGAACGACTTTCTTCCACTCGTAATTTGCCTTTCTGGTGGCCAACTGGTCTTCGAAGAAATCGACGAAGGCTCTCTGATAGCTCCTCTGGCCCAGGAAGTCCCTCCAATCGTCCTCGGTGATCTCCTCGGGGCTGTCGGGCCAAGGTTCAAGTTCCTTGGACTCTTGATCGTATATAGTGTGGAGCTGGGGGATCGAGGCGCCGAGGATGTAAGCAGAGCCGAGAATATGTGGCAGATGGTTGTGATAATGTAGCGAGTGGTAGAGAATGGAGTGGTTGACATGATTGGCGCGGAGGAGGTGCTTGAGGGTTCGAGGGCGCTTGTCTGGGTTGGACTCAATAGTGTGGACTTTGACGGGTTCGAGGTGGATGGCCTGGTGGGCAGACGATCCGACCAGCCGGCCGTAGATGTAGGATAGCATGGTGGTTGGAAAATGATCAGGTAAGTAAGTGAGAGATTGCAAGACTAACTCCCTTTTTTCTTTCTTTTTTTCGGTGAGGGGAGAGGGGAAGCAGAGGGGATTTGCCACCGTGAGTGGTAGTATGTTGTTTGATGGTGGTGATGTAGCAGTGGTAATCGTGTCAATCACCATGCGCGCATACTACCATAGGTCAGCTTGCAACGGAGGACCAATGGGGCGTTGTTCGAAGACGAAGGTCGGAAACGTGCTTGACGTGGTGAAGAGGTTTGCACCAAGTTCGAGTCCCAACACTTCTCAGATCAGACCAGTTGAACCTACTAGGCGCTTTACTTGGTAATTGGGTAACTCGGGACGTCCGCGCTGTCGCTTCGCGCTCAGAGAATCGCAGCGAGATCAGGGCGGCAAGCAGCAGGATCTAATCCATTTACCCTAACTCGCAGCAGAAAATTGATCCTAAATAGCTCTTGGATGAAACTGATGGTTTCCATTAAGGTAAAATAAGAAAACGGTCGGCAATTCGCTCTTGCCGACGGTTTTCTGTTGAATTAACTGGACCCTTGACCTTCCCTTGAATTGCCTGCCCGCTAGCTACCCTTACATAGTACATACAGACGATTACCCCGCCAAACACTTACGTAGCGACTGACAGAAGAGTACTGTACCAGTACCACAGCCAAGGATCGACGTCACAGGCCGAAAGTTCACCCCTGTGCTCCTCCCCCGCGACCCGCTATTATATAGCCAGTGAGGCATGACATGATATAGGCTGCAGATGCAAATCTTCAATTCCACGCACCAGTGCTCCTGAGAACAAGTCAGCTGTGCGAACACACCAAAACACCTAACCCAGGCTCCCCAGAGAACCGAGATATCACAATGGCACCGAGCGCGATCATTGCACCCTCCATCCTATCGGCAGACTTCGCCAAGCTGGGGGCAGAATGTGCGAAGACAATGGACCAGGGCGCCGACTGGCTCCATGTTGATATCATGTATGTCGCCATCTAGCTAACTTTCTCGCCTTTCTCTCCCCCCGTGCTAACCATACTTTCTCTCTAAGGGATGGCCACTTTGTCCCAAACATAACCTTCGGTGCCCCTATCGTGGCCAAGATCCGCTCGCACGTCGAGAAACCCACCGTTCGCCACGGCCGCGGCACCTTCGACTGTCACATGATGATCGCCGAACCCAGGCGATGGGTCAAGGAATTCCAAAATGCCGGCTGTGATCTGTACTGCTTCCATTACGAGGCTGCTTTTTCCACCGCCGCCGAATCCCCGAGCGGCCACTCCGACCAGAAGACAAACCCCAAGGATCTGATCCGGTATATCCACGATTGCGGCCTGCAGGCCGGCATTGCGATCAAGCCCAAGACCGGTGTTGATGTGCTGTGGGACATCTTGGAGAACCCCAACGAGGCAGAGAGGCCCGATGTAAGTCTTGGCTCTTATCATAGGCTGTCATAGGCCGGATGGTACTGGGCGATGCTAACTTTCTCCATAGATGGTGCTAATCATGACCGTGGAGCCGGGTTTCGGAGGCCAGAAGTTCATGGCAAGTGAGCTGCCCAAGGTGCAGGAGTTGAGGAAACGGTATCCGGAACTAAACATCGAGGTGGACGGTGGACTGGGTCCCAGCACCATCGATCAGGCCGCTGATGCCGGCGCGAACGTGATCGTGGCCGGCAGCGCTGTTTTCGGGGCCCAGGATCCAGCCGAGGTGATTTCTCTTCTGCGTAAGAAGGTTGACGAAAGATCGGGGAAGATATGAAGGCAAAACCACAAGGATAGTCTTTTTTTTGTCTCTAAAGAAAGAGAAGAAAATCACCGAAAACCCCTTATGCTTTAAATTAGCCAGCAGCATATAGAGCGACTCGTTACATCCTCCTCCCGCCATCTCTGTTAGCTTTCGGTCAGTATGAGCGTCTTGCTGCATCCCTCTTGTTTGTTTAACTGCTTCGGTAGCACTTACCCTTTGTGTTGCTCTCTCGCCGTCGTATACTACAATCTCACATAACGACGCACTTCACATCGAAGCCAGGGTCTTTCTTGCTAGGTCCATATCCAATTCGGAAGCCATTGGTTTCTTTTGTGATCATACCTACAGCAGCTGCCGTCAGCAAGTTCTAATCTGAGCAGTACCCGTTGATGCTCGTCTTTTCTACTCCAGCATACTCACGGACAAAGTTCCTATCGTACCATCCATGCAGGTCGTGTACTGGACACTGGAGGCTCTCGTACTCCTCCGGGTGGAATTTGACACCCGACTTGCCAAATTGCTCGCACTGGCTAAATCCAGCATTGGGCATGCACTGGCTGTGGATCTGTAGCCATCGGCATCGACAACGCCGATTCTCGTAAATGACAGCCTGACACATTTCAGTGGAAATACTGATGCTGAAGAAGTTTTGTTGTGGTGTTCTGGGGGTTTTCTGTCCTTCCTGTGTGATTTTGTTTTCCTGGGTGGTTTTGAGTTTGGCAATCGGAAGTTGTGTAAAATGCCAGGTCCAAAATATTGTACTAGCGAGGCTGCCTCTTACAACCTTCCAACTTCCTGCACATGTTTGGTCTTGCCAAACGTCCGACTCACCCAGTTTAATGACGCGCCTACTGCCAACATACCTCACTTACCTATGCTTCCGTAAACGAGCTAGCATCTTCATATTCTGACGTTGTCTTTTGCTCAGTTCGCGCCGGGCCAGTTTCGGCAGCGACGCCTTGTTGGGGAGTAAGGGACCATCGCTCGCGCCGACCTTGTTGCTGCTCTCGTTGAGTCACGAACATCTTCGACATCCAGTGTTCCTTCCTTACCTTGTTAGCTCTGGCTAGGCTACATTAATTAGGTCACAAGCGGGTTTTCACATCTGTGTCTCAATTGCTCACCATGCCCCAGGTAGCCACGGACTCGCCTTCCCGCATACTTCCACAAGGGTGCACGCCTTTTCAGGTAATTCTGGACTTCGACGGCACCATCACTGAGCGCGACACCATTGACAATATCGGGAGGGCTGTGTTAGAGTGGCGGAGGAGTCCTGAGGGTGGTGGGACAGACGTTACAGCAGAGTGGCAGCGCATCGTGGACGGCTATATTCGAGGCTTAACCGCCTATGATGACTCGCAGCCCTCCGAGGAGCAGCGCACGACTGTTGGGCAAGAATTGGCATACCTGCGCGGTCGCAGAGCTATGGAAGAGGCTTCTCTTCGTCGCGTCAGAGAGTCGCACTTCTTTACAGGCCTAGCCGCACAGGAGCAACTCTACGAGGCAGGGCAGCGGGACAGGGAAACAAAGGCGACAACGATTCGACAAGGCTTTTCCGAATGGATCAAAACCCTCAAGGAGGATTTCGATCCCGCACCCAGCATTCACATTGTTTCGGTAAACTTCTCTGCCTCTTACATCAAAGGCGTGCTCCAGCCCTGGCTGCAAGATATCTCCTCCGTCATCGCCAATGAAGTCCAATCGGATGGGAACATCAGCGCAGCACTCGATTGTTCGGCCCAAATCCTTGGCAAAGATTCGAGCGCTTTCACAGTATCTGAGGACAAACTGGCCATCACGAAGCATCTTTCCACGAAACCACCGGGCCCGATTAGATACTATTTTGGGGACTCTACCACCGACCTTGAGTGTTTGATTGAGTATGGGGGCTATGTTCTGGACTCTGAGGGAGGAGGCAGCCTTGTGAGAGCCTTGCGAAGACTCGGTCATCGTGTACCTCATACCACAGAATGTACATCAACGCTCGCAGGAAACCAGATATGTTGGGCGCGCAATTTCCTCGAGATTCTTCAATCACGCTCCTGGGCCCCAAAGCATCTGCAAGCAGGGACTGTCAACCAGACCAACAGCTCGGTGTGAAACGTCTCCTAATGAAGATAATTGCACTCATTTAGTGGTGGGGGCCGGTCGCTAGATTTCGTGCCGGGCTCTATCAGACAGCACAAAGCCAGGCGAGTCCTCCGCACAGCATGTTGTTGGCACATGTGCCTGTTTGACCTCTGTCCGTGAACAAGTGCCTTACACGGTGGAACAAAGCCGATTTCTTAGACAGACTTCAACCTTTACATATAAGACATCTGGCAGACAACGGTCATAGGAGCCCTAATTCTACAAAGAGTCCTTGTGTTTATATCCCTTCCGATAAATGAAATTATTATATATTGTACACACATTGGATACTTTGGACATACTCCTATTTCTCGACCACTCTCCGAAGACATCCTCACAATCCCTCTAGACTCCTTCGCAACAATTTTGCCGGCCATACCCCATCCTAGCGAAGATGTGCTTCTTCAGGCGCATTGTCTACGATTCCTGCTCCCATTCGCAGACTCTGGGCCCTGATCCAGTACGCAAATGCTCACTCCAACTTGCCTATGAATGCGGTCAAACAGACGTACCGTGCGGCAAGCTGTGGCAGCACAGTTACGCCTCAATCAAGGTTGGTGGACGCTGCAAAGATTGCAGCGCGAAAATAGCAAAGACATCTGCTACGCTGACGGAAATCAAGCACCGGATTGCGCAGGCCAAACTGACGTTGAACATTGTGGACACGACAGACAAGGACGTTGAGACAGCTGGAACACAGGGTGATGAAGTACTAGGTCCGTACTCTCCGGAGTCCACACTGGCTGTTGCTGGTAACAACACCAAAATCCCCGCCCTTTCATGCTCTGAGTAGAAATACATGGCAGAGAATTGACATCTCTTTGCACAACAATCATGCTGTCTTTGATAATAGCACGCGCTCGGATACCTGTAGAGTCCATATGGGCCACGCCCTCCTTGGTCAGTAAGAACTAGAAACAATGTCATTCAGAGCTCACTGAGATACATGTTAAGCAAAGTGCGGATCACATTGAAGGCAGTGAAAGAATGACGGGCTGTAACGGGTTGGTGTCATTTTGAGTAATTGATTCCCAGCAGAGGTCCATCTGATATGGCCATGTACATATGAATCTCGTTAATCGGAATCCGAGTCGTTCCCATCGTCTGAGAAGCCTTGAAACTCCTCCTCAGTGTCTTCTTCCAGATTGACTCCATTTGCTTCCTCACCTTCGCCGTCCTCGTCTTCGTCCTCATGCTCCTCGATGTCAAATGTAGCTGATATGTCCCAACGGTCCCCCTTGGCTTTTTTGCTCACATACTTCACGAAACGCAATGTGCCACTATCCCTCAGCACGATAGTCAACTTGTTCCAGGCTGCGGCCTGGAAAAACAGGATGTTGTCGTCGTCAGCCGAAGATTTGTAGATTGCAGCATCCTCATCATCTCCGTCGTCACCAGCCATGTACACCTCATGACCTCCGACCTCTTCTGGCTCTTGTTTCTCCTTCTCTTCCCTGTCCAACGCTCTGCTCTTGCTCTTACGCTTCGATTTGGACTTGGATTGGCTCCCGTTGGTCCCGTCTGTCTTGCCATTTTGCTCGACAGTGGCACCCCCCTCACTTTCTTCACCCTCCTCCTCGTCATCGCCCCAGCCTGGAGTCGTAGTGAGACCTAGATTCAACTCAAGACGCGGCTTGCCTTCATAGCCAGTTGCCAGCGTGTAGTCCAGACCTCGGCGGAAGCGACGGGCGAGTACATCGTGGCTTTCGATGACACAGTCCGTTGCGGTGGCCAGCCACGCCCTGAACTGTGGGCTAGGGAGAAGGTCTTCGATGAGCTCCTTTATTGGCGACTCCTCCTCGTGTTTCTGCCCAGGTTGGAGGTACAGGAAGCGATGTTTGTGTGGGGGCTTTGCGACCTTCCACGCTGTCTCCGCCTCAATCTGCCCGCTCTTTTCTGGCAGCACGCCCGCATCTTTCTTGGCAATGTAGTCTCGGAGCCTCGCTGAAAACTTGCGATTGAGGATATTAGACACGGTGATGGATGAGTTTTCGTCAAAGTGCTCCTGCATCTGCTCGAGAGTGTCCGGTGTCAGGTAGGTCGGGGCGAGATACTTGAGCAGAAACTCGACGTCGGCCTCCTCGAAGTCCTCGAATGACTTTGGATGCTCGACGCGGACGGTGCTGGCCTGAGGCTCGTCGTGCTGGTCCGGGTTGCCCTGAAGCTGCATCAGGCCACTGTTCTTGACCTGAGCCTCCTCTGCACCCTCGACATAGCCATCCTCACCGGCCTGTGGGATATGGAACCACCCACTAACGGCCATGCGGACACGCCCGCCGTCTGCCTCCAGCTGCTCCTTTGTTCCTGCGTGGTAGACCTCTTCGACGTCGTGGAAGCTCTCGCCCGGCTGGACAGCGAAGAAGCTGAGCTGGTTCCACGCGGGCGGAATGACCTTGACGACATCAGGCCCTGGGGTCTTGGCAACGGCACCATCCTTGCCCTTACGATCGAGAACGGGGAAGAGGCGCAGGGCACCACCCCACTCGGGCTGCCATGGCTTGTCCGGGTCAGTCAAATAAAGGATGTAACTGACTTTCCGGCTGCCAATGACGTCGTCGTGGCAGAGGAGGTAGCAACCGGGCGTGTACACATTGATGGCCATATCGGTCTTACGGCCGCTCAGAGCTCCGCAGCCAGTAATGTGGGAGACATAATCTCGAAAGGCCTGGGAGTAGATAGCATCGCGAAGGGCCAGGAGGCTGGGGAGCTTGGCGAGAGCCTCGTCATCCAGGCCGTCCAGGTTGGCCAGGTCTCCTGACTGGTGGATTTTGTATATGTCGGTCTCTTTGGGTGTGAAACTGACATTGTCCCTGATCTCGCGGCGGACGTTGCGTAGTAAGGAGTCGTCGATCAGGCCGCTGATGACGCTGTGCTTGTAGGGGAAGGACTCTGAGTATTCCGTGGTATACGTATCCAGCACATCTTGGTCGAACAAGCCCTTGCGGAACCTGGCTCTGGCCTCCTCGTCCGTGAGAGCTGTAATGAAGCAAGAAGCTGTCAGAGAAAGAATACTACATTATGCAAGGACTTGAGGCACAGTGGTGACTGACTAGTCTTTGAGCGTTTCGAGAGCGGCTTCTTGGATCCCGGCTGACGGTCTGCCTTACGCTTCATGTTGGCCGGCTCGATTGATGGGCGCGTCTGGCAGGAAGGGATGGCTTTGAAATACAGGACAGTAGCCCCCGGTACTGGAAGACAATGAACCGGAGAAGTTTGGTTCGATTTGGGTAGTGGCACACGAGAGAGGGCGACGAAGAGAGAGAAAGAGAGGGAGGAAACCAAGACAAAAAGGTGGTGGAAGATGGGCTGATGAGGTCAGGCTAATGGCACGATTCCATGTCAAACAGACGGCAGAATTCAACTTTTTTTTGCCAAAGGGGGGGGGGGGCTGTCAAGCAACACTCGTAAAGCACATGCTAGCCTTCCACTGTGGTATACCCAGCCGCCTTCTAAAGAAGGACCCTTGCGCTGTACTGCATTGGGTTCACCGCCCTCGTTACACGCTAGAGCCTATAGCGCAGGCTACACGCACCGCTTGCTGTACAGGCCCTATGCTCAAAGTAGACTGTTGGACCTAGGTCTCTCCAACGGCCGTGCATTGTTGTTGTTATCCTGCCATTCGCACCTGGACAAATAGTAGGTGCGCTACTCATGTTATTAGCAGATAGGTATGAGCACCCATCCCTTCTGCCATATATACATACATACATTACTGTATAAAAGGTATCCCTCAGCCTGCTTCTATCCGGTTTCGGTGATAGATCGGCTGATCGGTTCCGTTATCCGCTATCGAGCTCGCTCCCCGGCACTTCCCCCGCGGGTGCTTCTCCCGGCCCGGCAAGCATCCCTCTCAGCCGGGCATCCCCCAGCCAACGTCGTCCTTACAAAGTGTGAACAATCCCATTTTCCACAAAGCGTGAAGTCTACGCCCTCAACAGCTTCAGTCTACATATTTACCTACTTTCAGCACCTACGCCTGTTTGCTGTCTGGCTGTCATTGAGACTCTTACTCAACCCCGCTTCCCAACTTTCATGATGGCGCCCTCAAAAGTCCCTCCTTCGGGCGTCTGGTGCCCTGCGGTCACAATGTTTGACCCCGAGACCGATACGCTGGACCTCGAAAGCCAGGCCAAGTACTACGCCTATCTCTCCAAATCTGGCCTGGCAGGTCTTGTCATCTTGGGCACCAACGCCGAGGCTTTTCTCTTGACCCGAGAGGAGCGCAAGGGCATGTGACTCTCTCTTGTCTCGAGACAAGCCCCTCCCTCCTTCTTGGGCCAGTTACTGATGTTCGAATGATGTTTAGCCCTGATCGCGACCGCCCGCTCTGCCTGCGGGCCAGACTTCCCAATCATGGCTGGTGTTGGAGCACATTCCACCAAACAGGTGCTCGAGTTCATTGAGGATGCAGCCGCTGCCGGAGCCAACTATGTTCTGTGTCTGCCCCCAGGCTACTTTGGCAAGGCTACCACCCCTGCTGTAATCAGCCGCTTCTTTGACGACGTGGCTGTCAGTAGTTCTTTACCCATCGTTATTTATAACTTCCCTGGCGTCTGCAACGGCGTCGACCTGGACTCTGCCACCATCACACAGCTGGCCAAGAAACACTCCAATATCGTTGGCGTGAAACTCACTTGCGGGTCTGTGGCCAAGATCGTGCGTCTAGCTGCTGTCCTGCCACGCGATCAATTTGCGACCTTTGGGGGCCAGTCCGACTTTCTTTTGGGAGGCCTCGCTAGTGGTTCTTCCGGCTGCATTGCAGCATTCGCCAATGTATTCCCCAAGTCTCTCTCAAACATCTACAGGCTTTGGGAGGAAGGCAAGACGAAGGAGGCCCTCGAGCTGCACCAAAAGGCCGCGTTGGCCGAGCAGCCCTGCAAGAGCGGCATTGCTGCCACCAAGTATGCAGCTGCCATATTTTCTGCTAAGGAGGCCGGGGTGGAGGACGCAGTCAACAAGATGAAACCGCGCAGGCCATACTTGGAGCCATCAGATGATGCTAAGAAGGTGGTGCAGCAGACGATGGCGGAGATGGCCTCTATAGAAACTGGAATCTGATCGTTTTGCAGCAACTTAATACCATCTGTGCTTAATTATGAGCAAGATATTACATCTAGTCGCTGTCTTCGAGACCAGTCGCAAGACTTACTGTTATGACCCATCCAACGTGCAGGTCAAAGAAACGGCACAGCACCAGGGCCACCCAAAGTGGACCCCTCAGAACGGAAAGCGCAGCACTCACCCATGTGATGAAAGAAGGATTACGCAACCCAGGGTTAGGGTTACTAGCGTGACTATATTGACTATGAACATAGTCAGGAAACAACTATGAGGAATCGGAACATAGTCAGGCTATTTCATACTGAAGAGCTGAATATATAAGAATACGTTCATTACCACTAGATAGACCACCAGGATATAGCTCTTCAATTATTAATCTAAGTATTCAGTTATTACATACTTGAATAGCTTCAAAAGCAAATGATTAGCACTTATACGAATTACTCAGTTATAGTTCTGTATTCAGTAGATTCTACTTTGATACTGCTCTTGTTAGTATAAACTCTTTGTATACTTCAGATCTTTAGATATTGCAGTGCATTTATTACATTTTGATGATTCTTATTCAGAAACAGTTCAGTATTAACTATTTAAATAATACAGAAATATAATAGCTTCTGCAACCCTTTCTTCATCCACTCATCAGAATGAGCTAGTTTAGCAGCTTCTTCAGCTGCAGGAATATTGTCAGGGCCGATTGTGCTAGCAAGGCTTAGAGCCAGCTAAGCCAGCTGGATTACGAATAACTAAGCAATATGCGGCTATAAAGCGGCTTTCTAGCTACGTCAGCACTGCTGAGCAGAACTTAGCTCCTTAAGCCTCAATGTTATTCTGGTTGTATGCCTCTGAAAGAGAGAAAAGACCTCGCTACATTGCCTTTGCAACCTTTCCATCTAACAGTTTGAGGCCTGGCTCTTTTAAAGGAAGCAATCTGGCGAGGCTTTCTATCTTTTTTTTCTTCTAGGAGTAGCGCTAATACTGAGCAGGAGCAGAGCAAACAATTAGATTATTATTCTTTTCAAATCTTTAAGCTTTTAATCTTTAAGCTTTTAATCTTCGATGTTATGACCCATCCAACATGCAGGTCACGAAACAAACCCCGGCAACAAGGGACCAGGTGTCACGACCCAACGTCGGACAGCCATCAACAATTAGGTAATCCAGGGTTAGGACCACAGGGCTCAGCCAATCAGATCACAGGATGATCACTTGTAATTACCGGTGCTCAGTGATCAGTAGTGATCCGGAGTGATCACCAGTGAGCAGGAACTGAAGAGCTGGATATATAAGGATACATTCATTACCATTAGAGGGACCCAGTATATAGCTCTTCAGTTGTTAATCTAAGTATTCAGTTTCATATACTGAGTAGCCCCAAAGGCAGTAAACACTTGTATTGCTTATTAGGATTTGTACGGTTCCGTATTCAAGAACTTGATACTTTGATACCGCTCTTGTTAGCATAAACCCCTTCGTATACTTAGGAATCTTCGGATTGCTGCAGTGCTTATTACATTTTGATAATTCTTGTTCAAGAACGGTTCAGTATTATCTCCTTAAGCAATACAGAATACGATAGCTTCTCCAGAAATCTCTTCGTTCTTGTACATTCCCATTTAGAAAGAACTAGTTAATCAGATATACTAGCTCATTCAGCGTATTCAGGATCTGTGCAAACAATAGCAGGCTTAGAGCGCTACTATTGCTAACTAGCAGGTCTAGCTAGCTTAACAAGCTTAGCAGGCGCAGTTCACTTCTGCAACTATCAGTAGCGCTGGAAAGATATATAAGATGAACAAGCTTGCTATATACAATAGCAATCAGAAAACGCTGCATGGATTCCTCACTTATTGCAGGGCGTATTTCTTATACTATGCAACTCAGTTTACTATGAAATCTGAAAAGATTATTCTTATAGGAACTCATTTTGAAAAGAATACTCTTATTTAGTATAAGCCTTTTCTATACAACTACTTGGAGCATCAGAATAACTCCAATGCATATATCTAGAATATCAAGAATATATTTGATTCCTTTAAGAGCTTTGAGAAAGCTCTTAAAGAGACTTTTGATAATTCTAACGAAGAACGTATTACAGCTTAGCAGCTCATAAATCTTAAGCAAACCAAATCAGCTTTTGCTTATACAGTTAGATTCAAGCAGCTCTTAGCAAAACTTCTGTAGAAAGATAAAAATCTTATGGAATACTATTATAAGGGATTTAAGGATAATGTTAAGAATGAAATCTTTAAGCAGAATTAGCTAGAGAACTTTGCAATATTCTCTAATCAAGCAATCTATATCAATAACTGTCTGTATAAGCAATGAATAAAGAAATTCAAAAAGGAAGAAAGCTAAACTTGGAAGTTTCTAGCTAATATAAGCAAGAAACTCCAAAATAAGAATAGCGATTAATATAGCAGTATAGCTTAGAGCAGCACTATATATGCTAGTTCTATAGAACTCAATACTGCTAATAAATAGTATAGCAAGAGAAATAGTATTACTTGCTATAACTGCAACAAACAAGAATATATTGCATGCAATTACTATTAATTCCGAAAAAATAAATAGCAACCAGTTCAGAAAGAATGCTAGATAAATATTGCTTGATAACAGAAATCCAATCAATTAAGCAAAAACATTCCCTTGAAGCAAATATCGGATTCTATTAATTATAGAAATCTCAGCTGAATATTCTGCTATAATAACAACTGCTTAATATACCTTTTGAATAAGAAAGGTTTAGAATGATTTTCTCAGAAGCTTCAGCACTGCAGATAAATAGCTATAGCAGAATGAGAGTATATGCTCAGCACTTCTACAAGTAACAATTCGAACTGCTCTGATATTATAGAACAGAGCATTCAGGCATTGGAAGAAGAGCTTAGCAACAATATCCTTCAATATTCTTCATTGCTTACGCTAAGCACTATAATCAGAAACATGAATAAGAGATAATATCCTCTTGATTATTAGTATAAATATCTAAACAATACCAAAAACGCTTCTCAAGCAATAGAAAGATTAAGCTAGAATGAGCAATTCAACAGTTCACTAGAATTTCCTATAAACAATAAACTCAAAAAGCTTACAGGAAAGTTCCCCTTCAGCATTAGATAGAACAAGAAAATAATATAGATTGAATATCTCGTTTATAAGATAGGATTAGAGAAGCTCTTCATCTATATCCCCTTGCAAGATATCAAGATACAACAAGATGAAAATCCTCGGATTAATCCACTTTATAACCTATATTACGAACTAGCTTGGATTTCCTACATCTATCATAGCTGCAGAACGCATTTTTCGAACAAAGTGCAATACAAATAGTTTTCTATTAGAAAATCAGAACAAATTCTTCAAGCTGTTGAAGAATAGGAATTCCGCTTTAGAAAGATTCTTAACAAGCAATACTATAATGCATATATTGAGCTACTGAATGATTATTCCATGCAATGCATAGATAAGAAAATAAAGTAGTAGCAGTGCAAAACAATGCTCTGTACAATTCATATTAATAATAAGATTTGCAACTAGCATTAACAAAAGAAAGATTAGGAACAACAATGATACAGATAAAAGCAAGCTAAAAAGCTTGCTTAAGAAGCAGCAAAGCAGGCTTAGAAGAATAAACAGTTTTCAATAATTTCAAAAGAACAGAATCGTTTGTAAAGAGACTGCAGATGATCAAACTGGAACAGTTTCTATATAAAGCTTTCAGAATAGATTATACTTATATCAAGTTCAATATATATATTTAAGAATATAAATATAGCATACTATTGAATAATAGCGCTTAGAGAAATTTTATATTTCCATATATCATTAATCAGGCATAACTACAATAGAGATAGAAAAGATGCTTATATACTCTCAGCACTATAAAAGAACAATCTATTGTATATAATTAAGAAGTAATTAATAAGAAGACTGATTCTCTATCTATCTTGATTCTAGAATGTATAATCAGAGCTTCTTTTGATATTATGAATATAGCACAATATAAGCTAATTATAAAGCTTTCATAGCTTAAGAAGCACAATTCTCGAATTGATTGAACTACTAGCTAGCTTTCATAAGAATAAGCTATATCCAGAGAGATAATTGCAATTAATAGCGTAGGATCGAAGCTAGTGATTGAAGAATACTCAGGAAAAGAAGCTTCATACAACTTCTTATATATCTTCAAATCAGCAGAGCTAGCAGTTCAAGAAGAAGAATCTAGTAATAAGCAAACCCAAATAGTGCTAGAGCGCTAACAGGTTAGCAAAATAATGGAAGCGAGATCCTTAGCAGATCAGTCCGCTCCAGAGCAATAAGAAAAAGCTTCAGAATATAGATTGTAAACTTATACAGAAAAAACCTCGAAACTAAGCTCTCAAGCGCTCAGTTTAGCTCAGAGCGAACGCTCAAGGCTCTCAAAAATATTACTAAAAATAACAAATGAAAAGAAGCATACTCAACAATATTTACTATTCCTTCAGAAAGCAGAAACAGCACAAGAATCAGAACCAATACTCGCAAACATACTACAAGAATATTACAAGTTCAAGAAACTATTCTAGAAAGAATTGAATACAGGATTGCCAGAATACAGTTCATACAATCACAAAATTCCGCTACAAGAAGAGAAACAGCTCAAATTCTTCCCTATCTACAAACTAGATAAGATATAGCTAGAGGCACTTAGGGAGTATTTCGATGAGAATCTTAAGAAAGAATATATATAATTATTGCAATTACTAGCAGAATACTCTATTCTGTTTATATTCAAGAAAAATAGCAAGCTTAAGCTATATATTAATTATAAGCAACTCAATAATATTATAATTAAGAATTAATATTTATTGCTACTTATTAAGAAGTTATGAGATAGGCTGCAAGAAGTATAGTAATTCATAGTTTTGAATCTAAAAGAAGCTTATAATCTAATTAGAGTAAAAGAAGAAAAAGAATGGAAAACTGCTTTCAGAATACGCTATAAGCACTACAAA